ACATAAAAAAGTTTAATATGTGGTTCATTTTATCAGAAAAATATTAAAAAGCTCAAATTCTTGAGAGACATTAATTCTCTTGTAATTTGCATAAATTTTCAATTACGGAGTTGATAGCATCGCTTATCGAACCAACACATGGGAAAGCCCGCGCCTGTTTTGGCGATGCCTGAAACACGATGACTGTCCAAATAGGGCGCCCCTTCGGTTTGCAGAGGAAGTGTCGTCCTTCCTAATGGCGTGCAAATGTCAAGGGACGCCCCCTAAACACCCATCCACGGCTGGCGGGACGAGCAAGAAGTATATATGCACGCGTGTGTTTCGCGTACATATTTGTTCGCATGCGACGAGCAAGTCCATGTTGTTCAAGGATATAAGTTTATATTGCCGTCAAAATAAACGGCGGCCGTGCGATGTCAGAAATGAGTTTTCCGGGGGTGAATTTAATTAAGCGGCCGCGTTTTATTGCCCGATAGCATCGTGTGTGGCACTTTGCCGCATTAAGGACGCAGCATACAAGAGACTGCAGTAAAATTCGATTTATAATGTACAAGATAAGGCATAAAAGGCGTAGGGGTATAAGTTTGATATTACATAAAAGAAATTATAATTTAATCCATTTAATCAAAGAAATATTTGTGATCCAACGCAATATTTTGAGGAAACGTGAGTCTCAACCATCACAAGACTAATTCTAAGTTTTTGTAAAAATGTAAATTTTTACAACTGAAGCATTTGAAAGTCAATGTAAATAACGTGGTAAATCATTGACAAAAAGGAAGAAATTTAAGAACCATCTTTTTTTTTTTAAAATGTGTATATGCTGTATCGGCCTAAAAAACAATTACAAAATTTTCAAAAAAGTTTAAGGTTAAATTTGAAAAAATTTTACTGAGACCCTGAATGGTAGCTGAAAATTCACCTCCTGAATCGATATCTGTGATTCAAGAGGGGTCGAAATTTACCGACTCATCCTTACACCTGAACTAAAAGCAGGACGATATAGTATAAGAACTGTGCAATCTTTTTGCAACCATCATTGCCAACACTAAATTTACAAGGCAAGTAAAAAATGGCACATAAACAATCTTTTTGCGTTCAGTACAGTTGCGAGTAAAATTGAGGTCACTTTTTAAGCAGAGAAGTAGTTAATCAGGAATTTAAACATTGATTTATCAATTTTCATCTTGCAAATTTAAAAATTTGGTTACTTTATATCTTTGTGATTTTTATTTTTATAACTTTTTTATTTTCCTATTTCCCATTGCAAAAATTAACATTTTTGTCCATTACATACGCTAGAGGAGTGAAGCCAATTTGCAAAAATTCTAAAGACAGTTAAATCGAAAGCAATTTAACCTTGGTGAGCAGCATGAGTCACTTTTTGTCGCCCAACAGCCAAGCCCATGATTCTATTCTATTATTCCATGCCGTCTCATTCCATGTGATATCTCGGCTATTTCCCTTTTCCACTCCGTTGACACGCACGTCTTTTGCACGTCCCTGGACGTGACAATTTTCGCAAAACGCCGTCCGTGACCTTTGCTGGAGAACTTTTTGTCCCTCCTCTAAATTTTTTGAGGCAGCTGGCGTGCAGGAATTAAAGGGCCCTAATTTATGCAGCCGTCGACGGTTTTAATCCATTAAGTCGGTTTTCAATTTGGCTCATTGCTGGATGACGCGCGCGGCCGAGAGCCAAGAGAACTTGTCGGAATTGCGTTAATAATGGACCTCGCCAGCGCCCAAATATTTTACGGTGGCCGCGGCTATTAAATTATTTTCTGCCCTCGCGCAAGTTTTAAGTGGTGGATTGCTTGGCCGATTCTATTAAAATGTTTTACTGCGTTCCTCGCAGCTTTTTCGCGTCCGGAATGTGGCTTTAATAGATTAAGTAGTGCGAGCAATGCTATGTACTTTCAGACTGGAATTTTGTTTGTTTTTAAATAGAGGAGGCAAGAAGTTGGTGTTGAAAAAACAATACACATGGCTTTGGAACTTTTAGACACAAACTCAAATACAACTCTAAAGGGAGCGCTCTAATGATTAGAATTACAATGTAGAATATGGTTCAAAGTAGATTGAAATAAGAAAATGTCATAATAATTCAGATATCACCAGAAACTTTCATCCTAATTCCACAGTTTCTGAAACTTTTATAAGATTTTTATTTTTATTTTGTCAAAAAAGATAAAATTTGTTAAGCCTTTGGAAATATCTATAAGTTCAATTCAATTCAGATAAAGTTAAAGAATTCAAATATTAAAGGGTTTAAACATTGTTTAAAGTTTAAAACAATTATTATTAAGAAATATTTTTGTATGCAATAAAAAATTAAATGATAATTTCATTACATGTTTTAAAAGTGTATTTTAACAGACTTAATAGGAATTAAAAATTCAATTATGTTATTTATCATAAATAAATAGCAATACTTATGTTATTGATTATATTTTTCTATTTTAAAATTTCTTATCATTTCCAATCATTTTTAAATGTTCCTTAAAAGTTGATATATTTTATAATTACAATTTATTTCCAAAAATATTTTAATCTTCACAATTTACTTATATTGGTAAAATTACTGACAACTTCAGCGAAAATATTTAAAAAAAAAATATCTTTCAAGCACAATACTTGAGCAATCTCTCACTTGGACAACATCCAATATTCCACTTTTCTCTCTTTTTGCATATTCACCACAGACACCAGAGTAAAAAGAATGATGCAAACGTCAAGAGTAAAATAACATGTTGGCTGCTCTCGCTTTTACATTCGTTGTTGTTATCCAACTAGCCCTTTTTATGCATTAAATAAAACCACCCATAGTTTCCAGGAAATTCGCTTGACAGCCGCAAAATGGATTGCTTTTATTTCACTCTAATCCTTCGAGTTCACGTTTCACTTGGCAAGCGCACCACGTGGATGGCATTTTTATTTCTTCGATTGTGCACGAGGGAGCAAACAAAAATCTGTGCTCCCTTTTAATTATGCACGCATAACGAGAGTTTCGCGTGCTCGAGTTCGGAGAGACGCGCCCCGGATTTTCATACACCTGCACTGCACTCGAGGGAGGAGCTTGTATGCTTTTTTTACTTTGTTTGTTTGCTTTTTAGCTCGCGAACAACGCACGTGACGTTTTTCAGCAAGTGGTGCTGATGATGTCATGTGTGTTCTGTTTTGTGGCGCAATACTTGTACAAAAGATTTTTTAGCTTTTACAGTGTCTAGTTACCCTATAACTCAACTCGGTCGATGTAATACAACTTGCACCGCGGCTATGTTTTCCTCCATATGCTCCAAGCTGGTTGGAAAAGTGAAAAAAGTGTTATTGTGCTTTGAATTTTTTATTTTCTATTACGACGCGTGGTCGCTTGCGAATAAGTTTTACGACTGCTCGTTATTTTCGCCTCTTGCGAGGGAAAAATATGGATAAATGGCTTCGGTTGCATTTCCCCTGAGAGAGAAAGGAGGCATGTAACTGCTTTTTATTTACTTGCAAAAGTGAGATTTGCATGCAAAGCGAATGCCAATCAATGTTAATCTTTTCATTCAAAATAAAATGCCAGTATTTTTTAATAATAACACAGAAATATGTATTAAAAAATATTGAAAATTTTGCAGCTCAAAATTAATTGTAAAAATAAAGTAATCTTCAAACCCTCAACAAATAAAAGCAGTGTCTTTAAAAAGGTTTTATGTAGCTGGAATTTTTTTCTTCTTTTTTCTTTTTTATCTCTTAGTACAACTTCCCTGTTTTTATTGTAAGGAATGAGTCTTTTCAACAACAAAAACAGGTTAAAACTGCTTATTTATATTTAAAATAAGAAACAGGTGGTATAATTTGGCAAGCTTTACAAAATTACCTTGCATTCGGGACAGGTCACCACACAGAGAGCACTTTACTTTTTTTAAAGAGAACACTTGGCAAGTGCTGTGTGAGAGGCGAAATGATGCCATCGTCCTCTATGTATATGTATAAATTTCCGCTCGGTTGAAAACGCCAAAGAACTCAATAAGTAAATGGTGTCGGCCGAAGCAGGCAGATGAAAAGCATATTAAATTTGCAAATCGCCGTTTTACGATCGGGGTGGTCCATTGTATTGCGCGCCGATCGAAAATTACGACCGCTTTGTAGGTCACCTGTTTATCTTGCGGAGAGATAATTCCATTTGTATATAAATGTGATTTCAGCCGAGAGATGTAAATTGGCCGTGGGTGGGGTCGTTGTATGGCGATGCATGATGTCAGCGTGGAATTACATCAGCAACACACCGGCGTAATGCATTTTTTGCCCCGCGATCATTAATTAGCGAGCAGGGGAAACCGGCTTTTCTCACACAGTGGCAGCTCGAAGAGCAAACCAAACAATTAATTAGGCGCACAGTCACGTCTTGTTTTTATTGCAACTCTTTTCTTCCGCCATTCTCTTTGACTTGCATGAGAGGATGATTCATTTATGCTATAACAATTTATACAGTAACTGTTTTGTTGTTATAGATAACAACAATTGAATTAACATCTAAAAAACGTCAACCAGATTGGAATTAAACCAATGCCTTTTTCAATTTGATTTGGAGCTCATATTTTTGATCACAAATATATGTATTTTTATGATACACAATATTTATGTAGCTTGTTGCTGGGGAAAAAAATAGATTTATAAATTTAATAATTTTTTCACCTGTAAAAAATAGATCAGTTAAAATAATATTTAAAATCTTATTTTTTGTTTAAATAATAAAATAATATTATAACAAAATAATAACTCATGTTAAATTATTAGTAATTTTATGTAACAAACGGTTTAATTAATTTTGCATACAAATCCAGAATCCAATTAATAAATAAGATAAATAATAAATCAATGGGATATACCTTTTTTAATGAAAAAATTTATTGCATTTGTCTAATTTATCGAAATGATTTGATTGATTTATCCAAAATAAACCTATTAAAGTATTATAGAAAAATGTATTATGGTGTTTTTTTGTTTGTTGTCAGGTTGCCGGGTCGAGGGCAGGTGCAGCAAGTGTTTCGCCCTTGTGAGGGCCGCGTAGCGATGACGTGAGTGGTCGACCGGCAGTGCCCAACATCAGCCATGCTGTCCTACATGCTGCCCGGCGACGACAAGCCCCTCGGCTTGCCGCCTCCACACCCCAACTCGCTGCCGGGCGACCTCACCCCGGCCACCAGCGAGGAAAAGCCGTCCCCGCCGGAGAGCAGCGTCTCCACGGCCAGTTCGCTCGACAAACCGCGTGCCAAGTTCGCTGGAATCAACGGAACCAAACATGCAGGGCTCAAACGGTCAGTCATTTTTTATTTTTTTTCTATAAATAAAACGATAATTAACTTTGAACTTCAAAGTTACGTTACATAGGACAGTAAACAACAATCGAAATTCCAGGAAAAATTAATAATTTAGAATGATTTAGAAGAACTTTCATAAAGAACCTTAAAAGAGTGTCTAAAAATTAAGTAAATTTAAGTAACTCTTTATATTTTTATGCTTGGAAATTTTCAAAAACTGATCATGAAAAATAAAACAATAACCATGCCGTCTAATTGTAAGTAAGTCTATTTTAGCACGAAGCAGCTTTAAACTGGCAATTATTAAGTGGCATAATTAAGCAAAGTCATAGTTTAAAATAAGCAAAGTTTAATTTATTATATAATTTTTTTTTATATTGCTTAAAATTTAAATTAAAAAAAACTCTGTTATAAAAATAATTAATAATTTGATGATTTGAAAAAAAAAAAACAGCTACAATTTTTAAAATATAAAAAACCTTCATTGTCAACCTTTATGTCCTTTATAAAAAAAATAATAAAAATATGATTTTTTTATGAACTTTTTTCATCGTTTTAATCGTCATTGTTTTTCTTTTACAAATTTTTGGGTGTTTAAATCGTCACGGTCGTACAATTACATTACAGTCACAATCGACGGCATTTTCATGGATTTTGAATCCGAGCCGAAAGCCATCCGTCCAAAACCAAAGTTCTGCTCCAACAATCACCCTCTCTCTTGTTTCCATTTTCAAAAGGTGTCGAATTTCAGGCGCGGGACATATCGAAATTGATGCCCTTTGTTCCCACAGCCCTTTCTTTCTTTCTTTTGCCGTGTATAATTCTTTGTCTGGCTCCCGAGGGGCCGGGTTGATATTTGCGCCGCGCTATATTTCCTCTAAATTGGCTTTTAGCTCAAGTTCAGAGTGTGGTCGCTCCACCGCGTGTCTCGTTTTAGCCTCTTTGGCTCGCGTTCACCATTTTTCACCGCCGTGTGGTAAATGATGGCCAAGGTCGGTGGCGCCTCTTGTTTCGGCGCGCCTAGACTAACTCGAGGATTCTCCCCGAGAGCCTGGGAAATTTATCAAACGTCGCTCTTAATGGACGATTTGTACCTTTTCTTAGTGATGAAAACTGCTATAAAAACTCTAAAAATTAAGTAGCACTAGAGATATAAAGAGTATAAACGATTTTAGCTCAAGTTTAAAATTGTTTGGCAAACTTGACTCGAGAGTCCAAATTGATACAAATTTCCTGATTGTTTTTAATTCGAGAGCTGAAAAAACAATAATTCTTTAATCTGACTCTGTAGTAAAAAAAAAGTGAAAATTTTCGTAAAAAGGTTAAAATATTTAATAAAAAACCATCACGTTAGGCGAGATAATTAAATTCATAAATGATCCGGTAGTTCATTTGGCAATTTTTCAATTGATTAAAATTATTGCTGAAAAATATAAAGATTTATTGTTTAAAACTAACCGTATGCAGTATGGGAAATTAATCATAGCTGATTTTTCCCAATCAGAGAAAAAAAATGCAAAAATTACTTTTACATAGATGAAGCAATTTAATTGATGAAACAGATTATTTAAAAAAAAAAATATCTTCAAGATTAAGAACAACAATTCAATTGAATAAGAAACAATCCAATGATTTAAAATTGATTGTTCTGTCCGTCCCAAACCAATTGAATCCTGCAGGTTTCTTTCAAAATGAATAAATCAAAAGCTCAAAGGCGTCCACCGCAAAAGCAAGCTCATCTCATTTTGTGGTTTGTCGCGCCGATCTAATTTTGCCACCGATTGTGCGACTCCTTCCTTGCCGAGGCCCATAACTCTCACGTCTCGCTTTCTTTCTCTCTCCAAGGAACAAAGGCGGTTTTGCTGCGCGATGCGAAAATAAAAAATGCAACCGGCGCGGTCGATAGGACGTCCGAAGGTTACGAAGCGCGATTCGGTCTAAATGACTGCGGCATTCAACAGACCTGTGTGTGCCGTAGGTTAGTGTTTCCTCTCGCTTTATTACACACTTTTATATTCTTTCGTTGTAATTAAGATAAGCAGGTAATTATCGTGCTCATTTCGTGTTGGCTGCTACTGCGCACAAAATTTACATTTCTTTCTCGGGAAGGGCAGACGCGAAAAAAAGAGCTATCTTTGGACGCGCGTAATGCGAAATGAGGGGCTTCCTGCGGAGCCGACAGCGCCAGCCCGTGATGTTTTCAATGGAGGCTGTTTTTGCAAAAATGGCATGCACAAAGCTTGTCGTCAAGAAATGGAAAATAAATATAAATATGTGACAGCTGCCATCGGAACAATTTCTGGAAATTGGTAGAGAAATCACAGATATATTATTACAATTTTAAAATGGTCTGATGACTAATAAAAACCTTACTAAATCAAATCAATTCTAGTTTTAATTTGATTTAAAAAAAAAAAAAAAAACTTTAAAAAAATTTCCTTGCTTGAATATGATTTAATTAACAAATTTCTTCGTCATACAATCAAATTTTTAGCAAAAATCACTACAATAATATTTAATTTCATTTTCTGCTATTATTTGGTTCTACAAATATTAATTTGTATTTATTTTTTTCGTTATATTAGGTTTAGTTACATTTAAACTGAATTAAAAAATCTATATTATCAATTAATATTTTTTTTTTTTTAATTATTTAAAATCAATGTATAAAAGGTAAATTTTTATGAGAGTTGAATGCTGAATAAAATAGACAGTTCTTTTTATAATAAAGGTATTCTATTTCAATTTATATCGCAACAATTTAATTTAATTTTTACGATCTTTACCTTACAATTACTTCTGATTTCTGATGTCCCTTAATTTTTTTTTCTAAACCCTCTAATCTTTCTAGTCTTACCTTATACCATGTTTATAAATCATGTGCATGCGCAAAATGTGAGATAGAATATGAATTTTGCAAATCGGACATTGAATTATTTTTTTAGAATGCGTTCTTGTAACGTGATCTTTTAATTCAAATCGGCTACAAAACTGTCTGTCACAATCTTTGCAATGATACTTTTTCTCAATAAGGTTGTGCACATTTGCCAAGTGCCGAGCCATGCTCCTCTTTCCAAAATATTTCATGGTGCAATGGCTGCATTCGAATATGCGCCTTGAATTTGAATGCAATCTAGCACAATGCAGTTTTAAATTCTTTTTATTGGCGATATATTTATTGCAAACTTTGCACTCAAAGCGACCCTGAAATTCATCCACGTTTTTCGAAATTTTACTGACATGGTGCCTGTTTACGTGATATTTTAAAAAGCTCTTTTTGGAGAACAATTTTAAGCAAAAATCACATTCGTAAGGGTTACATTCAATTTTATGCTTACGAAGCAAAACGCAACATTTAAATGAGTGCCCGCATTGGTTGCATACTGTATTTTTGGAAAAATGTCTTTCAAACCTAGCCACAGTAAATTTTGATCCACAAGATGAGCAATATTTGAACTTGTGATCATAGGAGAGATGACGTTGTAGTTTGAATTCATTTTCAAATACTTTTTCACATAACTGACACTTAATAGGATTTTTTGACTTTAAATGTTGACTTTGTATGTGTTTAAATAAATGTCCTTTGCTCAAACCTCTGTAGCTACACATTTCGCATGCAAATTTTTTCTTATCCTCTAGAGCTCTGTGCCCCAAATTATGAAAGTCCAAATCTGATTGAGTCTTGAAATATTCACCACAGGAAAAAACTTTACATTTAATAAAAGTTTTTGCGTGTATTCTACTTATGTGGCTTGTAAAATTCTTTCGCGATATAAATTCCTGCGAGCAGTAAATACAGACTTTAACTTTTACTTCTTTTCGTTTAAAATGAACTTTCTTAATGTGCTCATCTCTATCATCCGTATTAAGAAAGTAATTGGGGCATTGGCTGAAAAAATTGCATCTGATTGCAATATTTCTATGTTCGCTCTTAATGTGTTTGACCAAAATCTGATTCCCTTTAACATTAGATAAGCTTTTGTTTTTGTTACAATAAATGCATATTAAACTCAGTTTTCCATTCTTTACACCACGTCCATTAGCAATTACTTCAGATGTTGTCTCCTCAACTGCTTTAGCTTCCACAAGTTTTTTCAAAGGCACCCAGCACTGCTTTACTATTTCCAATTGAAATAAATTCATTAATTTTTTTTCAAATCTCCGACAGTTTGAGATATTACATACCTTCGTAATTTTCAAACAGTGTTTGTTTCCTACTGCAAGTCATTGATTCTTTGGGCCACCAACATAAATCTCTCATTTCTCCTCTCTCGTGCTCGTCTAGAAACCTTATTAAAACAAAGCAAAAAATAAGTTTCAATACTGTTGAAAAATATTAAAAAAAAATCTTGACCAAAAATATATGCGTGAATAGATTTTACCTGGCGTCCCAAACACAAAAGCAGCAGATGAGATCGTCGTCTTTCAACTCGTCGGCCAGCGTGTGGCCCAAATAGACCAAACACCACTCGGAAAACTTCTCCTTGTCCATTTCGGCCGCCTGATGGCCGCCGTCGGCCGCTGGCCGCTCGCAAAGTCGGCATAGAGGCTTTCCGGGCCACATTTTTCGGCGCGCAACTCTTGTTTTTATTTTCAGACATCAGACGAAGTGCGCGCTACGCCTTCAACTTTCTCAACTCGGAGGCCAAAAGCGCGAAAGGAACGTGCTGCGAGATATGACCACGTGCATGCCTCGCGTGTTTAGTAAATACCGGTAAATACGATAAAAAAAATCGATATAGAAATTATAGATTTATTTTTATAAAACAGTATAAATATTCCCCTCAAATGACTGTTTAATTAATAAGATGCAGGTAAACCTGATCATATAATTTTCCTAATAGTTTTTTTAGACATGAAAAATTAAAATTTACACGGCGGAGAATTAGCATCTAACAAAAAGCTACATGTAGCAGAGGTCTGCTCAAATGAGGAACTGGGAAGGAACATTATTGAAGATTAAGGTCTTTCACGATGAATTAGAATTTATTCGCCATCTTTCAGAATCTCTAATTTTTTCAATGTTAATCACTACAAAATATGATATAATTTATTATTATTTATCAACAAAAAAGTCATTACTAACACAATCATTCTTTTATAAAACATTTAGCCTGATTTTAAGTATACACACAATTTTCCTTTTGAAAATCTAATGCCAAGTGCCGAATTGAGGACACCGAGAGCTTCATTTGAAACAAATCAGCAATTGAGATGAGAGACGGTTCGGAACTCAATCGATTTGCATTTGGATGAGCGTCAGACGCTTTTACCGGACGGATGAATGAGAGCGACGGGCGCGGAGCAGAACGCTTTAATGTACCACAAAAAAAGAAGCTCAGTCAGTCAGGTCATCGCAGGCAAGGTCAGACGTGCCAAATTGATTGGCGTGCGCCTTCCATTAAAACAAACAGAACGGAAATCCAGCCCGGCGGCGCGAACAAAGTTGAAAATAGAAATGGAAGCGTCCAGAGAGCGGCAGCGAAAATCCCAGATGCAATTTATTAAAAGTCGCCGGCACGTGTGTGTTTAGTTGGCGCCTTTGTTTGCCCTCTTTGCGTACGATAAAAGGCAAAGGTCGCACGTGCTGCTCACTTTTGCACTGACAAAAAGGGCAGGTGCTTCTTTTTATTATTTCGTCTGCGCGAGACGTGCGCCAGGTCAGTTACCACAAGTGTGTATGTTACGGTGCAGGTTGTAGAGAAAGAGAAGACGGAACTCCTCCGAGAGGAGCCGGATCGATGTGTGCGTGGAGAGATGGTGTGGAGCCACCTTACGGAGATAAGGGCGCGCGAGAGAGCAGCGGCTTTATGGAGCGGAATAACTAAGTGTTGAAAAATAAAGAGGCCTCTTTGTTTTTGCCAGCTGCTACAGGTATAAACGAGCGAAAAATGTAAATCAAATTCTATTCACGGTGAAAATGTGTGACTCAATAATCAAGGGAGATATAAATTTATATTTCCCTTTTTTTTAATAATTCAGATATATTTTTTTTTTTAATTTTTTTTATCACTGAAACTGCAAAATGAAATAACAGCAATCGTTGAAAACAGCTATGGTTTATTAGACAATTTTATTTCTAAAATGATGTTGATTCACTATTAAAATTCAAAGGTTGAATGCTTGAGTGTATATTTGTTGCCATTCATTTTTTCCAAATTTTTCTATTAATTCAGCTTTTTCTGATTTTTTTTTTTTAATAGATCATTTAAATAAATTTCCTGCTTTTCATCTTTTTTATGACTCTTTAAAATATACAAGGCCTTTGTTATTTTGGCCATAAAATAGAATAAATATTATTGTAATGTCATTCAAAAATAAAATAGTCCGCGGAACCAGATGGGGCGACGCCTTTTCCTTTATTATTTTTCACTCGCGATTACCAAAACAAGCAATTATTTTTATCGCGAGACGACCCACAGAAATATCAAAGGCCAGGTCATAAAACCGCCCCGTGCTGAAAGTCGGAGATTTATACAGAACAGAAGACAATGGCAGTGATGCGTCTTCGCACCTAGCCCGCTGATTTATTGCGGCCATTCCGCTTTTTCCTCCAGCGCAGCCACCCTGCCGTCATTCGGTCGGATTTTCCCCGCGATAAAACGGCGCGGTGGTTTGTGGTGGGCTAATTTTGAATGGAGCTAGCGGAGACTTGCGTGTTTTCTCCAGACGAACGTCTGCAGCTCACCAGCACGCAGCTATAAAATTTGCACACCATCCTGCCGGCACCCACCCGCGTCTTTCCACCCACAATTTCGCAGACAGTTTATTTCACATTTGAGGAGGAAGGGGCGGGGGATTAAATAAACCAATAAATTTTATTTATAATATTTTAGAGCGTAATATTTAATTTATTTTTACAATATTATCTACAAAGAAGCGCTTTTTAGACGTTCAAACTGATAAGTTCTTTTGAGTATTAATGAACTTACATAATTTTATGCGTAGGAAGAAAAAATTCTACCCTCTCTAACAAAACAACGCAAAAAAAGTAAACATATCATAAGTCTCTTCGTATACCATGGGCACAGATCATGTGAGCACTAAATCTGTGAGATAGTATATACCCTTGGCAAATCGAGCATTGAATTGTTGATTTAGAATGACTTTTCAAGTGAGCATTTAATATTGATTTACTACAAAATCGCGTGTCACAAAAATTACATGGATGATTTTTCTCAATAAGGTTGTGCACATTTGCCAAGTGCGAAACCAAGCTAAACTTTTTAAAATATTTCATGGTGCAATGGCCGCATTCGAATGTGCACCTTGAATCTGAATGCATCATATCATGATATTTCAAGCTCCGTTCAGTCAAATATTTACCGCAAAATTTGCACTTGAATTTAGCATTTTGCTCCGGTATTACTGCAATTTTACTCAAGTGCCTGTTTATGTGGTATTTCATTCTGGCCCTCGTCGGGAATGATTTCGAGCACAATTCACATACACAGGAGCACGCGATTTTATGTTTTTTTAGCAAATTGTAGCATTGGAATGAGTCCCCACATCTTTTGCAATATTGAAATTGTGATATATGTGCTGAAAAAGCAGTCAGACTGAACTTCACACCACAAGCTGTACAGTACTTGAATTTATGTATAGTCTTTACATGTATTTTGAAGTTTATATCATTTTTAAATGATTTTGCGCACATTTTACACTTAATCCGATTTTCTATCTTAAAATGTACATGTTGGATGTGTAGTGATATAAGTCTTTTAGACACACCTTTGTAGCTACAATTTTCACATTGAAATGTTTTCTTATCTTCAAGCGCTTTGTGCACCATATTAAAATGCAAGTCCAAATCGGTTAATGACTTAAAGTATTTACCACAGCGCACGTTTTTGCATTTTGTAAATACACCGGCGTGAAAATTTTTCATGTGTCCGTTCAATGCGTTTCTTGATGTAAAATAAACAGAACAAAAAATGCAGCCGGGCCTCTCTTTTAATTGATAATGCAATTTCTTAATGTGTTCATCTCTATCTTTTGTGCTAAGAAAGTAATTAGCGCATTTCTCAAAAAAATTGCATCTTATTGCAATATTTCTATGTTTGCTCTCAATGTGAATTGTTAAACACCGCTTAATAGAAAAGCTTTTCTTGCAATAAATGCATTTATATAGTTTTCCATTGTTCACCTTTTGTCCTTTTACAGCCGTCCCTTCACATGTTTCTTCAACTGCTTTAGGTTCCGCAAGTTTTTTCAAAGGCACCCAGCACTGCTTCACTATTTCCATGTGAAACAATTTTATTTACTTAAATATTCAACGGATTGCGAGCTCACCTTCATAAGTTTCAAACAGCGCCTTGCTCATTGATTCTTTGGGCCACCAACATAAATCTCGTCTCTCATGCTCCGAGTTTTCGTGTAGAAATCTTTAATTAAAAGGAAATATAAATAATGAATAATGATACTAAAAAAATGGTTTATTCATAATATGACGCTGTAAAGCATAGCAATAATAAGTATAATAACCCAACAAGTACACAAATTGTGCAAAATAAGTAATCTTTGTATATTAGTGAATTGGAATTGATTTTACCTGGCGTCCCAAACACAAAAGCAGCAGATGAGATCGTTGTCTTTCAACTCGTCGGCCAGCGTGTGGCCCAAATAGACCAAACACCACTCGGAAAACTTCTCCTTGTCCAATTCAGCCGCCTGATGGCCGCCGTCGGCCGCTGGCCGCTCGCAAAGTCGGCATAGAGGCTTCCCGGGCCACATTTTTCGGCGCGCAACTCTTGTTTTTGTTTACAGAAGTGCGCGCTGCGCTCTCAACTTTCTCAACTCGGAGGGCTAGAGCGCGAAAGGAACGTGCATGATAAGACCACGTGCAAGCGACACAAATATATACAGATATTTCCCTAAATGATTATGTTTTGAGCCATACCACAGGAAGAAAAACCTGATCGGATAATTTTCCCACCAAAATTCATATAAAAAAAATTAAAAATTGAATCTTGAATATTTAAAGCTTAAAATAGTAACACTAATTATGAAAATATCACAAATAATTATGTATTCTAGGTCACCAAATCAATTTTTGTCTCTATAAAAATCTTTTACCTTACATTTTAAATTTTTTTCTTAATACTTTTTCATTCTTTTTATCTTTGGGGATATTTTAATAATTATACGAATTATACAATATAAATTGTTCTTTATTCTTAATTTTTGTTCCACTTGAGTTTAATTAAATAATAATTTTATTTTGGCTATTCACTTCCTAAACAATTTTAAAATTAATTATAAAAAAATTGATATTGTCCACAAAGTTAATTTTACTTTAAATTCAGAACATATTTATTTTTAAAGGAAGAAAATAATAACTTAAAGAAACTAAAAATCTGTTGAAAAGCTCATGGAACGCTGCTCACATTTTCCACATTACTCAGAATCAAATTTCTTGGCAGCGACATTTCTTGCGCGAGTTCCGCAACATTAATACATTACGTACTCGCGAGAGTCATACGGCGCGTGTTTCGCAAATTCGTGCGCATTACTTAATGCTCTCGGCGGCTATCCCTGTCTCATCTCTGGCACTTTACGGCCTATTTGCCGAAGCGCGGCTCTGACGGCTGCAAGGGCGTACGGACGGACGGACACGAAGCAGCCGCCCCTCATTCACATCGCGCTCTAATTTTGCGCGATTGTATGATTCGCGTCCGACCTACACAGGATATGCTTAAAGTGCAATCACTCTAATTAGTCGAAGCTGTCTTGCTGCAAGCTCTTCAATTAATCAAACACCGCGTACATCCATTCGCTTGAGCAGCCAAATGTGCTCTCTAGAGGAGTAAGACATCGCAGAGTAATGAGGACGCCTTAAGCAAAAGATTACTGTTTGCGGCAATCATTCACCGTTGCGTCCAAAGCTATTTTAAGTTAATGTCTCTCTGAAAACAAAAACGTCTGAAGTTATTAAATTGAATGAGGTTGAAAATTTAATTTTCTTGCTACTATTTTTAGCAAAATTTAAATGATTTTGTGGGCAACTTTATGTACAGTCGTGAATTATATAGAATTAATATTATTTAATCCTCTTATTTTTATTTCTTGTAACTCAATTTAAAATAATTCTGTCTTCTTGACAAGAATCATTACTTCGCACCGGCTATACAAATGAAAACTTTTTATCATCTCTAAAAATAAAATGATGAACTCTGTCATCACACTTCAAGTAAAATAATGTCTGTTTTTATGCTGAGTTGTTTTCAGTAGTCATTTGTCATTTTTTTTACTGTGTCTTCTGTTATTTTGATTGCAAGGAAGAATTCATTTTGTTTTGTCATATCCTTTTCCTTATATTGTCAAGCTGCTAATTGACATAGCACATACAAGGAAAATGTATTTCCTTTTATTCAAATTGGAGATAATTAAATTTGCAGAATCCCAATTAAAAATCATATCAAATAATTTTGAAAATTTTAAATCTTATCAAATACCATTAAAATAAAAAAATAATATTATTAAAAGGCAATTTAAATGTATAATCAACTTTAATATCTCTTTAAACAGTTTTTATTTATATTTGGCAATTAAATAAACATTAAATGAAAAAATTATTTGTAGACTTTTTTAAAATATTCATATTTTTAATTTTGAATCCTCAAAATTAAAATCAGTCTTTTGACTGATTATAAATCTTCATTGTTGTCGTTGTTGAAGAATCCAATTTGGATTTCAGTAGCTCCGTTCACGAATCGATATAAATTATTGACCTACGTCAAGGTAATTCCAGTTAGGCGGCCTCTCGCGGCGCAAAAACTTTGGTAACACGATGAAGAGTGGTTTCTTTCATTGCTCGTTCTCGTCTTGAGAGATGCTCGTAGACAGTTATTAAAATACATATTTGCGGTTGTAACTTTGTTCTAACGGTAAATATAAATGCAAGAGTTGTTATGTGTCTGCGTCCGGCGGCCTTGTTTAATAACGAAAATATCAACTTAGTTTGCATAATTGCAAGTAGTAAATAAATTAGGCGGAGCTCTTCATCTCAGCCTTTAATTAAAACGGCTCCTCCGAGCCAACGAACCTCATTTTATAGTGAGAACAATTTTGCACCGCCGGCACAAGATAGGAGAGCACATTCATTGCCGTGCACGCTAGTTATTGATTTCGCCGAGTCGCCCGGCACCGAGTGCTGCGAAAGTTTACGAGCAGCCTGCAAAAAAATTATTTGCCGCTCGGGTGACTTTTCGTGCGAATAATTTAACCCGCGGATTACATGCAACACAAATTTATTTTCGGCTACCCCCCTTTCCCCCCATCGAGAGCTGCTTGCTGTGGCCAATAGATGGCAGCTGACAATTCAGATAGAAAGATTCACGTTTATTTTAGATTTTTATTCTTGATTGCGAAAGTTTGAATTTTTGGTCATTTCGTTAAAATCACCGAACTATTCTTCAGTTACTTATGTGAACATATATATATTTAAATAGTTACCAGGATAAGGAAAAATTTAGAAAAAGTTAACCATCGATGCATTCCGCTATTTTGCCGATTGATGGGTATAACTATTCGACCACCCAAATTCTTTGTGCCTTAAACTAATGAGTAAGGAAAATATCAAAGCCTTGGTGACGCTTGGCTTTACATAAAGCTTTTTAGCTACCAAGAATTTTTGCAGGGGCACAGGTCGTCCTTGAGTGGCCAGCCTACTTTTGCTGGCTGCAAGAGTGAAGCGATCTACCCCAACAATCAAATTAATAATAGTCATCTTTGAAACGCAAAAATTAACATTAAATTTTAATGAAACCTTAGTGTTGATTTGTATGGCTCTCAAATTTCCTTATCCCTTAATCTTAAATTTGGATTTGTTTTGATTAACATTTTTCAAATTACTATGCATGAATAATTAAAGATTAAAGTTAACGCCAATTTCCAATGCAATTTACCATTTTTGTTGAAAAAATATCGAGAATTTTTTTTCTTAGAGTTAGGATGATTACAAGTTTATTAGAGCAGAGCTCATCAAGCTGCAAAAAAGCTTCGCCTGATGCGTGTGTATCATATCTCATGCACAAGTGGAAAAAAGTGGTGGATGAACTTTTCTCAAGAGGCCAGTTACCAACACCGTCCTCTCGCATCAGTGGAGGACGCGTGCACTGTAAAACGTACTTTTCTGTGCTGCTTCGGCCGGGACGCGAACCCCGGACGGATCGATCGAGTCACCCTGACCTACTCTATGTGAGCCCCGAGCTCTTGTTGTAAGTTGGTTTAGCCAACTGCCAGCAGGAGCCATTAAAAAGGCGATTAGATGCGCGAGGGCGACTTAGCAAGTGGGGCGTTTTCGGCCAATTGTGTCGTTACGGCTTTGTTCTTCTGCAGCATACAATGGGTGCTTATTAAGCGGCGGCCAATCTGTGTGCAAATGATGGGCCGTGTGGTTGTGCCGCTCGATTGCTTGTCAATCTGCTAATTTATTGTTTCGAAATAAAAGTGAGGGAGCAAGTCTGATTGAAATCCTCAGTTGGACTTTGGGAATTAAAGCGGGGCGAGTCATTGTTGTTTAATTTCCTGTTGGACCAAACTGGTTTGTCTCTGATTGAAATTGAAGTGCATTGAAATTATTAATCTTTCTTTGAGGACAACTGATTTAAAAATAATTAGATCTTTAATTCAATGAGAATGCTATAATAAAAGGAAAGAATTAAATAATCAGATAGTTTATTAAGCCATAGCTTAATTTGAGACCTACGTTAAATTAAATTATAATTATTCTTGCTCATTTTTGTACTCTAATCTGGGCTCCAATTCTGTGAGAGGAATTTTAACATTCTATTCAGCCTACAGAATTAGACCTCTGGAGTCAAAACTGCTCCTTTACAGGGTGTCAATGGGCCAAAACCCAAAACTAAAAAGTGCAAGCAACCCCATTTTCTTCGCACCATAATTTTTGCTTTCATTTTATTCGATAGCGTAATTTTTGAGCAAAACTTGTTGTTTTATCTTTTATATGCTTCAGACACTCCTTAATTAAAAAAAAAATGTAGGAACTTTTCTTATCACGCGTGTGACCTTCAAACAAATAAGCAAAAAATTGAGATAATAGTGAGTTGAAGTTTTATTTCTCAATATAAAAATTTTAACATGAAAATCCAAAGTTCTTGATTTATTTTATTAAACATCATGCAGTCTCAAATGAGAGACATGCACAAAGCAGCTAGTTGGAGCCAATGAATGGCACTTTTGCTTTGTTTAACCATATTTTTTTTAAAGCTTTACGACTTGAAGCAAAAAGCGCGTGGTCGCACTTCTCTTGCATAATGAAATTATGAATAAGATATTCGCAGGCTAAACCGTGGTGCCCTTGGAATCACTACAAAAGCGGCTGCCGCTGGCGTCCGCACACTTGTGTACAGAATTACTGCGCAGCGAGCTCTCCAAAAATAAAAAATAATAATCTCAGAATTAAAGCGAAGCTCCTTACCCTCAGACTGTGAAAGGTGACAAATCTCTCCTTTGTCTTTTTGAAGCCGGTGCATCTCCTTCTAGTCACTCTAGACGTGACTTGCATTACGACAAGAGAAGCTTTTACCATTCAACTTGGCACCAACTTTGAAGTGTTTTGTTATTTGCATAAAATAATAATGTACCCACTTAAAAAATTTCTTTTTTCGAGTGACATCAAACTTTCCAGTGATTTTGAATTGCAGACTCTACCAATTCATTTATTTAGTATTTTCTAAACGATCGGCAGTCCTTGGAGTAGACGGACGGTAATTGTATAATGGAAATAATGGCCAGTCATGCAGCCGACGGATTATGGACCAGACAGGCCGATTGAGTGAAGTCAGTGTTGCGTGCAATACACCTGCAATTAAGGAAAGGCATGTTATCGTGGATAACATGTACAAGCTTAAGTAACAAACTGCCGACTCTTACCAGCCGCAAGGGCAAGTTCATGTGCTGAAAATTGCAATGATATTCTAACGATTAATGCCCGCCAACGCAAAAACGTTAATTTTCAAGACAGGTTTTATATTCAGAATTTAAACAGAAATAAAAAAAATTTATCAATGTTTCATTAAATGAAAGCTGCAATTTCTCAAAATTAAATCTACTTATTTTTTAAATGCTATAAAATATTTTGTTAATTTGAAATTAACAACTGCTGCTAGTTTTTTAGTAACATTAAACAAAACACCCTAGTTTTGTATCCTTATAATAAAATGAGTTTAATTTCTTTGTTGAATAAATTTGAATAAATCAAATAGGAATGGAATTTAATTTTTTATGGGATAGGCGTGTGATTCATGCTTTGTTATTTTTACTTTTCAACACCCGGCAATAATGTGATGCAAGCCAGTTTCAAAAGTGCCTCAAGTTTTGGCTCGTTATTTTCTCGAGCCAAACAACAAAGTCGAGCGAGCGTGGGTGCATTACTTCTTTTTTATGCTAATGGTGCAGTGGTGTGCTCGTCCAAGCACATTTTTATTGAGGCGCCCATACATCCTTGACCTCGGGCCTGCTGACGTCACACGGAGGAGCGCAATATAAAAGCACTCAATTAATCCCTGCTCGGCCATTGTCGCAGACTTGATTGGCGAGGTGTGAAAATCTTTATATACGGCCCTAGAAACACGTATGGCGGGCGGTGCACGGTGGAAACGCAGCACTTTGTTTCATGCGGGCGTCAGCCAGGCCAAATGACCATCTCGTGTCGTTAGGCGGGCGACCCAACTAGGTCAGGCAAATGTCAATAATGTCATCTCGTAGAAGTGCGCCTAGCTCGTCTCATTACATTTATATGTGTGGGAGATATGAAGAGACCCCGCGCACGAACTTGTAGAAGCACATTTGATACGAACCAAAAAAACTGCTGATTCTCTATCTTGAATTTTTTTATTCACGTGCAAAAATGAAAAGACAAAGGGATGAAAAAGGCACATTAGAAGAAGATTTTTTTACATCCTTTGTACTTTTTTTGCGAACTTTTTGAATGCTCTCCAAGTTGCTGATTGTTGCTCCTTAATGGTCTATATAAAATATCTGTGTCAGCGAGTTACACTTTGCATTATTCCTGCAGTCGGTAATAGCCTGATAAAAGCACCATTCATCACGTGAGCATCCTTCGTCGTGCTGGAAATAATTTTGTAAACATTGCAGACTCTTCATTTCCGGCTGGGGGGTTTTTTTATCAGCTTCTAATGACAGTCCTATCATCTTTAAATTAAATTTATATGTAACATAATATGATGTTTAAATTAAATTGATGGAGCCAGATATATGCTTTGATGATTGAAAAGAACGTATTTTCTAATTATATTTTTAAATCGTGGTTTAAATTAATTTAAAAAAAAAAAACACTTTTTAACTGTGAAAGCTTTTCAAGTGCCTCTATAATATTATAAAAATATTTCATTCAATTTTGGTGTTATTTTAATTCATAAACTATCATTGATCTTAGTTGTTTCATTGTTAGATTAATTTTTTTTACTCTAGTAATTCATTCTATATTATTGAATTTTATATAGATATGAATTTAAATTTTACAAGAAAAACACCATTTTCTACTTGATTTTTGCATAAATTTGAATGCCTAAATTCCAAATTTTGCTGTCTTGTAAAAAGCTCTATACAAATGTTAACGATCTGTTTTGGACTAATAAATTTTACTGTTCTTTAGTGGCCAATTTTACATAAAAATGCATTTTAAAAAGCTCAAAAACCTTTTTATCAGAGACCATAAATTTAATAATGGTTCTCATAAAAGTGGCATTCAAACGCGTTCTGCTCCTCATTAACCACGTTTCACAGTATCACAGCTGTGTCTCTTCAGCTCTTTTGAAGTCTGCGGGCCCTTTTATGGGCGGCCGAATTCATAAAAGACCGATTTCTTCAAAGCCTCCTTTGGCGCACCAACACGCGGCAGCCATTTACGCACGTTATCCCCTGATTAAACCATTAATCTGACGCGACAGTTTTAAACCTGTCTTGTTAGTTTGATAGGCTGTTGGCGCGCGCAAGAGATGCATTTTGTTCTCGGACAGACTGATAGGCAGTACGGGGTACCATGACAGCCACCGTGACCCATTTATTACGTGCACGCGTTGACACACGCGGAGGGTCCTCTTCAAAATATTTACGAGCGCGCGCCATTTGCAGAGCGAGATGCACTTTATGGCGCGTATTTATTTATTCATGCTTCCTCTCCTTGACTCGCCCGATTTGATTTTACGGCCCCAATGTGTGCATGCGTGACTGAAAAATAAATGACGTGCTTTTCGCCCTGTGTGTTGCAGAGTTTCCTTTGGCAGCTCCAAAGGATCCATGGTGGAGACCCTGGTGTACGAGAGTCCTCTTCAGGAGGAGCCCGAGGAATCGGCCGCTTTGTTGCCATACGACTCGGATGAGGCAGATAAGTGAGTACAAAAACAACATTTCTTTCAATTTTCTGTTTCATCTGGACTAAATTTTAAAAAAAGCATAAATTTTAATAATAATTTTTTTTCTTTTTTGAAATTTTCTTACCGGTTTTAAAACTCTTTCAAATATCAAACTTGATTTCAAGTTTACTTTTTTATAATATCTCACGGGCAAAATTAATTTTGAAAGATTTTTCAACTAATCAATTTCCGTTTTAAAAGTTGATAGCAGTTTTAAAAAAATGGGAAAAATTGGAATAAATTTTTTTAAATTAAATGCCAAATCGGCTCACTCTGAATTTATTCAGGTTCAAAATGACTTGATTGAACGATTTTAAAATCTACAATATTGACCTTCTTTTCTAAATTTAATGAAAAAACTCCAATAATATGAGTTAGAATATTGCAGTTGTTGATTTTATTTTATTTGCAATTGATTTGGATGCAAGATTTTGTATTAATTGAATTGAATGACTTTCCATTGGTGTATCTGACTCAGGTACAGAAATAGACATTTCATAGGAAGTACATTGACAGCAAAAGCAAACAATCTATTATGTGCCAGTCCCTTTTGTTGGTTTATCAGCGCACAAGTTTCACTTTCACTGCTGGCGCGCCGCCGCGACTGAGAAGTGGGCCACTGATAAGACGCTCGACTTTGGCTCACGTGAGCCTTAATTTGAGCGGCGCCATTGTTCTTCCACCTAATAAACGCAGACTTGGCGTGCAGTGCTTTCTATAGTACTGCACACAATGTAAGGCAGTTTACTAAACGCGATGAATGCATTAAATGCAGGGTTGCGTGAGGCTTACAAATTATTGATGTTAACTATACCTCTGTGAGAAATAACTGGAGGTGGAAAAAAACGTTCCAGGGACATTAAATGTAAAAAATCTCGTCCCATTCCGGTACGAATTGCGACCGCAGCAATCTCGACGATTTGCATTCCGCAGTGAATTCCCGTCCTGCCTGAGAGTTATGCAGCTACACCGAGCGGCAGCGTCCGTCGGGTTGCATAAGTAGTGTCCGTGCAGGCGCCTTTACAAGTATGACGGCCACTTGTTATTTCGCTGACGGATTTATGGGCCCGTTTGGCAATCTAGCGGATTGTCCCGATGCTATCTGCCGCGTGGTGCTGTTGTGTCAGATTCGGGCTGCACGCTGATGGTCACTTAGTGAGATTAGCAACTGGGCGTGGAACGAGCGAGAGCAGAAAGTCGGCACCACAGTGTGATAAGAGACCAAGGCACGCACTGCTGTGTGATTAAAAAAAAATGGCAGAGCCAGCGAAAGAATAAGAAGATGTGAATAGGAAGGTCACAGATGCAAAGATATCACTTCCAGTCTTAACTTATCTGATAAAAGTTTGAATTAAAAGTTTGGAAAATTGTTGTAAAATTCTACCACAAGTGAGTGAATTTTTGTAGCTTTCTTTTTATTATTAATATTTTTTTCTTGTAATTTGTCTGTGACAAAACTGAATAAAGTATGTATTTTCTTTTTAACGAAACAACTTTTTAAAGGAAAAAAAATGATTATATTTGCAAATGTGAAAATAAAATATAAAAATCATATAAAATGGTAAAAAAAATTAAAGTAAATTTACTAATAAAAATTTTTGTTTAAAAGAACCTGTCAAAATGTTTTTTGGGGTAAAATTTTAGATTTTAATTATTTTCAAATCAAAGTTACACATTATTTATGTATAAAATAATTTGGCACTTTCCTCACGCATTTTTCAAAAAATAAAATATTGGCCGGAAGAAAATCTTGATAATTTACTTTAATGTTATAAATACTAGCGTTTTGATCAAGTAATGAAAATTTTATTTAATTAGAGATTCATCATTTATATATTTCCATAAATTTCTCCCAATTTTCAAACAATCAGCAGATCCTTGACACAGCGTGAAATATTTTTTATAGAGTGCAAAAACAGAATATGTTCTGAATAATAGGCGCAAAGTCTCGGGGAGCGTGTGTGACATTTTGACAAATTGGCCTCTCATGCATAAATTATTACTTTCACTATGTAGATTTGCGCGCACCGAGCGTGCAAATCTGTTTGAATCCCTGGGCTGTAATTGCGCCGTAATTCCCTTTTGTTGACCCTGCCGCTTCATTCATTTATCAGAGAGAGTGACATGGAAATGGCACGGAATGGATAAAAAGAAGGGAGGAGCCGCACTGCTGGCTGCACACAGGCGAACACACAATTAAAAGTGTGACCCACTTTTGTGCGGGTCTGGAGGTGCATGAACCCTTGTATAGCTTTTTCGATACAATACAAATGCCGGTGTGCGTTTTCAACACGACATATATAAAAAATTCCATCCGATCGACGAACACATATATTTGTCCAACTCGGCGACAAATTATTAACGAGCTAGAATTTTATTGTCATTCCGACGGCTGGTGCAACGCTTCAATTTAATTTTTATTGCACCGGCCGGCAGTAAATTCTCATTACGACAAGTATCATCCTCTCGCTGAGCTGCTTGCATAGAGAGTGAGGTCAGCATCGCCAATTAAGCTGGAAAAGGTCAACACCTACGTGGCGCGCGCACTGTCGACAGGTCAAACAAAGGTCGTTGAGATAAAAACGGAGCGCATGAAAGAGGCCGCCGGTGTTTGGATGTGCGAATGGGTCAAATGTAATAAAACCAGAGAAACAAAAAAGGAATTAAATGTTGAAATGCGCATAAGTATGACCTTACAATGCGTGATGGGTCAAACAAAAAAATCTTGCCACCACAAATTTCCTGCCTAAAGTGGACGACCCTAGAAAATTAAAAATTAATTTTTTGTCTCAAAAATAAAATTTTCTGCATTAGAAAATAAAATCAAATGTGAAGAGATTGCAGGGCCTCTGGCTCTGGATCTTTCTGACATGTAATACGAAAAAGATTGAATCATAATGTATAAAAAAAAAACTAAAAAATTGAGTTTTGATTGAATTATTTTAAAATTGCATTAACATTTTTTATGTGTTCAGCTGAAGAATGGTAGTAAAAATAATTTTTAATAATATTCAATTCCTTCACTCCATGCTACGAAATAATTGCAAAATAATAATATTATCAAAATTAAAAGGAATTATTATTGATGCATTGCAAATCCTTTCTTTAGTCTTCTATTTTAAATTCTTTTATTCAATAAAATTAAAAAAATTTTAATCGAAGATTCTAAAAAGTAAATATCTTAAACAAAAGGATGAAAATTGTGAGAAAAAATATTGTAATTTGTGCAAATAATTGTTAAAAATTAAAGAGTTATTTAAAGAATTTAAATTTAATTTCCACACTTTTGAACATTTAATGAAAATAACGATGTATTTCGAAATAAGCAAATCAATACAAACAATTTTGAAAAGAGTTAAATGCAGGCTTTATGTACATTTATTTTGTACCAAAGCTCCGCTGTGTAAACGTATGTTGGTGCTGCGTGTGTATTTTTTTTTTATCGCGCCGGCAGAGGCGACTCCCCCCTGTAAAATGGACTGCGCCGCGTCGCGTCGTGCGAGTTCGCGGCGAGCCGGCGTTGCTCGGCTGCATGAGCCGCATCGGCCGCGATCCCCGCCCCGCCGCCCATCAGTCGCAAGCAAACACACCAGCCGCTCGGCACTCGTACCTCGCCAAAGCACACCTTTCCAGAGCAAACTCCGGTCTTGAGGCCTTCGAGCAAAGGTAAAACCGCCCCGGCGGCTCCATTTCGTACACCCCACGCAATTCTAACTCCTAATCTGGTTGAAAGATCGAACGAAAGCCAAAGAATTCTCTCTCACTCTCGGTGCCAATCAGTCTGCAGCCAGCTTAGGACCACCGTGTATCCACCTCCAGTCGGACTGATATCCGCTGTTCCTCCGCAGGACCGAGATGGGCGAACGCAAGGGACAAAACAAGTACTACCCGCCCGACTACAACCCCAACAAGGGCGGGTTGAACAAATTCCTGGGCACGCACGCCCTCCGCGAGCGGGCCCGCAAGATCCACCTGGGCATCATCATCATCCGCTTCGAGATGCCGTACAACATCTGGTGCGAGGGCTGCAACAACCACATCGGCATGGGCGTCCGGTACAACGCTGAAAAGACCAAGGTCGGCATGTACTACAGCACCCCCGTGTACCAGTTCAAGATGAAGTGCCACCTCTGCGACAACTACATTGAGATGAAAACGGACCCTGGCAACCTGGACTACCTCATCGTGAGCGGGGCCCGGCGCCAGGAGAACCGGTGGGACCCTTTGCAGAACGAGCAGGTCGTCCCTGAGAAGAAGGAGACCTCGAGGAGGATGGCGGACGACGCCATGTTCAAACTCGAACACGAAACGCAGGACCAGTCGGCCGCCCAGGCCGCCGCCCCGAGACTCAAGCAGCTCATGAACAGGGCCGAGGACGTTTGGAAGGACGACTACGGCGCCAACTGCGCCCTGAGGGCCGACTTCAGGGCCAAACGGAAGGACCTGAAGCGCAAGTCGGAAGAGGACGCGGCCCTGTTGGTGCGCAGCAGTCTGCAGATGGAGTTGCTGGCCGAGACTGAGGAGGACCGGCGCATGGCCAAGTTGATGAAACTGACGCCGAAAGAGTCGGGCGCCGAACGGCTCCTCCGGACGGTCAAGAAGATTGAGGAAAAACCAATTCTCGAGTCGACCGTCAAGGATGGGAAGGTTTTCAAAAAATTGGAGGAAAAAGCTTCGGGACTGAAACCAATTTCCTTGGGAATCCGAAGGTCGGGTGATAAAAAAGTCAAAGAGGAACCAAAGGAAGAGGACGAGGGTGGTCCTAGTGGAGTGACGGACGGACCGTCCGGTTCTGGACTAGGTGGACTTGTGGCCTATGGCTCGTCGTCCGACAGCAGCTCAGACTGATTGGCATTTTCCTATCACATTGTTTAAGGTTAAATAATTCATCAGAAAAAAATGGAATATTAAATTTTGAAATAATTTTTGGTTACAATTGCTCCAATTATTTGGGAATAAATTAACGACTTCATGATTGTTATAGAACCTTGTGTATTTACGCTTATAGAGAATTATGTCTCAAATTAAAAAGAATATTTTGTAAAATAGCCGAGTCTCGTATAATTTTCTCTGTGCCAGTTGGAAACCGAGTCAGTTGCATGCGATTATTTTGATTGAAAGTGCAGCTCCCTCACTTTTACGTATTCTTTCCGTCTAGTCTGCTGGAAATCTAATTTAGAAATTAGCGAGTGAAATTCGCCCTCCGACTCGCTGCACTTGGTCTAATTCGAGGGTACTTACGTACTCGCCGCTCGTTAAAACAAACACACAGAGACTCGCTCTCATTGTCCCCCTCGGTGTTTATTTGTGGTTTATCACGGCGTCTCAATCTGGTCACGCCTCGCGTTTGAATAATTAAAAAAAAGGGCTCGTTTGTAGTTCTGATTAAGACGCAACTCTTTCTTTGGCTGGCAAAAATTGCAAACAACATTACAACATGACCTTAAAATTTAAATGAAAAAATTAAATTCCTGGCGAAAATCGCAAAAAAAAAATCTAAAATCGATATGTAACACAAACTTCTGCTCCACTTTATTTGAAATGAAAAAGTTATTAAAGTAAAAACTTACTTAAATGTGGATAATCGATTTTATAAATATATTAACGATTTAAATAAAATGGTCAACAAGAATTTAGCTTTTAAATTAAATTTCAAATAATTTAAATAATAAAATAACATTTAATTAAAACAATTATAAATTAAATTTTGCCGAAACTAGTTTGCATTTTTTTCTACGAGTTTTAAAATTTTAGTTCAAAAAGAAAATACTGCACTAATTAAAATTTTGTACAATTAATTTTTGTTGACTTTTTTCATTTGCGCCAGAGAGAAAAGTCTAATAAAATTTGTTATTTAAAAAAATCTATCTCTCATCCAGCAATTTTCTCGTCCAAGCACAGCGGCCTATAGCTCGAGTGTCAATACTTATTTCCAGCAATGTTTGTTTGCCGGACAAATAATTACGTCCCTGACAGATCGCACGCCTTCGCTCAAGCCATTTCGAGCCAGACGGATGGACGCTCATATCTGTGTGTGTGTGTGTGTGTTTGTTATTCCTGCAGCCGCTTTTGAGACGCAGCACGATCGTAATATATTATTTTTATAAATTCCTCTTGAGCGGAGAGCATGCACGTATAAATAAAATCGGAAGCGTCCAGCGGCGGCGCAGGCAGAAGCACTCGGGACGGACGAGCGAGCGGACGACGAAGAGGTTTGTTGCATATTGTGCCGTGAGAATATTTGCTCACTTTCCTTGTACGGCCCTTGTTCGTGTCACACACTCGCTTTGTGCGGTGGGAACGAAAAAGTGGCGAATCTCCTCCCGTCCAAACCGAACAAAGCTGTGTTTGAGGTCATTTTTTGTCATTGCCAGGAAATTGCTGCGAAATTACTGTCGTTCACGTGGCCTTTCAACGACAACAATTTAACCCACTTGGAGTTTTACGTCTGAAATTTTCAGATATTTATGCGATGTTCTGTTTGGGAAAAGTGAAAATACATTATATTTTCAAATTTTAATAAATTCTGAAAGGTCGCTGAAAATTTAAAAAATAAAGAATAAAGAGCAATAATAACTGTGCCAATTTAAAATTTTAGATTTTTTAGAGAAATTACTAAATTTAGAAAGCTTTCATATTTTCTAAATATTTATTCAAGCTATTTTTAGAGATACATTCTCTACGATTCCTGACTTGCAAATACAACTGACCTCAATAGTAACTGATTGGGGAAAAAATGCAACCTGCAGTGCACGCATGTAAATAATTTGCATAATTTAGATAAAAAAAAGTGAAAACTGGCAACTTATTGTCATTTTAACTTACACCCAGATAGATAATTCCTGAAACCAAAATTCTCCATATTTTCCATTACTTATTTGAAATAACATTTAAATAATTCAGTAGTATGACTTTTTTTAGTTGATATTGTTTTAAATTTAATCATATATTTCAATTATTATCAGTTGTTTTGAAATATTTTTGCAAATTTTGCTCCCTAAATCGCGATGATTCTTTATAAAAGATCAATATTCATAACGAATAAATGCCTCTTTTAACCTTGGCTAAATTTTTATGTACAAATTGCAATTTCTTGTTTATCATCGATTCGTCCTTTCCGCTTGGCGGACGCTGTGCAAAACGGCCGAAGCCGTCGATGACATCAGTGTGTTCGTTCGCTCTCTCTCGCGGCAGCCAACTTTGCAATCCGCTAATTTCGCCTCCCTCTCCCGCCGTGCATCTCCGCTCTGCCGCGCTGACGTAACGCATTCACAATAAATAAAAACACACACGCGGCCACTTGACTTGCGACAGCCGAGAGAGTCGTAGGCCGATGGTTATTTCGGTTGTTTGATCGCACAATTCGCCGCCTGGACTCGGTCCTGCACATCTCCCTGCTCGCGGTAAATCTCTAGATGTGATATTTGATCTAAATGTTTTCATTTTGCCTTTGTTGTGCTGGGCAGCACTCGGCTGGCACCAGCCACGATTTTTTGCTATGGAACCAACCAGAACTCGGACGCATCTGGGCTTTCAAGTGGGTTTTAGACTTTTAGTTGGAAGTGATGCGAGGGGTCTGTTTTTGTTGCTCAATCGAGCGGCGAGGTGAACTTTTGAAATATTTCAGTAGAGCTTGTTTTGTAATTTTTGACCCAGTTGGCATTATTTGACTTTTGAAATTGCACAAATTTTGTTATTTCAACACATTACTTAAAACAAAGTTGGACTTTTTATGGGTCTCACTTATTACTAAAATCAGTTTGAAAATCAATTGATTTAACTGGAATACTTCTTGATTTATATTGATTTGTTAATCATTAAGGATTTTTTTCTTGAACTAAAAACTGATTTATTTCGTTAGATAGATGAAAATCTCTATTATTGCCTCTTTCTTAAATTTGGTTAAGATGTTATTTGAATTTATATTTATAAATTTTCATATTATTTTGTTTGTATTCTAAACATAAACATTTGTTTCCACCGAGCTTTGTTTCTCAAGTTTGTTATTTAATCTTTTTCAAGTGTGCGTTTCTCGTGAGCCACCTCGTTATTTATCTCCCTACTTGAGAGTCAAAAGTCCCTTCTCAAACCGGGCTAGTCAAGGCTCCCGTGTCCTTTGCGTTTAATTGCCGCTGCCGGTCAAGTGAAAGCAATTACGCATGCGAGCGACAGCCAAAAAGTCTGGCAAAAGCGGCCGAAAGAAGCTAATTAATTCTGAAAACGTGTTTTCTTTCCTCGAGTCACGGAGCATGCAGATTTGCCAATATTACAAAAATCCGACGCATGATTTACGGCTTAATAACTCCGTCGGCTCCATTTTTTTCCAGCACGAAGCTCATTTTTTAATTTTTGCTTCGGTGCTGGAGTGGAATAACAAAAAAAGAAGAGCTTTTCTTCTTCGTCGCGTGTACTGCACACCTGTCAGTGTCAATGAACTCGAAGCTTTTTCACTCGGATTTGAATGACACGCCGCCTGCTGGGATTTGCATTCAACGAAGCCTTTAAATTTGAATTGACATTAAAATGAGCATTCGGACCAAGGAAGTCGATGCTGAAGGGATTGATCGAGCTGAACAGGAAATGAATGAATGCACTCGCAATCGTGCATCGCCTTTTTAATTGGACGGTCTACCGCGGTGACGTCCAATTTAGACACAGTCCAAATTTATTGCTGTCTTAACTGTAATTATTTAATGTGTTGGTACGGTGGTTAATTAATTGATCAGGAAGTAGGGTTTTTTTTTAAATAAAATTTCTCTCAAATTGTGTGCATTTGTTAAGTTATAATTCAATTTTGAAAAAACATGTTAATTTATTCATTTGATAAAAAAAAATAAGTACAGTACATTTTTTAAATGAATTTTCGCTACTAATTTATTGAAAATTATAAAATTTATGCAATTTACTGTAATTTTTTGTGTTTATATCCTTCTCATGGGTTAAAAAATTTTAAATTAATAATTAATACAATAGAATGAATTGGTTGAAACAAATTCAACAATAAATCATTGTTGCAACAATGAATTTCTTTACTGGAGCGACCTATAATAAAAATCATTCCCAACATTGCAGTTTGAATTTGTGACAAGGTTTAATTATCGGGTTAAAAACATCAGAATTGTATAACCAAAGCTAATTTTCCTAATAGGGGTAAAATTTCTACGCATATATCTTCACGCTTTAATAATACGTGGGTGCTTGTTCAATGTCTCTCTTTATTTGTAAAATTTCGATCACGATCGGGCACATACACACACATCTGGGTGAAAGTTAGCGAGGTGGAAAGGTCGTTTGGGAGGTAGGGTCATCGGCGGCCGGCCGAGCCAGCCTAGCTCGAAGCACAATTAGTCGGTGTGCATTCCTCGACGGATTCACCACGTCGTCTCTTCACACCTGAGCAGTCCTAGCGTTGTTCTCATTGTCAGTGCAATGGCATCCCGATCCGCGACGCCGCCCACGCCCAGCTTCGAGTATGTCGCGCTGACCTTTCTAACACAATTTTGAACTTGAACTTTCAACTAACCTGACATTATTATTTTTAAAGGGGAGTTAAAAACTGGGTTTGTGGGGCAAACGCTTATTTGGAAATGTGACAGCTTTGGGCTGTAATTTACCTTACCACGCCAGCTTTTGAATCTTTCTTGAATTATTAAAGTAATATTAAAATTTCGTTTAATAACAGAACTTTTCATATTTTCGGAATAATTGGGAATATTTTTTTTTATGCTTTAAAAATTATAGAAGAAATTTTTGGAAATAGTGAAAAATTAGCTTGTAAATTATTTTGAAACGGTAATTGTTTTTCTCTTTTTCTGATTCATCATGGAATGAAATTGAATTTTGAAGCTAGAGGGAAATTTCTAATTTCAATCATTATTCTTGTCAGATTTTTTACATCAGGAATTTCTCGTTGAAATTTTTCTCCTGCGATCTCTTTGTTATGGTATCTTGGCTGAAATCAGTTTCGAAACACCGTTACGACACGTTCAATTTCCCATTTTCCTGGGAGCGCATTTCGTTGGTTGATATGCCATGCATTCCAGTGCAGGCAGGACGTGACTCACAATAACACACGGTGCGCCCACCGCTCGCATTTGTATCTCGTCCATGGAATGGTCTCGGCTGAAAATAATCCTGACCAAACCCTGTTTGCATTTTTGTTCTCCGTGCGATAAGAAATTGATTTTAATTTTGCGAAATTGTGTTTCAGCGCCGCTAAGGTCCGGGTGACTTTTTTCCAAGCCGAGAAGCCGCTGAACGTGACTTCGCCAGAGCCCAACGAGGATCAAGCACCTCTGGACCCTGACATGTCAGCCACAATAGTAACTACACTACCTGATGGGCACCCTGCCTTCCACCGACAAGAAAGGTAAGGCTTAGAAATTTTAGAAACTACGTTCATGGAAATCAGAAAGAGAGGACAAGAATTATAAGAGTGCTTGAAATAAAAGTATAAATGCCTTTCGAAGTTTTTTAAATGTCAATCAAATTAAAATAATTATGTATATTTTAATGAGGATTTTTATCAACTCTCTATATTTAATTTTTAAGTATTTCCGCCCGATTTTGATTTTATTTCTTTTATTTTTTGAAGCGCCAAACATTCCTTATAATTATATTTTTATCTGATTATATATTATAATTAATATAAATTTATATATTTATAATACATCCATTTTGATCAAAACTATTTATTTTCTAAACAAAACTGAGTACATATCTTCTTATAACAAGTAGCCGGAAAAATTAAGTGAAAAATTATGTTTGTTTTTTTCACAAATTAAAAAAAGTTTATTTGCAAATTCAAATAAGAAGAATAAAAATAAACTGTAAATTTTTGTGCTAAAATATTACTTTTTTCTAGCCTCTTTAACTAGATACTCAATTTAAAAATGATAACTGTTTTCAAAAATGAAAGTTTTGTTTTTAATGAAAAATGCTTTTTCCATCATATAGAATTCAACAACATTTAATAAATATTTTCTTCTTAATTAATTCTGGCCCTTTTCATGGCCAGCAAATGTCAAATTTTCCTTGACAAAACATAGTCTAGATATTTTACCTCTTTCAATGTCGTATTTCTAAACAAGTTTTTTTTTCTCTTGTAGGATAAACTGAAATGAAAATATTGGAATTTATAATTATTTCTATTGAATTTGTGTGCTTATGCGTGGGTGCGTCTCCTTCTCAAGGTCACTTATATACTCCCATATTATTCCGCGTCAAGATTGGTGTCGGTGGTAATTGCGTTGCAGAACCGTGTCTCTTCTTTTGCTCTTGAAAACGCGCGTTAGGGGCCAATCAAGGGCGGAGTGAATGACAGGTGCTCTCGAGGCACACCCCTGATATGCACCACGCCCTTACTTTGTCATTCCTCCCTCGCAAACAAAAAGACGAGCACTCTTCGCAACTTCCTCTGAACTGGAAAACTTGCTTCCATTACACCAGTTTTGCATTAATTCAACAACTCGGCCGTTAATTTAAAGAGAAATGAACGATTCCACCCCAGGGGGTGGCGCGCGAGAACACGGCCTTGGACCTGGCATTGCGCAACACCACTCGTTGTTTACTGGCTAGAAAATGATAGTAAAATATACACCACACGGAGGGTCTCGTCACGTCGTCCGCTCCGTAAACATAGGAAATGGCCAAACACGGAGACGAACCTGCCGGCGAAATTGAGCCCTTGATGACGCGCGTCCGTGCCGAGACCCCGAGCCTTGAGATCAGCTTGAGGGACCCAATTTATTAGATAACAGCAAAATACGTTCAAAATAATTATGCCCGAATTCTAATCGCTTTTTACTTAAAAATATTTATTTTTTGACAAATTTTCAACGCCATTTTTATATTAAAAAAATAAAAATTCAAATTGTTCAATTTTATATTATTTATTTTATTCAAAACGTTCCAAAAACGTGAAAATTTATTATAAATTCGATTTGATTTGATTTGATGACAATCATTATTGATTTCACCATTTTTCACTTCAAATTGTGTGCTAATTAAGCAATTGTGATCGGAACATTTCTGAATTTTTTAATCATAATTCAAATTGAACTCAAAAACTTGCTGGTGAAAGATCAATTACATTTTTTATTAGATAAGTACTTGCGGCTTCAGGGTATGAAGGTCTAACCACAATAAATAATCATATTTTTTCTGCACATTAACAGTTTTGAGCTCCAATTTTGCAAATTAAAGGCCGCATATTGTCTGCAATTACCATTTGAAATTCCATAAATTCAATTTCTGCTCCTACTTTTCAGGTTCAATTTGCAAATGAAGTAACTTTTAATTCTGCGCCGTTTTGCACTAACACCTTCATCTCCTCAGAAAGTGTAAAGATCAAAGGAGTTAAAAAAAAACCACTGCAGAGAGAGAAAAAGAGATGCACCCTCTCTTTCTTTTCTTTGGTCTTGGCGTGCGGCGGCAACTTCACTCTCGGTCCACCTTCTTTTCCGCCCACTTATCGATCGCCGCGTGAAAATGTCCCTGCCCGCGCCCCGCAAAACCTGCAGATTCATGCAACATGCATTACACTCCTTTTTTACTCGCCCCGGTGTGCATATTTGAGAGTTCAAATTAATTTTAATACACGGAGGTGCGTAAATATGCAAATTTTTCATTAAAATTTGACGCCGAAAATGCGAAATTCAGGCGAAAGTTCTGGAAAGGTGCTTTTGCGCATTTCGCACACAGAGCGCTTGCGAAATTGCGCGAATTTTTGGGCCGGGTCCATGAATGGGCGTGCGTCGCGGGGATTCCCCTCGGCGCGTGCCTCTCCATGCAAACTGTCGCTTTCACCCCCGGCCTGGTGAGGGAGCCTCCTCGGGCCGCTCCTCTCTCTCTCGCTCTCTCTTGCGCCGCGGGCTCAGTTCGGCTGGAGCCTCTCAGTGGGTGGAGGTCTTTTGAAAAATGCCAAGTCGAAGCACCGCCAGCAGAAGAGCAACCGGCGAACGTGCCTGATTGCGCCGAGCCCGCCTGCAATTGCTTTTGAGCCAATTAGCCCCGAGGTACCGCCGCAAAAATGCCGAGCTGCAACCCGGCTTCGCACGGAGGCTTCCTCTACTACGTTGTGCCGGTGCCCAACGACGGAAGGTATCCAAAAAATTTGAAAAAAAAATTATCAATTTCAAATAATAAGCAAAACTTTAATTTAAAGCATACTATAAAAGTGAGCAGGAGTTCTAATTTAGTCAACTGGTTTAAATTGAAATTGCAAATAATATCAATCAAACTCTTCTTTCGGAATGCAAATTTATTTGCCCCCATTTTCTTAAAACTAATTTGAAATAATCTGAATAGGGAAAGGAAAGATTGAATTTGCTTATATCAATGAGCAAAAGATGTTTTTCCAAGTTAGTCACTCTGATGAAATTTTATATCTTGCTCTACCCTAGAGTGTTCTAGAACAGCAATTTAGTTTCAATTTAATGAAATTAGGTAACACAGTTTTTTGTGTTGAGATCTTGCATAATTTACTCTCTCTCTCTCTTATCAGATTGTAAAAAAATACAGCTTTAAATTAAAGCCCTAGATTAGGCAACATAGTTTATTCTTGGGTACTAAAAGGTAGAACAAGTCACACACCAAGTTTCTTCGGAATTGAGACGCCTCATTCTTCTATAAAAACATTTCTTGTTTCAATTCAAATATTTCAAATCGTTTTTATTTTTTCATAAACGGTTAGAGAAATGAAGGTAATTTATTGATTTGTAGGATAAATTAAGGCTTAATTTAGCAAAGTCACCAAATAATTCATTACTTATTCAGCCTTTGTTATTCTATCTTGAATAAATAAATCACCTTCTGGACAAATTTCTAAAAAAAAAATATAATTATTTATTTCATTGTTTCTCATATTTCATCAGCGAAATCGAAAATTTTCATATGAATTAATTTATTTAATCTAAAGAACCATTTTTTTTCACTATCGACAAATTCCTCAGTTCACTTTCCCGCCCACTGAATGCTATTAAGGCGCTTCCGTGTGCCAAAACAAAAACACCGCGCTCGAATTACGTTGTCATGCGAGCGAGGTTACTCTTTAATGTTTAATCGATCACCAGAGTGAATATTCAAGTGGCTGAAACCGCGTTCGTCAATTCTTAAAATGCACCCAATGCGTCGTGTTGTAAAATGTAAACAAAACAGAAAACTAAATTTCATAGGAAGTGAAATAATAATTGGGCCATAAATCAGAGTTGGAGCTTTTTTCCGTGCATTTTGGTGTCGTCTTCAAAACACGCGAGCCAAACAAACCGTGCAATCGACGTCAACGAACCTCATGTGTATTTTTACCTCATCGAAATAAAATGTAACAGACTCTTCGATCGCGAAAGATTTGGCGCCGTCTCGCGCTTGCAACAAATGGGCCCCCGCGACTATTACGAATTTTTTTTATTTTCGTTGGTGAAATGCACTTCGGGTGAGTGTTCGCTTCGAGATTATTTCACTTTTATAAATAGCCGCCGTGAGTCGGCGACGGGTGCTCGTCGAAGTTCACGTTCACAATCGAAGCGTGACTTGCTTGGTAAAAAATAAACTGGTGCACCAACTGGCTCCAGCGGCGGTTATAGCCGAGGAGGAAAGTGATTTTAGTTGGAGCTGGTTTAGGAGAGGAGAGGTGCTTAAATCACGCTCTAAAATCTGGTAATTTTACACCGGAAATTTCTTGTTGTTAGGGCTTCGAACGAGTACTCATGTGTGAACAGGGGGTGGATTATTTTTAAGCAATTTGTACGCTAAAAAAATACAATGGGATTATAAATCAATAATTTATTTAAAAAAATTATTACTACTTTTTCCGATGCTAGTTATTGGAAATCAATTAAATGAGAAATTATTTTATCTTTGTAGCTTTGAGGTTAATTAAATATTTTGCAAACGTTGACATGATATGATAATGAAGAAATTTGAAGCAATTTTACCAAGGTTAATTATAATTTAAAATTTATTATCATTTTTCTTTAAGCAAGAACTTTTAGTATGAATTTTTCATTGAAATCAATTTTATATCCTTTTTATGGCAGATTTTCTAGAGCTTGTAAAAAACTAACTATGGAAATTTTTCCGTTTGTTCAAAAACTGAATCACCATAACTTATTATTTTTTCACCAAAAAAAATTTGATATTCCCGCATTTCTATTATTAATTTCACGGAAATGAATTCCAACTTCATTTTATCTATTTTTTTTTTATCACCATCTCAATTTTACGAGGAGTGACTTTTGGGCGTAGGGAGCTGAGTAGAGGCGACGGTGACCCATTTAATAGCCTTGACTGCTGCCAAAAATAGCGTTCCGAACAGAAAGGGAGAAAACCAGCATCTCGTTATCTTTCTTAACCGCCCTTGATTAAAAACGCATTTGATCTTTTCCTCGTTAGCCTTTTTCTTCTTGTGCAGAATGAGCTAAATAAACACAACATGCAACGTCCCTGACATTTTGCGTGAGTGTGGCATTTGTAAAAGAGCACCAATTAATCTGCAGTGCGAATCACGTTGCCTGCACTCTGGGGATTTTTCGCTCGGGTGACCCAGAGAGGGTTGCTGCCGACTGCTGGATCGATGCAATTATTATTATTGCACACACGAGAGAGCTCTCGTGTGATTGTGACTGATGGCCCGCGAGCACGCTGCAAACTTCAAAACGTCGATTTCGCGCCCTCGCACCCCCGTCTCTCTTTCATAATCGAAAGCGGTCTCGACTGTGGCTTGGCGCGGGAGATAATATGCTAATTCGGGGGATTCACGTCGTTTAGTGAAAAGTGGATCAAGCGTTTGCATTGAAAAGAGCAGGGGGAGCAAAAAACGTTTGAATTTTTAATCTTGAATGACTTCAGCAAAGGAGAATGGAGGCTTAAAAATGTTTATTTAATAGCATTAAATTATAAAAATAAATAGTCTTGTGCAAGAAAATCCAGAATTATGGCAAATATTTAAATTAGATTTTATTAACTGAATGAAATTCAAACAGTAATTTATTTAAGTTGATTTTTAAATAATATTATAATATATTATATTTTTTTCCTTTAAAAAAATTTAAAAAATAAACTTCAAAGTATATTAAAGATGGAATATTTACATAAGAATTCACAAAATAATGTAGTTTTTATAAAAAAAAATATATAATTACTATAATTATATATTTGAGGTTATTCCTTACAATATTGAACATACTGATAAACAACTCGTAGACGTTCTATCCAGGAACCAGCTTACAATTAGATCGTGTTGACGACATCTATCACATAAATAAAAGTTCAATCAGAGGTTACATTTTGTTTTTAAAAATATTTTCCCATAGAAGATCTATTTGTAAATATTTTGAACAAGAAATAATTTAGGAGCTTCCGACTTTTCATAACAACGGCGTATTAATCAATAACACCAATGACACCTGAAATATAAATTTTAAATTAATTTACGTTTCAATTTTTGTTTTAACACCAAATACAATTGCAAGCCAATCAATCAAATTATTTATTTTCATGGTGGATTGAATTTAAATTCGGCTTTTCCTCGATGGGTTTTTGTGAGTTTTTATTGTTTAAGAAAAACAATATCCTGCTCTACATGTTTCGGCTGCGGGCTGCAGCCATAATTCATGAGCTTTCTCGGCGGTGGTCGAGAGAGTCTTCTCTCGACCACCGCCGAGAAAGCTCATGAATTATGGCTGCAGCCCGCAGCCGAAACATGTAGAGCAGGATATTGTTTTTCTTAAACAAAAAAAACTCACAAAAACCCATCGAGGAAAAGCTGAATTTAAATTCAATCCACCATGAATCAACCCTCGATCGTGAACTTCTACTACAAAATATTTATTTTCAATTAAAATTGCAAATGAATCATTTTCTTGATAAGTTAAAATCCATCTTGTCCTCTCTTGAGTATTTTAATCAAACTGGTTTTTTATCCCTTGACGAAATGATTAATTTGAATGTGTGATTTCAGTACGGACAGCGGTTGGGACAACCCATTTCGTCCAGACGGCGACCTGAGTCGGGAGGCGGACGAGATCGTCGAGATGATCAAGGGCGGCAAGCCGATCACCCCCACGACGGCCACGTCGGGCGTGACCTTTGACCAGACAGACGCCCTGCTGGCGTCGGCAGTGACGACGACGGCGGCGCCGAGGGGCAGTGCTCCCGGCTCGCCAGTCAAGACGGCGGCCAACGGCAGCACCGGCGCCGCGGCGGCCAACGGTGGTGAGGGGGTGGAGGTGACGCACGGCCGGGTGACGGCCGCGGACGCCTCGCAGGTCGAGCATGTGGTGCTGAAGAAGAAGCCGCGCTGCAAGTGCTGCGTGATCCAGTGAAAGACTGACCCGACGGCCGGCGGCCAGCAGGCGGCCACCCAGTGGCCGCCGGAGGAGGAGGCATTTTTAAACACGAGAAGCTACTGAAAAAAAATAATTCGGATTAGGTACAATTTAAAGAAGAAAAAACAAAATACGAGAGAGAAAAAACTACGACGAGAGACAGAAATTTATTTTTTCATGTGAGTCCCGAATCATGTGTTGTTGTTACTTGTGATGATGAGAGAGCAGAGGTGGCCAGCTGACAGACGGACAGACTGCAGGGCTGATTCTTCTTCTAATAACCGGTTCTTTTCTTGTAAAGTCTCTGTTGTTGTTTAGAGTTTGCGTCGTCGGGCCCGGGAATGAAACGAAGTGAGTGAAAGGCCCTCAAAGACACACAGAAGAAAAGCTGCTTGCTTCCGTCAAAGATGTATCGGTGCACCTACATTTTTTGTAACAATTTTTTACCTCACCAAAAGAAAAGTTTCAAAAAGAGCTTCTTCTCATTTTCACGTAGATATGTAATAATATATTATAATTCCGAATTGTCTCTATGTGGGCCTCTCACGAACTCGCTCCCCCGCGATGAGAGATTACATCGGCGCATCCAGTCTGCTCGTAGTTGAATTTGACATGTATGTGTATGAACTATAACTATATACATTGTGATTCTCTTTTATTTGACATTCTCCACTCTCACTTGACACCATTCGTAACGAGGCCTGCCACAAACAAACATTATAAATCGGTGCTGGATTTTGGGATAGTCCCTGACCAAAGCTGGAGCTTTTCCCTCGGTCGCTTTATTGTTTTAACATCCGTTCGCTCGGAGCAGCTCTTAAATTATAGTCAAGAAATCGTCATCATGTACTAGTTGTAAATTTTTTCCATCCGATTTTGTTGTTTTACTTGTGAAGTTTTGTGATAAATTATTTCTCGTTCTGTTTCTCTTATAATTGCATTTTTGTTCTACCTTGATGGAGGCGCGCAAGTTAATGATTAATTTCCTGCAGGGACTACCGCAAATCACTCTAAAGAAAAGATACGAAGGGCCATTTGTTTAAATTTTTTGAAAAGAAATTAAGGAGGCTTTCCAAAATCGAGTGAGCCGAGCGCAGAATACACTAATTGCTGTTCTGTAGAAGTAAATCGTCTGTATAAATTAAACGTTAAGTGCTAATTATCGACTCTTCTTAAGCCGGCCAATGGAAAGTTCCTGCCTGGCAAATGAGCGTTGTGCAAAACCGATTGGTCTGACACGTACATCCATACAAGGAGCCCTGAAATTTTATCTTGTCCTGTTGTACATAATTATACATTTAAAAATGAGAAACATACTGCTGCGCTATAATATGATTATTACAATGATGATGATTGATTACTATTATATTGTATTGCCTCTCATGGTAGCGTCTTGTCTAATTTATTGTGTAAAAAGGAAAATCATGTACTACTGCGTAAGGAGAGTAAACATCATGTTCCACTGACTTATATTCGACAACAGAAGATTAAAAACTATGAGAAGTATAACTAAACTTGTCAATAAATACCACACAGTACGAAAGCAATGGCATACTGCATTTCTTTTGTTTTTATTTTTACACCAGCTTTATAATGCTTTGTTGCTAATAAAAAAATAGCTGTCTGATTTTGAAAATTCTGGCAAACTGGGTAAAAAAACATTTGAATCTATTCAAATGCTGTAGTTTTTGTTTCAAAAAATTATAATCTACATCAGCCTCTTGAAAAATTCAGGTCCATAACTTGCAATTTGGCCACTGTTGAAGTAATTTAAAAAAAATAGATTATAATCAAAGCATTCGCTGCAAAAGTTTCCCGCGATTTTCAAGTGAAATCGAAAGTTCCAGGCTCTCCAGCCAATCGGACGCTGCATCGCAGTCACGTGATTCCCTCAGCTGGCAAATTTTGGAACCATGGAAAAACGCCGCTAGCCTGAGCTGCCAAAGTGCGTGTTACCGATATATTTTTCTATTTCCGTTCGGTCTTCAGTCGGTTTCAAAGAGTCGATCGAAAAAATGTTTCGCCGAGAAGGTGCTGACGATCTCTCGCTGATCAACCATTTGCAGGTGAGCCTCAATTCAAACGAAACAGAGAATAAACAGAAAAAATAACATTCACAACGAATTTGCCAGAAAACGTGGTTTCCAACAGAAGTTTTTCCTCATTAAATATGTATCTTTTTTCCAGCATCGCAACGTAGCTGAGCTGCTAAGCACACACATTCCTGACCATGAAGCTCTTTTACTGAGTGATGGAAAGTGAGTCCTATTTAATTATTTACCTTGCCAAATTTTTAGAAATAATTACAACAATCAATTTTTTCTAGGCTGACTTGTGTAATTTGCTCAAACAGACCGGTTTTTGACACTATCGAGGTGCTTGCTATCCATCGCTCTGGAAAAAAACACATACAAGGTTTAAAATTTTTATTCAACTTTTGAATTTCAATTAACAGTTTTTAATCAGAGCTGGCAAAGCACTTGCATCACAAAGCCGAGTTGGAGACGAAAGCTACCCAAGACTCAAAAGAGTCGCATGTGCTGGCCGGACTGACCACCAAAGACTTGGCCACCTCGGAACTGCTTCGAAGAACTCCGAGCAACAGTCGCAGGTTCAACCAGTCCAGACGCCTTTCAATCGAAACTGCCACACCTCAGAGTAAATATCCAAATTAATTTTTTTATAATTATAAATTACATAATTTTCTTATTCAGCCAACGTCCTGACGACTCCTCCGGACACAACCTTCAACCCTAACAACCTGGTTCGCAAATACCTTCGCAGCATCGAGCGCAGTCGTTCCATCGCCAAGACCATCGAAGAGTCCAGGGACAGCTATGGGGAAATTATGTCCTCCGCCAACCAGAGCACTGCTGAGGAGGGACCTTTGGTTAGGCCCAGAGGCGTCAAAAGGAAAAAATCGGCCTCGGAGCCAACAAAAGAGATGCAGACTGATCCTGAAAAGTAAGTTGGTCATTCCAGTTTAAGTAAGAAGTTCTAATTTGACGCTTGAAAGCAGGAGTGGCTGGAAGGTGAACAAAGAGGGCAAGTGGGAGAGAGACCCTGAGGCTGAGTTTGAATCAGACGAGGATGAAGAGGATGAAGAAGAAATTTGAGCAACTGATTTAATTCCTACAGTAAGTTACTATTTTGCTGATGATTCCGTTGTGCCTTAATCGTGAATTGGTGTTATCGTAAAACTTCAAACCATGGCAATTAACTAAAAATATAATCTTCAAAACTGTCTTAATATTCCAACGACTTTCAATATATTTTTATAAAACAAGCAATAGGAACCACAAATTCTTTATTTTTTCATTCCAAGTTACAGTTCGGCGAGCAGTCTTTAATATGAATTTATCGTTTTGAATGCTGGACAGTCAGTTGCAATGACACAGAGTTTATTTTAGTAATATGTATGCGCTTTTTTTATTTGATGGCTCTGGTCAAAAAGTCTCAATTCATGTCGCAGGCTTCGCTAACTTGCTACTATTTGAAAGAATTTAAAAATGCTGCTTTCTCTACTAAAGAATTTTGATTGAATTAATTTTTTGCATTCCCAAAACTTTTGGACGCCAAAATTTTACAAAAATCAATGTTCATCATTGAATATCGTATTATTGCTGTGAGGGCAAAGGAATTTTTGCATAAAAAATACTAAAAATTTTTATCTGTCTGTATCGGTCTGTATGCTTTTCTGCTGCCAGCGCTGCTGTTTTATGCTTAATTTTAAAGTGGCAACAAAATGAGACAATTTCACATTATTAATTAAATGTAACAACTTCCAAGTTAATTTTTATTGCATTGGTTGCTTTGAATATACAATTTGTAAAGAAAACAAACTATTCACTTTTTAGAGGTGCGAGTTTCAATCTATTGTATTTTAAAGTTTCGGAACGATCAAGAACATTAAAAACTCTACTTCTGCGTGCATTTTTAATATCTGGCACTCCAAATTCCTTAACCAGAGAGCGACTGGGGTACGTCCACTTGTCTGCATCATTATTTATAAAAACATGTCCAGTGATGTTGATCTCCCCTGGCACCCGAAGGGTATAGCCAACGTGGATCTCTGTTGGTCCATTGTTCTGAACACTCAAGTCCTTTGGGTTGTTCACGCTCAAGCTGTACTGCATCTCGTGGTTGTTGGCAATGAAAATGAAATTGGCTTCCCACTCCACAGCGCTGTAAAACTCTTCGCCGCGGGTGTTTTTACATTTAGACCATCCAATAGGCCTCAACTCGGCTGAGTCCATTCTTATCCCAAAATTCGTTAAATTCGGAAACCTCTCCCTCATCTGGTTTATCATCTTCATCTTGGCCGTGCCAAAACCTTCTTGAATGAATTCGCTCCACTGCCTCATGTTGCTTATTGGCTGGCCGTTGTTGAAGTTTTCTAAGCGTGCGTCCGTGGAATTATCAAAATGCTCTTGTTCGCTGAAAACCGTTCAAATTTAAAATGGGGTTAAATTGCCAAAATCAGGCCTTTTTAAAAAATATATTTAGAAGTATTTTCAAACTCTTTTTTTTACTATATTTAATGCAATAGTTATTCAGCTTCGGCAACCTCAGTTACCCAATTTCAATTTCAATTAGCCTTATATCACGAATTGCAATGTAAAATAAGCCTTTAAAGCCATTTAAATTATATTTATAATGTCTAATAATAGTTGCAATGTGTCTTTATTGATTGTATCAGAAGGCAATTACTGCCCGGGTACATCATACATACATTAAAAAAAATTATCAATTTACATCATAAAGAGGGGAAAATCATCTTAAAAATCACATAAATCAAAATTATTAAATCAATTGCGCATATTTAACAATGACATTAAAAGGAGAGTTTTGAAGGAAATGAATTAGGATAAGGTATAACTGGAAACCACCTTTTGACTGCCCCAAGCATGCTTGATTTTAATCTTTATCAAGTTCTTTGACGCTTTTTCGTTGAGAGCACCAAATAATGACAATCATTTGCTTAGGACTTGGTCTCCGCAATTCTAGTGTGATTATTGGAAGGTTGCTGAGGGCAATAAGCAATAAATTTCAAAATGCAAAAATTTTAATTAAAAGCTGCGAGAAACGAAGCCGCACGTCATTGAAAATTAATTAAATCAGAAAAATTGTAAAAAAAAATTACTCACCTCATATTTAGTTGATCTTGCCTCCTGCAAATAACAATAATAATCAAATTACCGGCGTGAGTGGCGTAGTGGTTTGAGTGTTAGGCTACCAATACGAAGGTACAGAGTTCAATGCTTAGACTTTGTTAGCGCGTCAAAAAGTTCTCTGTATAATCACTCATGTTCGGGAGGTGTCGCAAGGCGACGAACTTGCCTGCTCGAGGTTTGTGCCGTTTCCTCGAGTTGTTGGAATTCCTGCACCAAATGGGGGCATTTCATAAAGTCCAGCGGCACCTGGCTAATTTGGTAGACTTTCCAGCCGATAAGCACCGAATGGAGCTTGGCAGGATCATAGTCTATCCAAATGAATCACAAAAAAAAAATATTTATAGAAAGTATTTTTATTCCCATAGTTCACAAAACTGCAGTAAAAAACGCTAAAATACCACTGAACTCTCTGTGTTTGAAAAAAAATACATAATATCAACCTTGCAAAATTGAGGGTGAAAACCAGCGGGTCTTGGGTTTTAAAAAACCAAAATTAATAGTGGCCAATGAATTTACCGATCTCTGGTCTTGGCTAAGTCTGGTTCAGTTTCAACATTCAAGTTGATATACTTGAAATCCTTGTATAAGTTTGATTAGATTAGATATGTAATAATTTTTTTTCTCATTTCAGCACAAATTTACGGCAATAAACATGCACAAAAATACCTAACAAACAAGTTAATGTTGCCCCAAGTCATTACATTATAAATAAAATTATGTCCAAAAAAACTTGGAATCGATCGTGAAACAAATTATCATACAACAACTTTTTTTACAAAATGCTAAACATTTCTTTAAAGATTTCAAGATTTGGATTCTTGTTTTTGCTGTAAATTTGTAATATATCAAAAGTTGATAAAGTTTGACTGCGACATGAATTGAATATTATAATTTTTCACCTATTTCCCTTACTTTGATTTGCTGGCCGGCGTTGTAGGTTTGCTGAAAACACCTTGCTGTAGCAGTAGCATGACTGGAAATTTTCAGGTGTTAATAGTTAATAAATTTCTATTTCTATTTTTCTAATTAATTTTATAATTTTCCCGCGCATGACGTAAACTAACGGCCGAGCCACCCAAACGCTTTTTTAATTCTCGTTAGGTTGAGAAAACACCACAACACCACTAGTGTATTAAATATTAATAGTGAAATTTGAAATAAAATAATCTAGAGATTATTTTTTTATAAATTATCATTTGTACAATAGGGAGTGGGAAAATTTTCAACATACCTGACATCAACGTTAACCACATTTTGGTTGCTCGGTTTCTCGTCTTCATTTTGAAGTGGCCTCGTGTGCAATATTGTTAAAAGGAAAGTGATAATGTGCGACCAATTCTCAGCTCTTTTGTACAATTTTTTGACACAAGTACAGAGCAAAGTCTATAATACGGCGGCACCGCGTAACCTTTTGAACCAGTGTAGCAGTTTGTGAAAACATATTATTTGGAAGAAGCTTTTGGAAAAGAAGAATTAATTTTTTTGCAGAGTTCAAAAGACCAGGCGATACATCAAATATTCTTTGGGGAAAGGAAACACGCAGAAAAGGATTGGAACTACAACAACAGAGTTAATCAATTTTTTTTTCATTTTCACGCACTTTATAAAGAATCAGTAAATGACGTTACCTCTAACTAATAAATAATCTAACTAATATGGGTAAAAAAAATATTCTCCCAAGCAGTTGGTATACCAACTAACCAGAAAGAAAAAAATCCGAAGTTATAAAATTTTTAGAACTGTTGGTGTGTTGAACAATTTCCATAAATTTTAACTCTACAGCTGCATTTTTAAGACAAAACTGTTGATCAACCTTTTGTTGTTAATCCAAAATTACAATCGCAAAAACCTTCTAAAAATACGTATAAAAATGAGCACTCTTTTGACAAGTCGCATCGTGTGTTGGCAATTAGGATTTCACAAAAATGTATTGGAAAATCCCACTTCTTCCTATATCTCTTACTGCGATAATAAGAGGTCAAGTTAAGCATTTTTATTGACCCTTTTCAAAAATTGAGCAAAACAAACAACATGTGATCAATATACCGTTCATACCATTTATGCATTTTTGTATTTTAACCTAAAAAAAATACTGATTCTATAATATTTATTTGTAAACAGTTATATTTCCTTTGAGAATTTTCATCCACAGAGTAAACAATTGGTAACTAAACGACATAATACGCATTGCACCAAGCGGTAGTTTAAAAAATATAATAACACCTTATTAAAGCATTTCTGCTTGCGTAAAGTAAAAAAAATTTCAGAGTAAAATTTATCGAAAAGTGCGATGCGACCTATAATTCTTGTAATAAATAAAAATGGGTTCCTCTGTGCCCGCGACTGCTTGGAGCCGCATATCACTTTTTTGCTCCTTGGTCAAATTTGTGTGAGCTTCGTGGCCTCTGCCGTCGTGATTATAATTGTCTCGAGAGACTTGAAAAATTAAATTGAAAAAAATAAAACAGCAAACTAAGAGCACACGGCCAGAAAAAATAATAATTACCAATTTAATAATTATTATTATTATTAATCAATACTAAAAATATTTTTTCTAACACTAAAATTCAAAATTCAATTTCTAGTAAGAGTAATTGTTTATCGATGGAGACTGGCTTTTCTGTGAATAGCGTAATTAGAGTTTCAGACAAACGAGAAGAGATGCTCCACTCGCGCCACCTTTTTTCTAGGAAATTCCAAATACACATAAATTTTATTGTAAAATGACTTCCTTCTCTTTAAATTTTTAGATTATTTTTCTGATTATCAATTGAGGGGGGGGGGTGCAAAACTAAACACTCACATATTATTGGAATATTAAAATTTTAAAGTTTTATAATGGAACAACTGATCACAATTAAATAAATTTGATAAAGGCATGAAAAACTGATGTAAATGTGATCAATTTCAATTTAATTATAACATTCAATTTATATAATTAGAGCCAATTTAAATTAAATCGGGTTTTTTTTAATGAAATTTAAATGCTTTGTAGTGCCATAATTTAAATTCAAAATTATGTACCATCAATATCAATCAATGCCTTCACAAATATAGAAAAACGTTCCATTACGACAATTCACTTCCTTGAGCACAAAATCATCTGGAGGCAGCTCGTGAAAACCATAAGGCTTGAAACTCAGCACAATGCATGTTTCTTCAAATTTTTCCTTGGATTTTTCAATCATGGATTCCATTTCTGAACTCAAGTTGTTGTTAACCTTGCCTCCGCACCATTTAAAATTTGGCGACAAACTCCTGTAGCCAGAGGTCAAAACCAGTCCTTTTCTTCTATGAGGATCTATCTCAATTTTAAATAGATGCATTTTTTAATTAAAATCTTGCACATACCAGGTAAATTTCCCATTAAGCATTTTACTTTTTCTACCGTGTCAAGTGGTGCAAGCTTCGTCCTTTCAGCAAAGCAAGGGCACAAGTGTATTGCGTTTTCATACGACAACTTGAAATTTAAAATTAAATTGGGAGTTAAAAAATATACGTGTTATTTGAATATAAGATCTTGTTACCTCTGTCATACTCATATAATAACGTTTGCCACAAATCTTTTTGTGACTTGCAGCTCTTAGTCCTTCCTTAACTATTGATAAAAATTATACTTCATATAGAATTGATATTTTGTTATATTTCTAACTAATCGTCAGGGGCCTTTTTAAAGTTAGAGCCTTTTTGATGGGAATTTTGAGATTAATATTCATCATGTTTGATTGATTTTGTCATATACTGTGTTAGAGTTGCAGTCGAACTCCGGACATTCCTGGTGACAATTTTCAATGATATTAATTTTTATCAGTGCCGGAAAGTACAATGTCAGCTAAAATGTATACCAGCTTTTTAGTTGTTGGCGTCTGAATTTTGTTTTCATAAAAGCACGTTTGGGACGTGTTTTTGAGTCCGAGACAAGTGGATATGCACCTCATCAATTGCGCTTTGTAATTTGGCAGGCACTCTGCAGAAGAGGACAACCAAAATTCAAAAGGTCACATGAGCACCTTTCAAAAATTAGAATAATTTACCTAAGTATTCTGTTTTGTTGTATGCCAAATCAGCCTTTTTTTTTAATAACGCATCAAAAAGAATTGTTTAAATTTTTAAATAAATTACCAATAATTTTTCCATTAAGCTCGGAAGCAAGAACAAAACTGTAAAATAGATTTTAAATATCATTTTCACTGTGGCTACTGCGTTGTTTTCCAGCAAAACAGGTTCTGAACTGCCGTGCTTTGTGGGACCATCATAATAGTTTATGGCATCAGTCTGTTTTGCTGTGATACATTTCAACCTAGCTGATTAATCTTTTTGCATCCGATATGGTTTCGACGTGACAGGAAATGCATCAGTTCCATTTCTAACAGATTTTAGGAAATTTTGACATCTATTTAAATATTATTTTAAAATGTATCTAAATTATTACATAATGGATATTTTTTTATATTATTAATAGAATTAGAAAACTCAGAAAACCATTAATGTAGGTATTTAATTGTGAAATGAAAGTAAGTGAGTAAGTAATAAAAAACAATATTTTATTTCGGCTCACACATCCCGTTATTGCAGAACATATCTTTTGCGACAGTTATTCCTTAAATATATCAACGTTGTTGGCTCGAGTGGAAAAGGAAAACTTAAGTCTTGCGCGAATCCATGCATGATGTTTAGATCGACACTTACTGAGAGCCAGTAGACAGCAGAGCGAGCAGACCTCCAGCGGACAGCACGGACAGAGTGTAGTTCCTAAATTTTTAGTCAAGGAAAATAAGCAATTTTTTCATTCAAATTAACCTGAAATGAACATGAATATATAAATTTAATTATTAGGTTTTTAAAAAGGATACACTGCAGGGGTGAAAGTGGTCAAAAGGTAGAAGCTGCAGACGATGATCAAGGCCAGGAATATGGCATTGTTGTAGAAAATGGCAAAGGTGGTAGCTTCGTAGTCAGCCACTTCATTTTTCTTCCACAAGATTCTAAAAGCAAGGATCGTGTTTTATAAGATTTTGTAGGTATTTATAAATTTATATTTTACCTCTCGTCCTTTTCCTTTTTGCTCATCTTCTTGTCCTCGGCAAGTTTCATGGTCATTTCCCTGGTCACGGCCTCCTCCCTCTTCACAGCAATCTGTCGAGAAACAAACTCGTGGCAGTGACCACTCTCTAATGACCTTTCTCATTCAACCGTACATACCTTATGCTTCAGAACAAATTTAGTGTTTTTGTAGGCAAAAGCCACGAGATAGGTGCTGGCGCAGGTGATAATGATGAAGAGGACGAAGGTCGAGTACAGGTCCATCATGTGGATTCTCCAGAAGAGCCCTAATTAAAAAAAAATGGATCACACACACGTTTCATAGCCTGACATGCACATTAATGCCATACAAATGGGAATCGCCGACACGATGAAGGCATTTCCGTAGAAGAGAGCCGACGACTTTGTCGACACATTTCGGCTGAAATCCTGCAGCAGCAGTTCCTCCTCCTTGGTGAACGCCACGGGCTCCTTCTTGGTGGTCATTTTCAGTAGTTTTCAGTGAAAAATCCGTCCGTGATGTGTGCCGAAGGTAGGTGAGCGTCCACAACAGACGGAGAAGAGTTGGTAAGACGTGGAAGGAGGCGTGGCAGGTTTAAGGGGGCGTGCCGGCCATTACCACCTGGCAAAGGCAGCGCGATTTGTTTTGAAAATTAAGTCAAACAAGGGGGATGGACGACGCAGTTTGACATCACCTAGAACTCTCTTCCCTAATCAGCATCACAAGCTGCGCTAATTGGATCTTGAATGGCACTAGGGCGAGCAGAATGGGAAAGAATCCCTTGAAATTCATCGGAAGGCCAACCAGCCAGACGCATACGGTCGATGCTCGAATTGCTCGAAATCATCCATCGTCGCTTTTGATTTTCATGCGTGACGACGCACACAAGTTTGCACTCCGTCGCCTTTTTTGACCATTGCGCCAAGTAGGTCAAATTAATTTGGAATGCCAATGCTAAGAATCCGGATTTTGTTTAATTCTTCGTTGTTTTTTTAGCATGCTCGTCAGACCGAAACCCTCAACTCTCTCTTGGGAGAAGCAGGACGATACAGGAAAGTACCTGATCAAGCAACACGCACAAGATGTTGTAGATTTTTCCTCGCAGTATGGAAGTGTCGACAGCATTTCTTACACGGCACACAATTTGACAGGCCAAAGCAGAGTTTTCCCAGCGTACGGAGACCACGCTGAAGCCTACAGCATGGTAAATGAAAGACATCAAACTTTTTAAATTTGCTAATTTATATCGCTTTTTAGAGAACGTATGGTAAATGGTGGGACGAGGCTCCTTCAGGCAGGAAAGAGATTCAAGGGCAGAATTTTTGTCAAGTTCGCAGCCAAGATTTTATTGGTATGCCGTTTCATTATTGTTTTTCGGAAGAAATTTTAAAACTGATCAATTTACAGACTTATCATTTGAACACAAAGTGTTTCCATCTGCAGTCACGCTGTTTGAAGTTTATAATCCAGGAGCATTGGTCAGAGTGTGGGCTAGGGATGCTAATATCGCATGGTGTCTTTTATATCAAGTTGATCAACTGGAATCGGCGCCCCTGGTTGCAAGAAAATTCAGTCCAAAGCTAAAAGAATGCCATTTCCCAACTAGGTCTAATAATTTGATTAATTTTTTTTTTTTCATTTTAGTTACAGAAATATCAAAGTTTCTGAATAAATTTTCAATTTTCAGTCTGTTGCGATTGGAATTCAATCATGAGCACTTGGATTCTTATTACGAAGTTGAGAGTTTCATTCTCGAAGGCTTCACCAGGCAGTGGAAAAATCCATTGGCTACCTATGAGCCTTATGGGGAAATCACTAAAAAAGTTCTGAATCTCAACTTGACACAAATCCTGTCAAGAAGTGACTCTTCTTCATCTAGTTCATTCTCAGAAACAAGCAGTCCTTTAAATACTTCAATAGACGAGGATGAAGAAGATGAGCTAAATGCATTTGAAACTTTGCCGGTATTTCTTTACTCCTTCTAAACATAACATAATACTAAGAAGTTTTAAATTTTACAGTATGAGGTTGTGCACAAAATATTCAGTTACTTGGATTTAAAATCATTATGCCAGTGCTGCATAGTTAGCAAACAATTCCAAGCTGTTGCTAAAGATTCAACTCTGTATGTTCACGTCAATTTGAAGGTAATACTTGACCAAATTAATTAATTTAACATATAAAATATTTTATCTTACGTTTTTTCATAGAATTATTGGAATATTGTAAATGATTCAACCCTGCAGTGTATTGCATTTCGATGCTCGAGACTGCAGTCATTAGATTTGTCCTGGTGCAACGGGAAGGGCAGTTTTGAAATGGCGTTTATCAAGTAATTTCCTAAAAATTATTTGATTTTGCTTGTAATAAATGTCTATGATTAGGCTAATATCTCATTGTGGCGCAACTCTAAAAATTCTCCGACTCAACTCATGCAAATTTATTACCAAGTACTGCCTTGCGGAAATTGCTGACACTTGTTGCCGACTTGAAGGTAGTTGAAATTTATTCAAAGATCTCTCATTGATCTTTGAAAATTCCATTCCAGAACTGAGCCTTAGAAAGATTCTGCCTCCGTACAAGAGCTTAACAGGGTGGCAGGTTTTGTCGGAGCTGACGACTTTGAAATATTTGGACTTGTACCACGTTCACATCAATACTCAGGATCTGATGTCGTTCCTGCCTTATTTGACAAAGCTGCAGCACCTTAATCTTGGTACTTGAAATTTTATAATTTAAACAAATATATACCATAAATTCACTAGGATCTTGTGCCGCCTCTCGTTTAACTCTGTTGAACATGGACGTGATTGCTGAGAGCCTTTCGAGAAATAACAAAAATCTCAAGTCGGTGGATATGTGGAGGTCTCACTTGAGTCTTTCTTCTATAGGCATCAAGTGCCTTTCAAAATGCAGTCAACTGGAGGAGGTTGATTTGGGGTGGGCGTAAGTTTTGTGTGCTTTTTTTAAATATTTTTTTTAACAAATTATATCGCTCAGAGAAATTGAGGCACTTGGGGACTGCATCCAAGATTTGGCTAAAGGGTGTCCGCGGCTTAAGAAGTTTTTTGTACCTGCCATGCGAGGGTTGACTGACCGAGATTTACACGTCCTTATTAACAACTGTCCGCTGCTGGAGCAAGTTGATATTTTAGGCATAAGGAATGTTTCACCGGATGTTTGTGTTAGGTAATTTAATGAGAAAGTTATCTATTTTTATAAAAAGATTGATTTTTGCAGAATGTTGACTCATTGTCGAAATCTTTGTCTGCTTGATGTTAGCTACTGTGATAAAATTTCAAGAGCCCATGTTTCCCTGTGGAGAGTTCAGTTTCCCCACATCAGCATCAAGCAATGCTCCTACTCGAGGCCAGATGCTATAGATAATTTTGTTTGAATATTCTGATCTCATTATAACTACAGCAGCATTAACGCTAGGATTACCAAGATCTTTTAAGGTTTCTTGCGGTTTCTTGATGCTAATGCTACATTCTATATATTTGTGTAATATATTTTAGGACAGATTTTATGTTATATTGGTGTAAAGGTATAAAGGATTTAATTGCAAATATTGTGCAATTAGTTTTTTTTAAATAAGGTGCTTTTAATTTGTGCTTGACCTTGTACAAATTAATTTTGGTAACAACTAAATTCTTGATCATTCCAAAAAAAGCTCATAGTGTGCTGCATACCTATTCTATGATTATAATTATTGGTAAGGAATGTTATATTAGTTGCAATAAAAATTAAAGGTTAAAGTTTCCTTTCTCTGCCAAAAGTTGTTACTTGTGTCTAAATAAGTTAGCTTAATTCAAACACATCAAAATAAATGTGTTGCGACTTCTTTACAGAAATATTCTGAGTGAGCAGCCAGTACAAATCACACAAAAAATTGCCAAAAATACAAGTCAATTGTTGTTCTTATAACTTAAAACGGTTGGCTCAAAGAGTTCGTGCAACACAAAATTTTCACGATCGAGCAGGCAAGTCTTTCTTGAGAAGTAGGTGGACTGATTGAAATTAAGGCAATCTCATTTATCTGTTTCACATCAATTTCCATCGATAAAACTTCGGTTTGTACTTTGGCACTACGACGAGCAGTTAATATGCTACCATGAAGTCACATGCCATATGAATAACGGAGAAGGCTGCAAACTTAACATGGTTATTTTAAGTTACATCCACAAAATGTTGGCAAGCCAGGGAGTCAAGAGACCCATGATGATACTGGAGATAAGATTGACACTGTGGTTGTCTAAAATGGGCATGCCGCTGATGTGCTTGACACCTCGGCCAGGGCGCTCTACTATACAGCCAGTCTTTTCTTCAATGCCTGCCAAAAATTGAGCGATCAGTACGAAGTTAGGTTTGTTCACATCAACATAAGTTAGCAAAAACAGCTCTCAAAGTACCTGAATATTGAAGGGTAGCACCAAGAAGTGAGTCGACAATACTTCCGACCAAGCCAGCCAGGCCACCCGCAATTATCAGAGGCCACTGGGGTGGACTGGTAAGAAGAGAGGCGGAGTCTACGAGTTGAACCACTGATATGTAATAAGCAATGCCGACCATCAGTCCTCCAAAAAAGCTGAAAAGCAGCCCTCCAATGGTGACTCCGCCATTTGTTCCTAAATTATTAAAATTTTAATAATCTAGATTCAAACAAATTGGGATTTTAGCACCTCGTGGGACATGTTCTCTAGTAGTAATCAGGAAGGGATTTGTGTTTCCAATGACAGAGCCCAGCTCTGAAGCCCAGGTGTCTCCATTGCAACAGGCAAAGGCTCCGAGGACACCCATACTGAGCCAAGAGGCTCGATAGTCTCTGGCAAAGTCGATTGTCCTTTCACCACATCCAGAATCAATCAAATAAAGAAGTGCGAGTTCAGTGGCCATGCCTCCGTTGCACAACACCTGAATCCAGTTTCTTTGACCACCTGAAAATGATATAAAATTTATAAAAGTTCAGTTATTTATAATGATGAACATAATTAAATTGTATTCACCCTCTTTGAATTCCTTCTCGATTTTCCTCTTCTTGTCACTTCTGTACTTGGTAGCCTTGGATGAAGTAACAAAAAAGGTCATCAAGCACGCAAGGAATGCGTAGCTGCTGAGAGTGAGGACAAAACCCACAATGAGGCCTATAATTTTATAATTATGTATGCATGATAGCATGATATGATTTTTTTTTAATTTACCTAAAACAGCCCCTGAGGTGTTCAAGCTCTTTTTCTTCAATCCCCAAGCCACAAAAGCTATGGGAATCACCATCGACATGAGCCAACGAGTTGGTGGTATCACGACGTCCCCTAAATTAAAATTGATATCCTCTTTTATAGTTTAAGTACAGCGCAATATTTATTTTTTGTGAAGGTTTTTATTACCGTCCCTGTGCGCTTCATAGCTTCCCGTAAAAAACGAGAAAGCCATGTTACCAATCCATAAAAACATGGACAGTGGGACAGCGACTGCTGTCAAGATCACTGGCATCAGGGTAGAGACAATGGAGTGTCTGTCTTTGTTGTCCATGGTTCAGAATTTTATCTCTAAAATCAAATGAAATATCACAGATTAAATATGTTTTGTCTTCAACAAAACATGAGTCATCGAGTGACGTGAATTATTGATGCACTTTTGTGGATTTGCTTCTAGAAAAATTCATGCACAACAAATAAATTATACCTTTAATATTTCTTCACAGCAGAGATTTTACACAAGACGACTTATTTCATCGCAGAACGTGGAAATCTGCAGATTATGCTGTGGCACGGCACCAAGCACGAGAAATTCGCCTCTTCCTGATTTAAGTGGCCCTAATTAAGGTGCCTTCGATTAGCTTTGCAAAATGCGAGATGGATAATAACTTCTGCAAACATCTGATCAGCAAAGTGCAAACTTGCTTCGCAAGAAAATTGGACTCCGTTTGGGAAACAGGTGTTTTGATCTTTGCCGAGTTTCTCTGATGAAGTGGGATGTGCGCAAGCGCTGTCGTGCAAATATGTCTCATTTCGTCTTTCTGTTGTTGCTGTTGAAAGTTTGATCCTTTCATCTTCTCATCGCAGGTTGAAAACAAAAACAGAAGCACGAGGATTCACGAGGATGGCGAACACCGGCAATGCCGACGACGATCAAGAGGAAATGAATGTGACGGCAGTTTCGACAACGCCAAAACTCACCAAGAAAGAGAAAAAGGCGCTCTTGGCAAGCAACAAAAGTTTTGAGAAGAGCTTGAAGAATGTGATTACAAATCCTTATCCTGTTCATTGGTGAGAAATATGGTTGACTTGCAATTCTGGGCCACTTTCAATTCTGGGCCATCAAAATGAGTTTTTCTTGAGAAAGCACAAAACTTGGGGATGGTAACTGTTGTTTTGCAATGTGCAGTGGTTCCTTACATTATCTATTGTTGTTTTTTACAATAACTCCCCTAATTATATAAAAAATTATGTAGTAAACATTTAAAAGAAATGGCAAGTTTAGAGCAATGGATATTTGCAAAATTTTCGCATCCAATGTTTTATATTAATAAATTAAATTTTTTTAGTTAAAAGCTTTTTGATTAATCTTTTGATCATTCAATCTTCAAAATCAGTCAAATTTCACAGCGATTCGTGTATAAAATATTTAATAATTACTTGTTTTTTCTCAGGTGGGGGCCCAGAATTGTGAGGGATACTTTCAATTCTGGACCATTTAGTTCACTACATAGGGTTCATAGAAGGGCGGCCCAGAATTGTGAGTTTTACTTTCAATTCTGGGCCATTTGTTTTATCATGTAAAAAAGGCGGTCCAGAATTGAAAGTAAGTGGCCCAGAGTTGTGAGTGCCACTTTCAATTCTGGGCCCTTTGTTTTTATCACAAGATGGTCCAGAATTAAAAGGAAGTGTGGCCAGAAATGAAAGTTAGTGGCCCAGAATCAAAAGTCACAAGGATATCGAAATTCTTAATTTATTCCAATAATCTGATAATTGTAATTAATTGCATATTCAGAAATGGTTTAAATAAAGGTAATCCCTGTTATTTGTATACAACCACATTCCCCTCTGTTGTAAATATTTAGAAAAATGCCAATTTGAAAAAAGTGGCCCAGAATTGCAAGTCAACCATATTTTGAAAGTGAAAAATGAATTCATTTTCAGTTAAATATCATAATAAATATTAAAAAAATTTCAGGCCTCTCATTGACGAAACCACGGAACTCTTTTCAAGTTTGGAAGCGTACGTACTTTTTTAATAGATTGTCATTATTGAATTTATTCCTGTAAAAAAAAAATTAAATTTTTTATACTTTTCCTTTAGGCTCCTTGGGGAGTGCAAGCTGCCCCAAATAAAACTGCCTCTGTCAGCAATCAAAGGCAAAAACAAGCTGGAACGGAGAAAAGCGCGGCAAGAGGCTGCAGCGGAATACAATGTCGAGGAAGCCCATAGCCGAAGGTCAATGCTGGCCATTGGAGTGAACGCTGTGTCAAAAGCTTTGGAGCGGCAAGACGTGGAGGCCGTTATTGTCTCTGCAGACGTGGAGCCACGTCTCATGGCCCAGCACCTCATTCAACTCGCTGTCCAGCAAGCGGCTGTCATTGTAGCCCCTGGATTTAGGCAACTGGTCAAATCTACCATGGGGATGGAATCTGCTGCAGTTGCATTCAAAGTTGATACTTTTTTTTATAAAATTTAATTTTTATTTATTTATTGATTTTTTACAGAGTTGCACAAAGAATGAGGAGAACCTTTTTCATCCAGCAGTACAGATCATTAAAAACCTAGCCAAGCAAGTGCCCAAACCAGCCAGCTATCCAGACTTGATATCTTCTCAAAAGGAAGAGGAGGAAGTGCCAATAGTGGATCCAGATGAAGAGGAACTTCAAAAGTGGCAGAATCAGGAGGTAAGAAATTGGCATCTTCTTCGTCTTGCGTCGGGAAAGAAAGCGTTTTATCCGCCCGAAGACGGTGAAAAGACGAAAATGGAGGATGCCGGCGAGTTTATTCCTCTCGGACAAGACAGTGACGATATTGCAGTCGTTAGTGAATATTTGCCTTTACGCGTCAAACGAGTTCAGCCGAACAAAGAAAAGATGGCGAGGAAGAAAGCAAGAAAGGCAGCAAATGTAAAATGATCCTAAATAAATTTTGAGCTGCTTCTAAATTCACGTCTGTAGTCTGAAAGTTTCGTAATAGAAATACCGAGAAATACATATTTATAAATCAGTTTTAATTTCTGGGATTAAATTTAAGTGATTACAGATTTGGAAAAATTGAAACGAGGAAAGTAAATATGAAAGCTTTATTATTTTACTTCAACGCTAACCATTTTTTATATTTTATTACAATTAAGTTCTGTTTTAATTTTTAATGTGATCTGACTTGATCAGCCTCAAATTTAAGGCCTCTGAGTCCCATCGTGAGCGAAACAATTTGAGGGCTTGTGTCTTTCACCTCTCTCTTGCTGATCGACCTTTTGCCGAATGGTCTCTTGTGTCCAGAATCTCTTCGCTCAAATTGCCCTTTAATGTAAAAAATTATTAGAACTGCCAATTTTTAAACCCTAACTTGGCTTACACATATGAAAGGGGTGGTTTTCAGGGATGCCGCTGTGTCCTCCGGAGGGTGCAGGTCGCACTACATTGGGCTTTGGTTGAGAGCTCTCTTGGCACCTGGGGTCGTTGGTGCCAGGGAAGCATTTGGGAGGGAAGGCAAGGGAAGGGTTAAGGTCAGAGGCGTCATTCAAGCAGGTCACTCCTCCCACAGGGTTAACGGAACAACCTTCAGGAATGTCAGCCTGCACTGGGGGTGAAGGAGGATTGCATGAAGGGTCGTTGGGACCGCATGCAGGAAGGTAGCCAGGGGCGGGGGTTGAGGGTCGGGAAGTTGGTGGACGAGGACACCGGGGGTCAGCGCTCCCTGGGTAACAGTTGGGAGGGCACCTCAAGTCCGTTGAACCTAATTAAAAAATTTAAAAACACATTACAAATTATTTTCCTTATAAAAAAATTAAATTATACTTAACCATTTTTATGTAAAAAAATATGACTATTTACCTGGCGTGCAAACAAATTGGGTTGTAGGCCGCTGTGTTGTCGTAGTGGGGCAACGAGGGTCCCGACTGCCCGGGTAGCAGTTAGGTGGGCAGCGTGGATCAGTGGAGCCAGGAGTGCAGACAAACTGAGTGGTCGGTCTAGGAGTTGTGGTGGTCGGACACCTCGGATCTCGGCTCCCTGGGTAACAATTCGGTGGGCACCTGGGGTCGGTTGAACCAGGAGTGCAGACAAATTGGGTCGTGGGACGAGGTGTCGTGGTTGTGGGACACCTCGGATCCCTGTTCCCAGGATAGCAGTTCGGAGGGCAGCGTGGATCGGTTGATCCTAAATTAATTTCAACTTTTTTTGTTTCTTTTGTAAAAACGCAAGTTTTATTTACCTTGGGTGCAAACGAATTGCGTAGTGGGACGGGGAGTGGTTGTAGTCGGACATCTAGGATCCCTGCTCCCGGGGTAGCAGTTTGGTGGGCAGCGTGGGTCAGTTGAGTCTAAAATAATTTAAATACATATTAATGAAAGAGCCTCACGGCTTTACAATAAAAGGGATATTATTTACCAGGGGTGCAAACGAATCTGGTGGTGGGGCGCTGAGTTGTTGTAGTAGGGCATCTGGGATCGATGCTCCCGGGAAAACAATTTGGTGGGCATCGGGGATCCACTGATCCTATCAAATTATTTTAATTTATTGTGGATTTCATACATAAATAAAATTCAATTCATACCCGGTGTGCAAAGAAATCTGGTTGTGGGTCGGGGAGTTGTTGTGGTTGGACAGCGGGAGTCTCTGCTTCCAGGAAAGCAATTAGGTGGGCAACGTGGATCATTCGAACCTTTTCAAATTACTTAATTCATTCGATCTGAGGGAATTTATTATTTTTACCTGGCGTGCAAACAAATTGAGTAGTAGGTCGAGGTGTTGGCCTTGGCGTGGTGAATTCAGGTGTTGGTCTGCAGCTAGGATCGTTAGCGCCGCAAGCAGGCAGGTAACCTGAAGCTGGTGTTGAGGGTTTGGGGCATCGAGGATCTACCGAGCCAGGGTAGCAGTTGGGGGGACACCTTGGATCCGTTGATCCTATAATATCAGTTATTATATATTTTAATGTACTAAAAAATAAATGATAAAGCAGGTACCTGGCGTGCATCTAAATTGAGTAGTCGGGCTTTGGGTGGTTGTGGTTGGGCATCTGGGATCTCGACTTCCTGGGTAGCAATTTGGAGGACATCTTGGGTCGGTGGAACCTATTTAATTTTAAACACCTCTTAAATTAAGATTTTTGAATTAAAATTAACTATTGTACCTGGCGTGCAAACAAACTGCGTAGTTGGCCTTGGGGTTGTGGTAGTTGGGCAACGTGGGTCTTGACTTCCAGGGTAGCAATTTGGTGGGCATCTTGGATCAGTTGATCCTGCTCAAATTTATCATTATCAGATAAAATCATGTAATATTTTAATTAAATAGAGTTAACCTGGGGTGCAGCGGAATTGAGTGGTTGGTCTTGGGGTGGTTGTGGTTGGGCATCTAGGATCTCGGCTTCCTGGGTAGCAACTAGGAGGGCACCTAGGGTCTGTGGAACCAGGGGTGCAGACGAATTGTGTTGTGGGGCGAGGGGTGGTAGTGGTCGGGCAGCGAGGATCTCGGCTTCCTGGGTAGCAATTTGGTGGGCATCTTGGGTCGGTGGAGCCTATTTAATTTTACGTCTCTAAAATTCCGATTTTTAAAATTAAAATTCACAATAGTACCTGGCGTGCAAACAAACGGCGTAGTTGGTCTTGGGGTTGTGGTAGTTGGGCACCGAGGGTCTTGACTTCCAGGGTAGCAGTTTGGTGGGCACCGTGGATCGGTGGATCCTGTTTTAATTTACCATTATCAGATATAATTATCTAGATATTTTATTTAAATTTAGTTAACCAGGGGTACAACGGAATTGGGTAGTGGGTCTTTGGGTGGTGGTTGTGGGGCACCTGGGATCCCTACTTCCTGGATAGCAGTTAGGAGGGCAGCGAGGGTCAGTTGATCCTTTTCAATTAATATTGTTTAAATAAAATAAAATAATTTTTCAAAAAAATGTTTTGCATACCTGGCGTGCATACAAATTGAGTAGTTGGGCGAGGAGTGGTGGTTGTTGGGCATCTCGGGTCCCTTGATCCTGGGTAGCAATTTGGTGGGCAACGCGGGTCAGTGGAGCCTAATTAAACGTTAATAAGAATATAAAATAAATATTGTTGTCTTTTAGGATAAATAGTTTTTTAAATTGTTAGTATATTTTTCGATCAACATTGTTTATAAAAATGGAAAATTATAATACCAGGTGTGCAAACAAACTGAGTTGTTGGCCGTGCGGTTGTTGTGGTTGGGCACCTTGGGTCGCGGCTTCCTGGGAAACAGTTGGGTGGGCAGCGGGGATCCGTTGAGCCTAATAAATATGTATCAAGCAGAATTAAAATTTATGTTGGATAAAAAATTTTGAAAATTGCCTGGCGTGCATCGGAATTGGGTTGTGGTCCTTTGAGTGGTCGTCGTAACGGGAAGATATTCGACTGCAGGGGTTGATGGTCTTATAGTCGTTGGCCGCGGGCACCTGGAGTCGGCGCTGCCAGGGTAGCAATTAGGAGGGCAGCGCGGGTCAGTAGAGCCTGAAATTCGTTACATATTGAAATTTCATTTTTAAAAGAAAATACAATAAAATTATTTTATTCGCTTCAGGGAGTTTTAGCAACTGATTTTTGAACTATAAGCTTTTTATACAAACCTTGAGTGCAAACAAATCGAGTCGTTGTTATACGTGGAGTGGTGGTTGTGGGACATCTCGGGTCACTACTTCCTGGGAAACAGCTCGGGGGACAGCGAGGGTCAACAGAGCCTATTAACATAATCTAGTTTGTTTTATCTTCTTAATTATTTTCTTTGATTCTTCACCTGGCGTGCAGACAAATCTAGTCGTGGGTCTTTGGGTGGTTGTAGGGCGAGGTGTTGTTGTCGTTGGGCATCTGGGATCTCTGCTCCCTGGGAAGCAACTTGGTGGGCATCGTGGGTCAGTAGAGCCTATTTGATATTTTAATAAGAGTTTATGCTATATCATGTTATTATAAATTTTACCAGGTGTACAACGGAATGGCGTAGTAGTCCTGATTGTAGTGGTGGTTGGTCGAGGGGTGGTAGTCGTAGGGCACCTTGGGTCCCTACTGCCGGGGTAACAATTTGGTGGACACCTAGGATCTGTTGATCCAGGTGTACATCTGAATTGGGTGGTTGGTCTTTGAGTGGTGGTCGTTGGGCATCTAGGGTCTCTACTTCCTGGGAAGCAGCTTGGTGGACAGCGCGGGTCCGTTGATCCAGGCTGGCACACAAATTGTGTTGTAGGACGAGGAGTTGTTGTTGTCGGACACCTGGGATCTGCGCTGCCTGGGTAACAATTAGGTGGGCATCTAGGGTCAACCAAACCCGGGGTACACCTGAACTGGGTTGTAGGACGGGGAGTTGTCGTTGTTGGACATCTTGAATCTCTTGAGCCAGGGAAGCAATTGGGTGGACATCTAGGATCGGTTGACCCAGGAGTGCACCTGAATTGAGTTGTTGGTCTTTGTGTTGTGGTTGTCGGACACCTCTGATCTCTGCTTCCTGGGTAGCAGTTTGGTGGACAGCGAGGGTCTGTTGATCCTGGAGTGCACACGAATTGAGTTGTAGGCCGAGGAGTTGTTGTAGGTCTGCAGCTTAAGTCATTTGGCCCGCAAACTGGTAAATACTCGGGAGCAGGCGTTGAGGGTTTTGGGCAACGAGGGTCTGAGGAACCAGGATAGCAGTTCGGGGGGCATCTTGGATCAGTAGATCCTAAAACAGAACATGACGTTACATTTCATAATAAATTGGAAATTAATGTTATAAGCACCTGGAGCACAAACAAATCTAGTAGTAGTGATGATTGGTCTAGCAGTTGTTGTAGGACAACGGGAATCTCTGCTTCCAGGGAAGCAATTTGGAGGGCACCGAGGATCAGTGGAACCTGTTTAAAAATTGGTTTAATTAATGTATTAATGTATGAAAAGTACTGATTGAGTTTACCAGGTGTGCAAGTGAATCTAGTTGTAGGCCGAGGAGTAGTTGTTGTGGGACATCTAGGATCGCTGCTGCCAGGGAAACAGCTTGGGGGACACCTTGTATCAGTAGAGCCAGGAGTGCACCTAAACTGAGTAGTTGGCCTCTGTGTAGTAGGGCGGGGTGTTGTTGTTGTGGGGCATCTGGGATCTCTGCTTCCTGGGTAACAATTTGGTGGACACCTCTGGTCTGTAGAGCCAGGGGTGCAGACAAATTGAGTCGTAGGGCGAGGGGTTGTAGTTGTCGGACATCTTGGATCTCTTGATCCAGGGTAGCAGCTCGGTGGGCACCTGGGATCTGTCGAACCAGGAGCGCAGACGAATTGCGTTGTTGGACGAGGAGTGGTGGTTGTTGGGCATCTGGCGTCCCTGCTTCCTGGGAAGCAGTTTGGTGGACAGCGAAGATCAATAGATCCTGGTGTGCACCTAAACTGAGTGGTTGGTCTTTGTGTAGTGGTGGTTGGACACCTAGGGTCTCTACTTCCTGGGAAGCAGCTTGGTGGGCAGCGTGGGTCCGTCGATCCAGGCTGGCATACAAACTGCGTTGTTGGGCGGGGAGTTGTTGTTGTCGGACACCGGGGATCAGCGCTACCTGGATAACAATTAGGTGGGCATCTAGGGTCAACCGAACCTGGGCTGCACCTGAACTGAGTGGTTGGTCTTTGGGTTGTTGGACGAGGAGTAGTGGTGGTTGGGCACCTAGGATCTCTGGATCCTGGGTAGCAGTTCGGTGGGCAGCGAGGGTCTGTTGATCCTGCCAGATAATTAACCTTTAGTGGAACATTTTTATTTTGACACATTTTTTTACCTGGTGTGCATCGGAACTGAGTAGTTGGCCTCTGGGTGGTAGTGGTTGGGCATCTGGGGTCTCTGCTTCCAGGGTAGCAGTTTGGAGGACACCTAGGGTCAGTGGATCCAGGCGTGCATGTGAACACGGTCGTGGGTCTCACTGTTGTAGGTCTTGCAGTTGTGGGCCTGGTTGTGAACTGGACGGTTGTTGAAACTGAATTGCACCGGGGGTTGGGTGACCCAGGATAGCAAGGCTGCGGTGTTGTCGCGATCACAGGCACTTCATTGCTCGACGAACAACTACCATCACATCCTCCGGAGCAAATTTCAATATTGCACGTCAAATAAACTTGTGCCCTGTCGGGGAATTTGAAGGCAGTGAGATTGTTGTAGGCAATGAGGGTATCGCCTTCAGAGGTCTTTTGCCAGAAGTGGATGAATTTGTGACGCCTGTTTAAAAAATTGTTTATAAATTTATTTTCAAATTTAAAAAAAGTTTCTCATTACTTTGGGCATCCTTCAGAATCTGAAAGCTGCAAACTTGACGTATCAAGTGCGTCATACTGATCGCTGTCGTAGGCCCAACAGTCTCTAACTCGCAAATCATATTGATTTGATTCGTCTTTCAGATAGACAAGAACAGTCAAACTTTCTCCTATTTTGATATTATCTTCCAACTCGGCCGTCTGGAAATTTCGTAATATTTTCATTTGTGAAAACTCCTTAATTAATTTGTTAAGATAATTAAATTTGAAGTTTAAAATCCTCACATTGGGATATTGTCCCTTGCGGATGTCCATCCAGCAGTCTACGGCTTTTCCGCTAGCGGTGGGCACTGAAACGACCTCAAGCATGTCCACGACAAAAGGCTTGAAAATAACTTTCTTCTGCTTAACGGCAGACGCTACTGTGGCGCAGGACAGTTTTCGAGCCGTGTCCCAGATCTCTTGGACGACGCCGTCCGTCTGAATAACAATTACGTTATCGACGGTCGCCCCTTTCGTGGTTCCGCAACCGTCGGTCGGAATTGTAAACTCAAAAGAGCTGCGGCCAGTATTCTCCTGCACATAACTAAGCATTTAAAATTAGTTAATCGTATATATTAAATTTTTATTTAAATTAACCGGCATCTGGGGTCATTGTAGAAACCCTTGCTGAAGACCACGCCGTGGAAAGGCGCGTCGAAATCCAAGTTCACTTTAATATCGCTGCTCGAGCAGGAAACATCGAGGCGCGAAATGTGTGTGTGATGGTGTTCCTCTCGTTGAGGTCTCTTGGTTTCTTTAAAAAGCTGGAGTTCGTTTACGGATCGGGAGAGCTCTTCCACTTCGTCTTGGAAGAGCAACTGACCCTGTGCAATCTGGGGAGGAAATTCAATTTGATTTACTTGAGAAATAAAAGTTTGAAATAAAAATAATGGATTGCAATGAAAAATGATTTTTCTTTTAGTTTCTGATATAACAAAAAATGTTCTTGAAAACTACAATTTAATTCAAATAGTCAATTATTTTTTGCAACCAATAGTAAAAAGCAATATTATTTTGAAAGAAGTGACTTATTTTGCAATCCTCTCTTTCAAATCTAGTATTCAATTTAGAAAAAAAGCATATTGGCAAAGTGACCATGACCCTACCTATTCTATCATTAGCGTGAAACGAGCCTATTTAGTCATAAAACGCTCACGAATTTTGGAGAATGGCGCTCTCGAGCAGGCATATTATTTTAAGGCGCACTGAAAAGACACCTCTTGTGTGAGCACGCGCCTTTCTAATCGTCCGTCTCTCTCGCAGACATAGGCAAACTCGAGAGCGCATCCTCTCTTTCTCTATCTGTGTCACATGCACACGTGGTTGCATAACAAGTGTCAAGAAGGCCGCCTCCTTCGATTATTAATTGGCAACATTCACTTGAGTAACGCATAAAGGTCAGCAGAACAACTTTGTTCCCGACCAATGAGTGACCCACAACTGACCCCGTGAGAAGCAAAAATTGCAATGAAAGCAATCGGGCACTCACCTGGGCGGCCAGCAGGCCCAGCAACCACACCTTCCAGCCCAACATCATCCTCCTGTGGGGGAAAATTAATTAAAATAATTATCATCAATTACCATACAAATAATTAATTATGATGACAAAGAAGTTTTTTGCTCATTGATTTGATTTAATCATTTTTTAATTGATAAATAAAATTATTAAAATAATTAAACACATTACATAAATATTTAAAATTTAGCTGTAAGACGAAGAATGTCCTGACTTTATTTTATGTTATACAACCAGTCAATTTTTACGTTCATAAAACATTTAATAACTGCTGCAGTTTAAATAGCTTTTCGTGGGGTTCATTTTATGGCACCAGAATAAATTATAAAAGGTGTGGAATCATCCAACTATTATTTGTTGCGTAACTCGTAAGTACCCGTCATAATACTCGTTTGTACAGTACGCGGAAAAACATGAAATTTTACAACAAGGTGCTCGTCTCTATGCTCGCGGCACAGTTTTGTTGAGATGAAAGAAAGTTGGCGAGTACATATGGAGCCTCTTGTGCACCTTTTATTGAGTGGCCGAATTTCTCGCAAAAGTGCTTGCTTCACGGCTCATTCCGATTAAAGTGTCTGGGCGGCGAAATTTATTCTTCTCTTGTAAAGTTTAAAGGGCATAAGGCACTTTCATTGTTTTCAAAATTTCATATTTGCAATATTTATTTATTGTTTAAAAAAACTTTAGCGACCACAAAAGCAAGCCTTTCCAGTTTTGAGTCATAAATAAGACGTGCAAACCCGCGTGACAGACAAGACTATTAATCTTGTGCTATCATGTAATTTCTTACAATAAACCGCAATACACCTCACAAACGTTTAAGCGATTAATGATAAATTTGGCTAGAATGTTCCTTTTTTTTCTTACATGATTTTTTTTTAATTTTGCCACACAATCATTTTTTTTTTTATTTAGCAAATAAAACAATTATAAAACTGGTCTAAATAATTATTTTTTTATTTTCTTATTAAAAAAAATAGAAGTGTTGCAAACAATTATGCTTGAAAATTAATTTAAAAAGTTTATAAATAAATAAAATAAATTGTATCTAATGTGAAGGTGTAGAAATTTTTATTTATTCTTTATAAATTAGCTTTAAAGTTAAAGATTTTGTTACAATCAAAATCATTTCTGAATAAAGTTAGTATTTAAAAATAAGATCATGAGTATTATCACAAGTTGTTTTTAGGTTTTGGTTAAAGTGAAAATATAAATCTTGTTTTGATGAGTATATTTATTTTATGGAAATCAATTAAATTGTTTTAATAAAAGCTTTTATCAGATTAAAATGTTCTAGTCAAGCAATAATTTGCTTACCTTTCGTGCGAGACTCCCTGATGCTTCGGTAGTTTTACGTCGGCGTCTCCGCAGAAAATTCAACGCACAAATCCACACAAAACGGTTTACATGAGTGTCTCGCTGGTCCATCGGTCCTAGGGATATATAGTGGGGCGGGGATGAACCCGGCTGGCGTGCAGCATCCCAGACAATACAGGTGGGGACCATCCGCGCGACGTCTCTTCACCGCGGACCCAGACGAGTTGCGGGTGCAATTATTACTTTTCACTTGGCGCAATGCAAACTTCAATCTTGCGTCACGGAATCAAGTTGAGATGCACTCGGAAATTGTTCTCTTTTGCAATCGTATTTAACCCGAGCAATTTCAACTTTCCTTGAGATGCCAGTCTTATTCCATCGAAATAAAAAGAATCAATCAGACGCAGCTCAAATTTTGCCCAAGGAGGGTCATCCGATAATTGCCATAATACGGAACTTGCTTGAGAAAATTTATTCTCGGAATGTAGGCGGTCGAAACCTTTAAATCGTGTGTAATTAGCTACAAATTGGGGGAAGGTTTTAACGCCTTCGTCGATATATTTAGAGTAAAGAATTCATCGCACAAAAATTAAGTAGCAAAACAATGAAAGCATATTTGATTTGGAAATAAAAGCAACGGCAGTGTCTTTTTGTTTGTTTATTATTCTTTATCCTATTCAAGTCATGAAAATAAATGGAAATTATATAAAAAAAAAAATAATAATAATGATGAACCCTTTTTCAACCTAATATACTAATCAAAATGTGCAGTGTGATAAGAATCAATTTTTATTTTGAATTTAAATTTTCATCCAAGATTTAGGAATGTGAAATTAAAGTCTATTCATTGCGATTCATTGCATCGCTTTTTTCATGAGGAAATCAACCTTATTTTCTTTTTTCAAACAATTATTATTTTTTATTTATTTAATAATTTCCTTTTTTTGTTTTCCTGTTCGATACTAGTTATGCAAATGGTTACTCATCCTCCCTTTTTTAAAGGTCAGCAACTATAATATCTATTAGCAAATACCCACGTAACTTGCTGTTGCAAATTGATCGAATCCGCAATAAAGAAATGTCAAGTGCCGCAGGTTGTCATCAGCCGCCAACCAAACTGTTTAATATTCACATAACTAATAGAATTCACTTGCTTTTGGGACAATCCTTGCAAAAAGCAACCTAACAAGGGAAAACAAGTTTTTTTCTCAATTGAAGACTTTTTTAAAAATTAGGAAATAAAAAGGATTTTTTTCCGCATTGCATTTATGGATACTTTCTGATGTCTCGTTTTGAGGTGAAGTCAATGATATTATAACTACTCATCTCTTTTTAATTTTTTACCTTCTAAGTATTTCAATAAATTTCAAATCAGCATTTTATTAATAATATTCATGTTTAAATTTGATTAAAAATTAAATATAAAAATAATAAACACATTATGTATGCCAAATTAAAGTTCATTCTTTAGGAAATGGCTTATATATTTATCATGAGGCAGGCGGTTCAAACATCAATTCACGAGAACTTGTTAAAATATTATGCATTGTTCTAACTGTCAATTATGCAAAAACAATCTTTATCCTGAAATCAGCTCAATTATAATGTTTAATCAATTTAAAATCAGTTTCACGAAGCATAATGATTTTGCTAAGCGTATGCAAATATATTATTTTGTTTTTAAAATAGAAAGAAACCATTTAATAATTGAATTATCAAAAATGTTCATAAACCATCTATTTAGGTGCCTAATCCAATAAATCTATTTTTCTACAACTCGCAGAACAAAGAGAGTGATTAGATTTAACAATAGGTTCTACGCTCCTAATGTTTTCGGTCGTGACTCCTACTTTGATGCTAATTTACGTCTGAGTGATGGCGAATAATCAATCATCTAGCGAGCTGCAGGTAGAAAGAACAAAGTCAACACCCTTTAATGAGAGATTCCCGCGCTCGCTACTTTCTACTTTGCTGGCACCTTTAAGTCATTTATTATGCCCAAAACTACCGGCACTTATGAAATTGGCATTTAATTGCGGTGACCCTAGCTACGCATGACGAGAATTAAATTATCATGTATGGACTGACCCGGCGCGGTGTGTCACCGTCATTTGCCGTAAAAGATAATGAAATTAATGTCCCGCTGAAGGGAAGAGTGAATAAAATGCGACAAGTCCTTTTTTGCTACTGGACGAGTCTTCACGTAAATACCAACAACACGAAAGGTCTCTGGTTCAGGTTGGGATAAAATATCAAATCCAAATGCCCATTTCACCTTGACTCTAATCCTTTCTAACACTCGCTGCGAATAGAGCAGCAAAAAAAATTAATTGCTCGTCCCTCGAAGATCAAAGACGAACGCCTTGTCGAAAATCACGCGTTGCCTTATCTTTATGGCGCTCCGTGGCATTTCTAGCACCAAAGTGACAAATAAACGATGCGTGGGTGCTTCGTTTGACCTTCGACCGTGAAGTGAATCCGCCTCGCGCATTCCGACTCGGCGATCAGGAAATGCGAATAAATCTTCAAATAATTTTTAACAATAAGATACACAAACAGAATTATCGCATTGGTCCTTTTGTAATAATACCACTATTCTTATAACAAAATACGATGATTTGCTGTTTTTATAAGTAAAAAAGCATTGCTTTGTATTCAATTTACTTCACTCCTTCATGTGGCCTTATTTTTAATTTCAAACAGACTATATAAATAAATTTAAAAAAAATAATACTTGTGTAATTTGGGAGAAATCAAGTATCATTTTCCTTATTATTTTAAATATATATTAGCTATACTTATTTTCATATTTCTTCAAAAAATCTCCAATCAAAATAAATAAAACTTAAAACTAAATTATTGGAGATGAAATTGTAAAATCCATATTTCACTCGCTTGGTGTCTTTGCCTAAAATCAGTTGTTTTTAATCTTTTCAAAACTTCTTACTTAGGTTTTTGGTGTAATGGATTTTACTTCGCCTAAATAATCCAAAATTGATTGTTGATGTCTGAACGGTGATTATTGGGTTGATTATTTGCTTAAATTAATTTGGATATTAATTAAATAAGGAACTATTAAAAACAACCGCTAAAAAGAAAAATATTTCACCTCATAAAAAAAAAAATAGAAAAACCAACGTTTTTCTTTAATTTTTAACTTTAAGAATACTTAATTTTCTGAATTTCATTTCCTCTATTCCATTCAGCATTCAAACACGCTGCTTGTCTTGAACCGAATATATAAATATTTAATTTTTCTCGCATAATGCTCATCTTTATTTTAAAATGGCCAGTATATACATCCATAGTGATACATTTTGTGTGGTTTTTCCCTGTGACGTTTATTAGCGTCTCTTGGGGACTTACTCGAGGTTTGTCTAACTCGCAGTTTTGATGAAAAATCTCACGAAAACCCAATGTTGCTTTTTGAGCCGTAAATTTCCTTCTATACCGGCTTGGATAACCCAGGTGCGTCGCCGAGCATCCTGGTCGAACCGCGTCCTCTCACAAATCATCAGCGCGGATTTCCATAAATCTCTTTCTCGTTTTTCTGCAAATAGAATCATTGAGAGAAAAACACCGGTGAGAGTTGCACCGATTGTATTTGTATGTAATGGGCAATTAAAGAGTGCAGCAAACGGGGAAATTCCTCCCACAATCACCGGCCGACCTCTCGGCCGGCCCGCACGTCTCAACGCCGCCGGCGCCTTTTGACATTTAGCCTCGCAAGGCCGGAGAAAATGAAAGTGAACAATGCGGGATCCAGAGCTATAGCTGCGGAGCATCTCCGCGTGTCATCACACCAAGACGGTCCAAATCTGGGTGCGTACCCGAACAGAGGTTTCTTGTTCTTTGGCTTAAAAAAAAAAAGAATTAATTTTCAGGGCCTTTCCCAATTTGAAATCATTTCCCTCTAAAAAAGGTCAATATTCAAATGAAATTTATTTGCCCTCCACAGGGGACATGAATGGAAAGTGCAAAGAGAATTTGCATCTTAGACATTATTCATATTTCTCATTATTTTTTATCACCTTGGCTCATTTTCCAATGCTCGCTGCGCTTAATCACATAATCGTCCACGATCTTCGTTGTACAATAAACATTCTTGTCGCCCTTTGCAATCTCCAGATGTTGCGAAAATTAATTTTTATATTTTCTATTAAACTTTTGCCAAGTCAAGTCGTGATTCATTTATGTACAAATACGTTCAGGAAGCAAAGAGGAAAATTATAATTAAATTGGTTATGCTACTCATAATTTAAATTTATCATGGTAAAATTTTGTTTCAAGGAAACCCCAACTGAGGGAGGGAAAATTTTCAATCTTAAAAGCCATTTTATTATGTTTGAATGTAACGATTTGCATTTTATTGCAATGGAAAGTCTAAGTTATTTCTATAGTTTAATTCTTTAATTAAACATTGTCAGATGAGCATAATGTGAGTGGAATAATTTAGTTCTTAAATTATTTGACAGCAGAGGATTTTTTTAATTTCTATTTTTGCTTTGTGATTTATAGGCTCCTTGAAATTCTTCCAAAGATGTGTTGATATTTTATGCTATACTATAAGCCTTAGACGAATTAGAATTGGAGATGAAACTCATTTTCCTTGGACGCCAAACACAAATAAAAACAGAGGTGGGATTTTATTGAGCTGATCTCGCGCTTCAGCAAAGGTCTTTTCTAGACACTTGCGTTGCCCAACTTACAAGAGATGTAGAAAATATTATTTATAAAAATGTAATTAACAATCTGGCAGCATCATGCGTCCAGAGGCGACCCTTTACTCTGTTGCTCGTTGAGAAACAAGATCTCTCCTGTCGCTTTCTTGATTAGTCATTTTATTAGCACGCGTGTTCTGTTATTGTGCGCTTTTCGAAATGTTCTCGGCGGTGTGTGGCACTTCACGCCTAAAATTGAAAATTATACGTTGTGTAGGCGAGGTCTTGCACATCTCAAATGTTCATAAGTAGTATTAATTATCAGCGCACACCTTTTGAAGATTGGCATTTGATGATAAAAATGAAGAATGCAAGGCTGAAATTGGCCACTCTCTTTCGTTGTTTTTCTCAGGCTATTCAAATATTAGTCCAAGGTGGTATTTTGTTATTTTAAAAGATCAATGCAAGACATACTTGTGGAGTCAAGGTGCAATTTAAAAAGGTGAATTGATTGGATTTTATAATTGTATGTAATTGATTATTCATTTAATTGCTTATAATTGATAAAATTACAAAATCAGGTTCTTCTTTTTAAGAAAATTACAACTCCTCGTTTGGTCCAAATCTTCGCGTCTCCACCTGACAGCCAAATCGAGCCGATGCTGTGCCGCTTTTCCTCGTCGCTGTAAATGGGGCACTGAAATTTTCCTTCCACTTGCAAATTTGTCGTCGCGCAAATCGAAACGGCGGGGAGTTCTTTTGGTCCTCCAACTTGCTCCACCAAACATGCTCTTCAAAAATTACAATAAATATTTTCATTTTAAAATTTTGATAAGGATTGCATAAAAACTTATTCTTAATTTACATTTTAAATACAAATTATAAAATTAAAAAAGTAAATTGTGCTACTGCTGATATATTTTGGTTAAAATTTAAACTAAAACTTTGCAAGAAAAAAATGTTACCTTCTTTTTATTGCACGAGAAAAGTCGCAAAATTAAATAAAATTTATTAGAACAAAAACTTATTCATGCTTCTGTGCAAGGCTGAATAATTATCTACTTAATATTATTTGGTATGTGATATTTTTAGACGTGAGAAAAGGCGTGTAATAAATTTAAAATAAACAAAAGACGTGTCAGCATCACAAAGAAAAATCCTTCCTCTATTAAACAAAAACACAGGCTATTAATAACGTTTAGTTTCGGATGAAAATTGGCCACCTATCACCTTTCAATGTCATAGTCGGCGCCGTCCAGCCAAAAGCCTCTTGCAGTGACCACACAAGGACTTTTACCAGGGTCGATTCGCAACTCGAGTGACACGTCCGAGAGTGAGACTCCTCTAGATCGACATTCCAGCTGCATCACTGATGCAAATAAGGCCTCAGGTCGCTCCATTCCGGGCATCCACACATGTTTGTTTTGAGGCCAGACCTGTTCGTGACAGGTCGCAAAGTTCAAAGCAATTAATTTCAGTTGTCACTGCTCGCTTATAATTATGTTGCGACTTACTAATGTGGGTAGGTTTGCATTGACGTTCTCGAAATCTCCAAGTGTCGCATCCACCTCAGGCGCCGGCATCCATGACTTAGGAGCAGCACCTCTGGCAACGAGATTGACATCCTCTATCATGTTGTTGGGCACAAAACCGTCGGTCATCGCCTGCTTCATTATTTTCAAACACTTCCGAGCTTCTTCCAGTCTGACCAAAGTCTTCACTTCCTCCCATTTCAGTGCCTGAGCGACTGTGTTGACCTCACCTTGTTCTTTTGAAACCTCCAGGCTTGGAAGTGAACTTTCCATTTCCTCTAATTTATGACTGAAAGACTCCAAGTGAAAAATCTCCTCCAACGTTGCCCCTGTCTGGATTTTGGGCCCAAAGAGTTCATGGTTGGTGGATCTGGTAACGCCAAGCCAATCAATTGGTGCCACCCAGGGCATTCTAGACACCCGGTCAAGACAAGCTTCAATGGTTGGTATCTGAGGTGGGAAAAGACTGGAATGGCCAACTTTGGTCAGTTCATAGTTAGCCGTGGCAGTCAGGAGAGATTCGTTGATGCATTCTTTTAACAAAGTCGCAGCCACTCTGAGGTCCCAAGGATCGGAAATGTGACCGAGGAGTCCACAATCGCCAACTAGGGGAATGGCAGCTTTCATCGGAACTCGTCTTGTATTCCAGCAAAGTTCCTGGAATTTTTATTTTCCTTACAGTAAAATTTGGTAATGAAGGCTTAATTAAATTACCCAAAGGTGCTTTGAAGCGAGATTGAGATCTGCTTCACCCAAAGTGATCGCTTTGGTCAAAGTTCGACCCTGGAGAAGGGCGAAGAAGAATGACAAGCCAAAGACCAGACGGCAATACGGCGCCTCTCGTCCGTTGCAACTTTCCATGAGGGTTTCTTGCCTTTGAAGAGCCTCTTTCATTGCCTCTCGTAGGGTCAACGGCTCTTCCAACGCAGCCTTGACTGAACTTTGGACAAGTCCGATCGGCAGCTACAATTTATATCAAAATATATTTTTGCATAAGGTTTAAAAAAGTTTTAGTCTTACCTTAGCCTCTGGGCAGCAGGTCAGCCACAATCGGAAGTTAGGCGAGGCCTTTTCAAATGTCATCCTTTCCAATTTTCTGAGCCACTTGTCGGTCAAGTGACAGTTGCTCAGACAAACCCAATTTCCAGTGGCCATTGCATTTGCGATGGCCGCCTCAGCGTGGCCTGTTTGCCCAGATGCCATACTAATTATGGCAACTTCGGTGATTTCCTTCCTTGAAAATGCAATAAGAGCGCGCGAAATGTCAACTGCTGGCCCCAAGGCGCAAAAAATCGGTGTTTGCGACGATGAGTTTTCAAATGCAGACTCCAAACTGCCCGCTTTGAAGCGACAGTCGAATTGCAAGGTTTGTTTTACCAGTTCTTCTGCCGTTTGGGGTTGAAGTTTGGGAAAGAAAATTGAGCTCAAAACCAGTCGATCGTAACAAGAAATTTCTCCCCATGTTTCTTTTAAAAGTTTATTCTTTTTGCCTTGTTCCTCTTCAAAAAATTTCCATTCACTCCATTTTTCTTTTATTTCTATTTAGGAAGTGTTTTACATTGATATAATAATATACATTAAAATATAAATTATTTTTAAGTTCACCTGAATAGCGGGGAATCGCTAAAAGTTTGCTCTCGTCTTTTTGAATCCCACCGTCATACAAAAATGCAATATCCTCCAGAGTAATTTCCTTTCTTGCCCTTGAAATAAATTACAGTTTTAGTAAAAACTCGTATCCTGTTGGGGCTGTTGTGGTAGAATGCTCCAGTCAAATGAATGATAATTGCGGATTTTGTAAAAAAATTGATTTATTTTCATAACCGCGGTACCTGAGCAAATCCAGTGAGAGGCGCAATAAAAATGCCAGATGGTGCCTTCGGAATAGGGCGGCACACACTTGCTCACACAGCGTCTTTAAAAACTCCGACGTCAGCTCATCTCCAAGTCCCATTTTGCAACTGGATTTAAAGAATTAATTTTCCTCAATTTCTTTAAAATCAGGCTCAGGCTTTTCAAAGGCACGTTAAACAATAAAACCAGGAGGAGAATTTTTCAATTAAGATTTTAAAATTCTATAAATTATAAGATTAAATATAATCATAAGAAATAAAACATTTATTTTGTATTGCAATGATTTAATTTTGGTGAAGCTAACATAAAAATTGAATTAACAAAAAAATAATTTTGTCATCAAATGCTTTTTACACTTTACTCAAGTTATACAAAATACAGATTTAAAAGTGATTTTTATGGCTATTGAAAATTAATTTACCTATTTCTGACTGAAGAGCTAAAAAGCTGCAAAAACCAGGCGTGAGAAAAGTGGTAGGTGCTGCCCAGGGTGGGCAGCCAGTTCAGGGTAGCGTAAGCGGCGGCCGAGTCCCTTGCCAGGGCGCGGTGCTTGGCTTTGAAATCGGTGATTTGGCCGAGCGTCTTCTGCGCCTCCTGCTGGCGCTGCGCCAGCTCCAAAGACACTGCCCTCGAGGTGTCCAGCACGTCTACGGCGGCTTCGTCCTCCAGCAGATTGCCCTGGCTGGCCGAAAGGGTGCTCAGGATTCGCTCCTCGGTGGCCTGAAGAGCTGCTTTGTTGGCCGCACCCTCTCGGACGACCTGCTGGCGAGCGAGTCGAAGGGCGGGTTGCTCGGCGGCCATCACAAGACCGAGCAGTTGCTCCTCAAGCCCCTCAGCGGGAAGGGCAAACTCGACCAGGGTGATGCAGCCCAAAAGCTCGCGACTCACTGAACTGCGAGTTGTGATATAAACCCGGAAACCTGAATTGCTGAAAAATAACGCTGTTGTAATTAAATAAATTTAAATTAATTCCGACAAAAAAAAAATAAAAAAAAACCTTAATCCAATATAACAATAAAGTTAATTTAATACTTTTTGTCAAATTTATTTTTTATATTTTTTAAATGAAAAGAGGGGTTTTGCCTTTTTAGCAGTCATAAAATTTTGAGTAATTTTTGACAATATTGATCACCAAGATATTGATTCAAATTTAGTATTAAATCAAAATCAGAATAAAATCAATGTTAAATTAAGTAGGAATTATAAAAAAAAAACATTTTTGTAAACAATATTTTTTTGTTATGAAAAAAAGCAAAAATTAATATATATAAAAAATATTTATAAAAGATACCCATATTATACTTATTCATAAATAAAATATACAAAAAATTAAATTTAATAGTTAATGGAGAATTAATAAATAAATAAGTTAAATTACATAAACAAATTTTTATAAAATAAAAAATAAAAAGAATGTGAAAAATTTCTTACTTCGATCGAAGAGGCACCGCCAGGAGCGCTTCAAGAAGAACGTCTGGCTCTTCAACGTCCTCGACCAACAACGGGACGCCGTCCTCCTTGCACCTCGTAACCAACTCCTCATCCCAGTCTTGACTCACTCGCAAACGCGTTTCCGTACTTTTGATCCACGCGTTCGCCTGCCTTTGCGGATCGCGACACACGCACGGACGCAGCGCGTGGCGCGCGATGACGGCGCTCTGTGTCGACGCGGCGTCGCGCTGCAAACCGCCGATGTGCCACGCCTCGATTTCCATCTCCGAGCTGAGCACCAGCGTCACGTCCAGGTCTGCCGAACTCGCGACACCTTCCTCGGCCAGCAACGCGAGCCACTCGCCGATGCACGACGCGCGACGCTTCGCCTTCAGCGGACCCAAATATGTCGCGGTCGCGCTGCCCAACAACGCGTCGCCCTCCAAGCACTTGAGCGAATCATCTAAAGAAGATGCTGTTGAGGCCCAGCGTTGACGCTCGCCACTCAAACCGCCGATCAGTTTTTCAGCTCGCGCTAATTTTCGTTCACAGGCCTGAGAAAATATTAAAAATCAAATGTACGTTTAGATTTAAAATTTATCTACTACAATTATAAAACTTTTTAATTTCCTCAAAAAATTTCAATTATTGATTTTTCAATTTATTTGGCTTTCTTAATGTTTACTATCTTTGATTTTCAATTCAAATTATTCATCTTTTTAACTCATTGTCTCATTGAGGATTTTCAAATCCAACGAAAAAAATTTTTGTAAAATAGGTAAGCAGCATAGGTCAAAAATTTTAACTAATGAAACTGAATATAAAGAATTAAAATTATAATATTCTTCACAAAATCATATCTGTTTAAGCTGACTAAAAATAAATATTTTTTATTTTCATTATTAAATTTCCCAATTTATGCCTTGACAATGTTGAATTAAAAAAAGCACTCTGTATGCTAGAATTAAAAAATTTATGGTAATCATAAAATCATATTACTATATTGGTTTCTTTTTACATTTTTTTTGTTCTTATTATACTTTGAATGGCTTAAAAGATGTAGCGGAAAAAACCTGCACTAATTACTAACTTTGATTCTTTTGAAATAAAATTACAAAAAAGTCAGAGAAGCACAAAATTACGCTGATCTAAAGGATAGACTTTTTTAATTTTTTTCGGGCTACTTCTGTACTTAGTCCTATACACACAGATTTACTGAAAATTCTGCAAATTCTCTCAGTTTGGGGTCAACGCTTTTTTCGGAGTATACTTATTAATTCATTTTTCCTTTACTTCTAATTTTGATTTAAAAATGAAAACTAATTAAATTTATGAATTTTGATATAAGTTTGGAAATTGAATTATGCAACACGCAACGCAAGAATGTCGTGCCAGTTGCCAGGTAAAGCCATTTAGGGGCTCTACCACATCAATTTATTATCATTCCACCTCTGATATTTTTTGAAATACCTTTCATTATTATTATATGATGTTTTTTGAGTCTTTTTTTTATCGATAAAAGCTAAAATAAATCAATCTTTTTTTACCTGGAATTCTGATTCTAAAGTAAGTTTGTGCGAGTTTGCTGCGTCAAATTGCGACCTCAGCTCGGCCAGTTGTTTTTCCAGTCGACGGACCTGCGCCCGTTTTTCCTCAAGTACGGCCAGAGTGGCCGCGTATTCCTGCTGGGCGATTTCCAGTTTGGCTTTTTTCGGGGCCACCTCTTTGGCCACGGCGTCGTACATGTCCATGGCACGCACCCACTTGCACAGACCCTCGGCGGCGCTCGACGCGTTCGTCACCACCTCCGGCCGAAAGTCAGGGTGCGGAATGAAGTCCTTGCGGATTTTGGCCATCACGGAGGGCGGGATGTTGTCTTTGTCAAAGTCTTTCAGCTGCTGGAGAAAGGCGATGTCTCCAAGTAGCTTTTTGCTCGGGCCCCAATAGTCCAAAATCTGATCGGAAATTTTATGAATAAAATTAGCTTCTCATGATTATGAAATTTTTTGGGAATAATTAAATTAAATTATTCATTCAAGGGTAAGGAATCTTAAAAAAAATTATTCTACTAAAATCTTGACAGATCTTTGCCAACGATCCCATTTTCTTTCTTGTAATTAACATAGTAAACTATCAGGATCTCAACTACAGAATTAAAATTGCTGGAATTTTCAGACTTTCTCATTTTTTTAATAAATCTGAATTTAAAAATTAATTGGAAAAAAATATCTTATGATTACAAAACAATTATTGGCTGGTTTGGGACACGGATATGAAATTTACGAAAGATAAGACCTTACAATATCACGCTTCGGTGGTTTCAAGACGAAAATAACCACATTTATTTGTTTATTTATCTCAAACGTGAGCACCTTTCAAGATTGCGAAGATCAAGGATTCGCGCTGTTTTGCGTGAGAGCTATTAAAAGTCGAGCCGCGCGTACCTTTCTTCCTGTAGACGCGTCATTTAGTCTATCGGGTTTTATGTTCCGGATGACGCAGACGGCGGCCATCACCAACTTGATTGGTTCGGGCGGATTTTTCATTGACTTCACAAGTGTGATGTCCGATGGTTTTAGAGTGTTTAGGGCCGCCACGGCATCTGCGAAAAAACGCTCAAGTCGTTAAAGTGTCAATTGTGAATAAATTTAAAAAAAAAAAGCAGACGTGTGCATGATGAGTGATTTTATTATGCGCTGGAATTCGTTTTACTCACATGGGAAAGGAAAATGAGTAAGGGACCTTGAGTTGGAGCCATCAGTTATTTTTCTCGCAATCATAGGGATAGGCTTGGGTCACACTTGACCTTTATTTATTTTTATAGCTGATATATAAATAGGGAAAACATTTGGAAACTATATATTGGCATTATATAGTAATATTGCAAACAAAAATTTCCACATAAATGGAAAGAATGTATTTTTGTTTCCATTTTTTACGAATAATAAGAGCGGATGTAAGTTTCAAATATAATATTTTTTTAATTAAACGATATCAGTATTCACTAAAACTTATTTTAAATATTTCAAGTAAAATCTTAAAATTATCATATTTATTTTTTCAATTAAATAGCAGCTTTCCAAGACTTAAAACCTAAAACTAGGAAGTATTTTCTTATACTGTAAAGTTTAAATCCATTGGTTAAATTCTTTTTTAATTTTGGCTGGTTTAAAATGTTATTCTATTTTCATCCTTCTCATTTTTTTTTATAATAAATTTGAAAGGGGAATTATCATTTTCACTGCGATTTTTACTTATTTGATAAAAATTTGTTTAGTAATCTTCAATATGTAAAGGGCTGATTCAAATTGCTTAAGATTGAATTATTTCCTGAATTGAACCCGGCCCTTTTCAGGGCCAGTCTAGCTGATTTTCGTATTTTTAATTCTTAACTTTCAATAAAAATTGCTGGTAAATCACCTTCGAGAATGGGAATGGCCTGCGCGAGTTCGGTTTCGCACTCGCTCTTGAGCTCCTGCGCGGCGGCCGCCTGCGAGTTTGCCACGGCCTCGTCGCTTCGCACAAGGAGCGACGCCTCGCTCACTTTGCGCGTCTCGGTCTCGATGACGGCCAGCATCTCCCTGGTCTCGGCGGCCGCCTCTGCCAGTCGGGGCTGCAGGCCGCACAGTTCCTCCTGGATGCGCTGCACCTGCTCGGCGGCCAGCTGCAGTTTTTCCAGTCCGGTGAGGTAGCGTTGGCGGTCGTCGAGGATTCGCTCCTTGCGCTCAGCCGTCACCGAGTCCAGCAGCTGCAGCAACTCTGCAAAGTTGGCCGCGTTCACCTGCACGTACCGTCTGGCCGCCTGGTGCAGCCGCCGGCAAACGGCCACCACGGCCGCCGGGCTCTGCTCCTTTAAGTGGCGCTGCGAAATTCGCTCCAACGCTTCTTCGGGCCACTCGGTGAACCACACAGGGGTGCATTGCGTCAGAAGCGCCGGGTAGCGCTGCAGCCGGGTCCGAAAACGTTTGTCCGACGGATCCAGACAAATCATCCAGTGCAAACGTTTACGGCAGCGACACGCAAAGAACTCAAATACCTGGCGAAAAATAGTCAAATTGCTTCAAACCCCATGTTGCATTTTTATTTTATTTTTAGTTGGTTTTTTTGGGTTCAAATTGGAAAATTTGGTTAGTAAAAATTTTTCATAAATTAATCTAAAAAAACGAAAAAACAAACAATCTGTCTCTAGATTTGTATTATTAACTGATAATTAGCCTTTAAAAGTTAGTTCGTTATTTATTTCAATATTGTTTAAATTTTATAGCAAATAATAAATACGAATATTTGCAATCATTGTTTGATAACCAGAACATATTAACTTTGATGTTTTCTTAAATTTTATAATGCATTTTTTGCTTAAAATTCTATGTATGATACTTTGATTGTTGACTTAACTTTAAAACTTAAAAATTCCCATCATTTAATTACCAATAAAAAAACTTCGGCAAAACGGTTCTTGGTTTGTAAAAAAAATAATTTCCCACCTGCAAAGGCACAAGGTCAACCGTTCTTTGTCCACCTTGCGCGTCCAGCATGACCGTTTCCATGATTTCCTGGCGCTCCTCCGTGCTGAAGAGCCCTGGAACGTCGCCTGCGCTCAGAACGCAGTGTGCGCCTTCCAAAAACCTTTCTTCAGCCAAAACTTCCTCTCCAACGAGAAGGACGGTGTCTTTGTCGTCCGCACCCGACCTCCTCATTGCCGCCTTCAGCAAGTTCCGCCAACTCTCAAAACCTAAAAAGAGTTATATTTCTCAATTATTGTTGTTTTATTTTAAAAATTGACTTTTCGACTGACCTGCTTTAGGTTGAATCAACTCGTATCCAACCATGTGACTTGCAAGGCGGCTCAAAGTGCGTCGGCCGCGGCCTGAAGGACCCAAAAGCAGCGCGTTTCCTTGCGGCATTTGTAGCAGACGACACACCCTGGCCAAAAGATCAACAGCTTCTCTAAACAAGAAAATAATAATAAACAATAGAAACAACATTTCCTTCAATTAAAAACATTTAAAATTATTTAAATAATTAAACTTTACAAAATATTCAATTGCAATAAATATAATTTTTGAACTGTGAAACTTAACTTATTCAATGGTCAATTTTATAAAAAAAAAATTAATCACAACTTCTTAAATAATGTAAATAAATTACCATAATCAATTGAGAAATTATTGGCGCCAGACTAACTGCAGTTTTAGATAAAGTCAGGGATCAAATTTCTATGTAAAATTGTAATTTAAACATGATTGAAATAATTTGAAATGTGCTTAAATTCTTAACATTATTTCTCGTTTTTCCTGCAATTTTCATTTTGCCAGGGATCATAAAATTCCAATTTAACTTACGGAAAGAGTACAATGTCTTCTCCCAAACCCTCAACACATTTACTAGCTCTGGCTTCAAATTTGGATCTGTCTGATTCAATATATCGTCCAGTCAGCAATCTTCCGAACAACTTTTGCTCCACCGCAAGTCCAGGCTGCTCCTTGAAGTTGTCCTTGACCGCGGCCTCGACCAGCGATTGCAAAATCTGCCGTTCTTCCGAGGCACTCAGTCTGTCGCCTACGCTGCGTTGCACCTCGTGGCACCAAAGACGCACCAGGGCGCGCTTGTTGTCCGCGTCTTCTTTCAGGATTTGCGAACACCCGAGGATGATGCGCTGAGCCTCGGCTGTTCCCACCGCGTAGTGTGGCCTCCACGGGCGCAGCAGACTCGCGGATCCGTGGACGACGTCCAGGGTTGACTGAACGGCGGCGGTCACAAATGCAGCCACGTCTGACGCAAATCCGTTTCGCTAAAATTGAGATTTTAAAATTTAAATGGTACATAATTAAAACAAAAAATATTGAATTTTCTAGATTTCTTAAAAAATTTCATGAAAATTACTATTGCTTTAAAGCTTGCGGGAAAACATTTAAACTTGGTTTTCTATTATTTTACTTTTAACAAAATATTTGTTAAAAACAGTTAAAAATTAACATCAGATTTTGATTTAAACTTAATTGGTTGATTTAAATTTATTTTATTTTACGTGAAAATTGAAATTAGAACTACTTATAGATTGAAAAACTTTTTTAATTGAGGCAACAGTTGGTATGTACCCTATCTTTCTTACGTTGTGTTCTTGCCCAAACTGAGTTTATAGACGCGAAAGGAACATTTTTATAAAACTTTCATTTTATATAAAAAAAACTTCAGTAATTTTTTTTACGCCGAAAGATGAAAATTTATCACCTTTTTTTATAAATTCGTGATTTAAATCCTTTAATTTATCTTTCCCCAGCTCTGATTTACATTAAATTTAACGAATACTCATTTCAGGCCATATTTGATAGTAAATGAGAGTTCATTTCTATCTTTCGTAATTCTTCAACAGAAAATTTTTCTTCATTTTAATACTATTTCAACAAATAAATTAAGCATTTTGCATTCTTTGCTTGTGAAAATTACCTTGAGGGTGGCGCCCATCAATGATCCAAAAATGCGCGAGGCGCTTTCCTCGCTCATGGGGCCAACGCAGAGCACGCTGAAGTGTCGCAGCAGTCGCGGGGTGACCTCTCGCGTCTCGTCCAACGCCCCCAGGGTGAGGACGTGGTTCAACTTGACGCTGGTCGCCGACTCGTGCAGCGTCGAGTGGTCCACCACTTGGCGCAGCAACTCTTGCGGGCCGAGGCTGTGCGCCGTGCCAACGTCGTCGACCAAAATGACGCAGCGTTTGCAACCGGCGGCAGGGCCGAGACCGTGCGAGCTGCGACTTAGGTTGGTGCTCAGCTCTGACTGCAGCAGCGGAGCGTCGGCGCCGTGCGTCAAACGGACCAAAATCGCTTGGTTTTGGCTCGAATTCAGACGTTCCAGAGCGAAATGGTGCAGCAAACAACTCTTTCCTATTGTTAGAGAAGGTAGAAGGTTAAAATAATGTTGAAATTAAAATTTTCAATGTCACCAATATTTGGGAAAATATCTTGTTCAAATAATTAAGATGGCGTCTCGTTGAATTAAATTTTTATTCATTGATATGCGAATATGCGAATATTTTTAGCTATAAAATGTTTTAAAACTTTATAAAAAAATTCATACAATAAGTTGAAAAGAATTTGATCTTGAAAATAAAATGGTTTTTACTACTAATACTGGGGGATATTCAATAGACTTAGCTCTCCAGGCATAAAAAATTATCCCGGGATAAATCCAAAAAGATAAAATTTCTCGCGCTCGCTGCGCTCGCAGCTTCTTTTCAATGTACTTCTCCATGTTCAAGCTTTATTTTATTTTATTAAGTTTCAGGGGTTTACCTGAGTCTTTTGGGCCTCTTAACATTAACGGTCGGCCGTGCTGAACATGCAGTTGCATTAAATGACTTAAGCGTTCCGTGTCAATCGTCGGAATGACTGTTTTGAACATTTCCGCTTGATCATCCAATTTCATAGCTCTCAAGATATCAGGCCAGTACTTCCAGCTACCCTTGAACCTGAAGACGAAACTGTGGTCAAGCAAAACGCCCTCACCGGGCACTGCCACGTCCACTTTTCCTTCCATACACGCCGGTACAGGGTAATCAGTACTTAATCCTGACAAAATTCTTATTGAAATTGGGTGCAAAAATTTGATTTACTTTGATTACCACGCCATAGATTTTTGTAAAACTCGTCAAAAAGTTCCCTTTGGGGTTTCAGTAGGGGCCCACTGAAGGCCCAGGCTCCGGAGAGCATCAGAGCTGCCTGGAGCCACGCTCGGACGTGTTTGGCCGCCTCCGGATCTTGGCAGGGCTCTTTTAAGTACATCGCGAAAATGGAAATCAATGTACTAATTCTTTTTAATTAAAAAAAATCCTTATAAAATTAATTTTTGTATTTACTCCACGAGACCGCTAGGACTAATGATGGGTTTGAATTGGTCAGTGAATTCGACACAAGGCGGAACGATCCAGTTCAAAATCTCTTTTACTAAAGTGCCTTCCTGCTTGGCCCACAACTCTTCTTTGCTATTTTCAAGCCATGTGTCGACTACAACCTTCCACGAAATTTCTCCGAAAAATACACACTGACAGCGTCCCAAAAGTCCTGGAGATGCCTGAAAAAGAAATTATTAAAACAAAATAAGGTTATTTTTATAATTTGAAAATTTAGAAAAAAAAATATGTTATATTCATTAAGGAAGAGCAAGAAAATTTAAAACAGTAAATTTCTAAAAATTTTAAATTTGAAATATGAATTTAATTTTTTAGAGATCATATTATGTGGGTTTTATTAAAAATTCAATGGATTCCAAATTTTTAAATTTGAGTCTGCTCTTTATGCAGTTTTTTTCCAATTCAGTTATAAGTAATTTTAATGATGAAATCTATCAAACCGATTTTATTTGTATCAACACATTCACCTGTCGTAAATCCTGCGTTTCGAAAATAATTTTCACATTACTTCGAACGTAAAGAGCTTCTCCGGAGGCCAAATTTAATTTGGCCGGGTCATCCATGGCTGATTGCAAATTCTCGACCCACCAAGGCTCAAGAGGTCCGTCGAAAAGCAGCCACTTGGTGCCAGTCCTGATGGCACTGGTCACCACCCCGTCGTGCCACTCACCTTTATTCAGGTGTCCAAAAAGTCGCTCAAAATCGAGAGCCAAAGGACAAATTAATTCGATTTGATTCTCGCCGGCCGCCTTTTTAATTGCGGTGGTTTTTCCTGATCCAGGAGGGCCAGTGACGATTAGCCCCTTGCTGTTCAAAAGCGACTGCTGCAAATCAGCCTCGCGAAAGTCGATCTGCGAGAGGAAGGTGTCTTTCAGGACACTCTGCAAAATTGGACGCTCCTCCGCAGAAACGCCGGGGAGCAAAATTTTTCCCAAAGCTAAATGCAGGGGAATGTTTTCGGAAATTAGCAGGCTCACTGCTTGCATCGCAGCCTGCACACCTGGAATTTTTATTTATTAAATTTGAAAATAAGCTTACAATATATTTATAACAATGGAATTGTAATATTCTAAAGAAAATAAAATTAAATTTTTATAGAATAAAAAAATATAATTGAAGAAATATGAACTACCTATTTTTTGAGCAGGCTTTAAAGCATACATGAATTTTTTCATATATCCGAGAGAAAACCTTTTTACAGTAGAAAAATATTTTTACCAAAATTTTCGCGGACGCCCAATCTCTGTTGCGCCACTTTCAGAGCTGTTGTGAGCCAGACAGCATTTTCTTTTGCATTTTCGATTGCGGCTGCTCGCAGTTTTATTTCAACCAAACTGCACACATCTGGTTCGCGCAAGGTCCACGGTCTGAACAAGCTCTATAAAAATAAGACATTCAATTTTATGGAATTTTTATCTTTCAAATAATGTACTTTGAAATTGTTTGGGACTTGAGCGCGCAGAGGCTGTTGCGAAGTAACGCACAAAAGGCAGGACGGGCGGGCCAAAGGCACAGGCTGCCGACCCTGCAGGCAAAGTTGCGGTGCATCAGCCTCGCAGGCCATTGACAGATCCAGCACGTGCTGGGCAGTAACCGAAAGCACTTCGGCGGTTAGTTGATGCACCTCGTCGAGCAGGCACCACGCGCCGCAGCCGGCACTGCCTTGGAGAACCTTCGATAAGAGCAATAACAAAAAAAAAATTATAATTTGATGTGTTCAGGCCTGATTTTTTTATAATGCAGAGGATTGATTTTTATGAGTAAGAAAACATATTTTTTTTTTTTAATTTTTAACTATTCACAGCAAATAGAACACTTTTATGAAAGTGCTTCTCAGGCAATCTTAGGTCTCGATTTTTTTGCGCCTATAATGACCGACCGCGTTTAATCCTTCTTCTCCCATTAGACAAAAGGTAACTCGCGGCAACGCAGGTTAAAGCTCTTTAGCTACGATTTATATTCCCTAGACCAAAAGAATGCAAGGTCGGGCCCTCCCTGATGCACTTCCCAATATTATTTAAAGATGTGCATCCGCGCTCCCAAAGATCATTCCCCGCTCGGACTGCACCATGAAGATATCACTAGTGAGTATAAAGCTCCTGGATAAATCTTTATATCTTTATTTTAAACTTTTGAAATTTAAATTTTAGGGCATTCTGGTTTTCATTGTGGCTTCTGCGCTGAGTTTTCCCACGGGTCCTGCCCCCCTTCAGGACCAGGCGCAGAAAAGGTTTTTTGGACTTGGACCGGTTGGTTTGGACCTTGGTGGGGCGTTCGGAGGTGGATTTTACCGCGGAGGATATTACCCAGGGTACTCAGGGTACATCGGCAGCGCCTATAATAATGGACTCTATGGCGGGTTGAATGGCGGCGGATATCGGCAGACGTTCAACCCTTTTTGGGGTGGTCGATTTGGTTACTTTGGATAATTTTTGATAAATTCATATGTTTTTAATCATCTTCTTTGTAAAGTGAAACCTTTAAATTTTTATTATTTGTGAATAAATTTTGCTATTTGGACTCACTCTCAACAGCGTCAGTTCATTTGTAGCCACGGAACACGTAATTGAAATTTTGAATCGGCCGAATTGCGCGGCCAAGCCTAAAAAAGTGCAGCTTTTGCCACTGCACGCCGGTCCCTGGAGGTTCAAAAAAGCTCCCATTTGATGCGCCGCCACCAGGGCTCGGTAACAACGTAAGGTTGGTGGCGTGAGCACTAAATAGGGACCGCTCAAAAACTCCCAGCCGTACTGATAATTCGAGAACATGAGACGGCCTTCCAGATTTTTCTCTTTGTCGTAATAAAACCTGAAAAATACAAATTAATGTTTGTGTAATTTAATTTTCAAACAGAATTATTAATCATCAATTCAAGATTTATTAAACCAACTTGAATTTTAAAATTTTTAATCCTAAAATAAAATTCATCTACTATATAAATTGAAAAATTATTTTTCCTATAGAATCTTAAAAATAGTCAGATAATTATACATTTTTTCTTGTTTAAAATAATTTTTAGAAACATTTAAAATTTTAAAATTAATGCATTAAAATTTTTCCAAAAGATTTTTATGATCAGTTTCAGAAAACCACGTTAAAAGTCATTTGTTAAATTTCAATAAATTTTGAGTTAAAGCCTAAATTTACAACCTGATTTGTGAGAGCCACTGGAAGTCACTCGCTTTGCTAATTGAATCTTGTCTCAGTTTTTGCACCACCTCCAAGTAGTGCAAATTTGTCATTAGAAGATAAGAAACTTTTTTTCTTTCCTCAGAAGAGATTTCTTCTTTCATTTCACCATTCAGTATTTCAACATACTCCTACGCGAAAAATTAGATTATAAAATAGAGTATAATATATTGAAATGCAACCAAGTATTTTTGTTCCACTATTGCCATTTTTTTCGGCCATCGCATTGAACTTTCCACGTCTTTGGTCCACGAAGCGGCGGCCGCCACCAAAACCAACTGCAAAAGGCCCTCGAGTGTTTTTCTCTTCTTCCAATGAATCTCATCAAATTTCCTCTTCATCGCTTCTGCGATGGCCACTTCAACGGCAGCAAACCATTGCTCAACCGGACCCGGCGGCACCGGTTCCACCTCGAGCGTCTCTTGCCCGGTCAAACAAATCAGTCGTTCCTCCTCGTCAAACTCGGCGCCTTTCGCCGCTTCGAATATTTTGAAAATGCACAGAGCGGCCACTCGGTCCAAATGGGGAGCCGCCGAGAGCACGGATAAAAGTTCCTCATTGCTGAGGAAGAAAAAGCGAGGAAAGGCGCGTCTTTTGACGCCGAGGTAGCGCACCACGGCCTGGTTGACGGCGTTTAGGCGCTCGGCGCATTCAGTCAGTTCCTTCAAAGCGACAGGACCTCCCGCCAAGTGCATCACGCAAGGGTCACTGTCGGCTCTGTGTGCCAAATCTCGCACAGTTGCATCAACCTGTAAAAATTTGTTCAAAAATTGTATCATTTTCTAAAAACGATTAAATAGAATGGATTTTTTTTTTATTATAAGAAAAAATTAAAGGAACTGAAATGGTAATCAGTATTTTTTTCAAGAAGCAGCAAAATTAATTTAAAAAATTTTGTTAGGGTAAAAATGACTTACTTCTAAAAATTGTAAAAACTGAATAATCATAGCTAGGGGGAAAATGTTTGCTATAGATGTGCAATTGCATTTTTTTTTAAAGGGACTTAAAAACTAGGAAAAATGTTGTTATATTTTTTATTAAACAGAGTTCCAACTAAATTTAATTATAAATTTTTTAATATCAAAGTTTCAATGCATATGCCATATAAAATACAATTTTATTTTCAATTAAATCTCTGATATAATTTTTTTCTATTCTTAATTTTGAGGCCTATACCAGTGCAAAAAGTTGAGCTTCCGTTGGCATAAACCTCGCCGCGTCGTCGCAGCACTTGAAAATTGGGGACAAGTGCCGCCACTGCTCCTGCACCAAGGCCCAAGTGGTCAGGGTGGCGGCGGCGCGACTCAGTTTGGCGTACCACGCACGCAACTCCACTGCGTGCGGTTTGGCGAACGCTGACCCTCGCATCGCCTGCGTCCTCAGAATGGCCGAGGCGAGCAACGCTTGCAGGTCATCCAAATCGGTCAAAAGACTGCAGCCTCGCTCAGGGTCGCTGAAAAGCCTGAAATTGACCTTTTCCCACTCATCTTGCATTTGGGCCAGTTCGTCCTGAAGAGCCAATTCCTTTGTTGCGCCAAAACTGATCACCTCACATTTTCTAAATACAAAAAAAAATTACACAATTGTTCTGCAATTATTAAGCAAGAAATAAAAATTACTGGAGGAGTTCAGGTGTGAAAGGTAATTTCAGCATTTTCCTCAAACTGGCGCCGGCGTCAGGACAAACTTCGACCTTCAGAAGGGTGCTGATTTCAACCCAGTGACGCTGAAAGAGGCACCGATTGCAGATAACTCTGACCAGGACCAACTGGGACTTGAATTGTTTTATGTCCTCCAAGAGTTGTTGGCACAATTGAAGGGGTGCGGGGAGGTTTCCAGGATCGTCCAGAGTTCCTTTAAGGCGCCGAGGATTATTGTCAGCGATTTGTTGCTTTATCATGACGCGAAATTGTTGCTGGGTTTCCTCAGTTTTCCTAAAAAAAATTAAAATAAATAAATATAGTAAATAATTTGTAAATGTAACAACATGAAAGATAATATTTTTAGTAAATACAAGTAATCTTAATATTTTAAGTTAATTTACTGGAGCATTTTGTTTGTGGTGTCTTGAATTGATTCGGCGTCCAGCTCATCAAATGCGCCGTCCATCCACTTGTACAGGGTAGTTCGCCACGATCGACAAAGGCACAGCAGTCCCCAGACAGGCAAGAGACAGTTTTTGAGTTCATCCAGTTCTGGGTAGGTTGACAGAGGGAATCGGAAAAGCGCCTCCTCAGAGTTGATCCAGTCGGCTTCTTCCTCAAACTCCAGCAATCGGCGGCGAAGCTTCCGCGTTTCCTCCAAGTAAGTGTCAACCCTTTCCAGAAGACGCATGTCGTTGACGAGCGCCAGCCGAGGCATCGCTTCCTCCAGTTTGCGGTTCAACTGGTCGGTGCGTTGTTGCAGGAGCCGCTCAAAATCTGTCCTTTGCTGCTCGAAAAACTGAAATGATTACAGATATAAAGAAATTTAAAAAGATTGATTTTATTATGTAGAAATTGCAATTATTAATTGAAGTGAAATAAAATAGACATTGAAATTTAATTTTTTTGACGTAAAAATTTGCATTAGAAATAAATAAAATACAAATTTAATCAATATCTTTCATTTTTAAATTTAGTTGAAAATTCAAGGAACTTTGTATAAACTATTTTTGATGATTTTGATTTGCGCAATAATTGTATGTATTATTTTTAACAATAAATTAAGAAATTAATTAACCATGAAAATCGTTAATAATTTTTTGTAAATATACAAACCATTGAAGCCATTGAAAGTAGTTGCTTGCTATTGATATTTAACCAAAAATAAAATTAAAGCTAATTTTAGACAAATTGAATGGGAGAATTTTTATAAAAAAAACTAAATGTTTACTTTTAACATAATATATGTAAAAGAAATCACAACTGTATTGATTAAAGTAATCATTATATTTGTTGAATACCCCACTTAATTAAATGAAGAATATTTAATTTTTTAATTCAAATAAGTTAAAAGATTATTCTTGCATTTTTCACTTACTACTTCACTCTGAACAAAGCAAGGTCCAATTTCAGACAGCCATCGAAGCGCTTCTGTGTTGAGGGCGCAGTGTTCGGTGGAGAGGAACCGCAGTCGCATCAGTTGGGCCATCCTGGCCGTCAGTCGGGCGATCCGTCCTTCCAGCTCGCCGATAGTGTCCCTCTGCGCGACACTCAGGAAATCCTGCGCCGCCATCAGTTCGGCCGTGGATGCGGGCGCCGCCGAGGCACGAGCCGCAATTTCACGAAAGGCACGGCAAATGCCGAGTGCGTCTCGTTGGTGCAGACGTTCCATCCGCGACACCACCGACTGGATGGCGCCCTTGGCGATTCTCTCGAGCTCCTCCAGCAAACCTTCCTTGCGCAACACGATCAGGTCGCTGACCTCTTCTGGAGGCTCTTCCAGAACGGTTGACAAGCAGTGCTGGAGAAAAGCAACCCGTGCCCTCAGAGCCTCAAAATCGTCCTCCACCAACGTGGCTTCGGAGGTCAAAGGCTCAAATCTGGTGTGGAGAACGGCCAGGTGGACACGCGGGGCCGAAAGGTAGCGTTCCAGAATGCGGGACAATTGGGCTTTTGTCTGCGTTTCGTAATTTAAATCGTCCTCAACTAACATTCCATGACAACAGCGACAAATCTACAAAAAAAATTTTGAGATATTTCTTTTTAGACTTTTTATTTTTGTCATTTCTGTTGAAAATTATCACTAAACACAGGTTTGTATTTTAATTTAAAATGTATTATTCCTGGCAAAATTAGAACTATAATAAACAAAAGCGTTATTGGAATAGGAATTCTAATTGATATTAAGTACCTACAATATTTTCTGAAAAACTGAATTCCACCTCGAGTTAGAAAATAAAAATTTTTCAATTTTACATATTTTTAAAAACCATGAATATTAAAGAAAATTTATAAAAATTAAATCAATATATAATTCCGAGAAAAATAAATAATTATAATAAGACCTAAAATATATATTGTGATTTGTTGATTACCGCTGTGACAAATGATTCAAAGGCGCAGCAGAGGTCGGACTCGGACGGTTCCGTACTGTTCATCTCCGCGTTGACCACGATGACGTGCGGCCGCGTGTCCAGAACTTGCAGAAGTCGGCATGCACTCCTGCGAACCATCTGCGAGATCTGCACGCGCACCAGCAGATCGACAAGGCGAGTGAGGCGCTGGTCGCGTTGGGCACTACTGCGCGCCTCTTGCGCCCAACCTCTCCGCAGGTCGTCGGCGCGGCGTTCGGCGCTTTCCCGCCACTGCCGAGCCGCCTCGTAGACGTCGTCCGACTCGACGTCGTCCAGCGTGACCAGAAACTGAGGCACACGTTCTTGCGCGGCACTCATCGCTTGACGAGCTGCAGCTGAGACGAGACGCAGATTTTTACCGATGTAATTTCGGTTTTTGAGAAACGTTGTGAACGTTTTGGTTCTTCCAGAGTTTTTCCTGAAATAAGGATATTTGTAAATAAATTTTTGAATTGGAGAACTCTAAAAGTATTTGAATTAAATTTTCAAGAGGAATGTTTTAATTTTGTTTTGAATTGAGAATTATTTTAAGATGGTAAAATCTATTTATTTTATGAAAAAAGTAAAATTAATTGGAAATTTTCTGAAATTTTCACACCATTGTTTTCTAGCTGTAATGGTATTTCCAAAGGTGTACTGAACGCTGCATTGAAGGACCACGTTTCTGTAGTCATCTTGAACATTTTGCAGATCTTCATGGAGAGCGGAAATTTGCCTTGTGCTTAATTTGCCATCGCGGACTGAAAGCTGTGCAGAAGTTTTCAGCGGTAATTTTCAATTCTATTTCAAATTTTAATTGGACGAAACATCATCACATCTGCGTTATATTTTCCATATTTTCTATCAACCATTTTACTTGAGAAAAATCGAAAAATGATATTTTCGCGCTCAACGTTCATATATCTTCCCCCTCCCTTCGCGCACGCCCATCAACCCATCCATGCCTCCCGTTTGTTTTGTTTGTTTACATCGGTTTCTGACTCAAACCAAAGAAATTTATCATGCCCTGCATGTCTTCTACAAAAATATTTTCCACATTAAGTAATTAAATTCACCCAACACACAGATCTGGCTGAATGGTCCTGCCAAAGCCATAATCAATATCAACAACAACAACAACAACAACATCGGTTTACAGCAGAAAGAAAAGGTCAGAAAAGGTAGATGAAAACATGGAAACTATGGAAAGATATTATTTATTCTGGATAAATTGAATTGCTTTGTTTCTTTTTAACTCTAATTAGTCTTGACTCATCGGTTTTTATTTTGGAGTTTGGATATCAGCGAGGAGAAAGAAAAAATATAACAACAACTGAAAGGCGACAAGAGTTGTGTACAAAAGGATCAAAAGAAAAGATTTTTGAAATTATGAATGGTAATTTATAACAAGATTTATTTACAGTTGTCGTATAGGTCCTCCTACTTATATCCATTTAATTAATTAGGTTCACCCTTGTAATTATTGTTGCTGGAAAATTGTGTCGCAATGGAGAAGAAAAATCAGGAAGAAGGGGCCTCTCCAGAAGCTAAAAGACCTCGTCGTCCCACCAGAAGCACCGGCCGACCCACTGACCGTCATAGACACAGCTCGGAAATGCACAGAGCCATTGAAGACAAAGATTTCAATACCATTGAAAAACTGTTGAGCAAAGGGGAAACCTTCTGCAACGGCGAGGGACTCAACTGTTTTATTCTAGCCGCTTGTTCTTGCATGAATGGATCACCCCTGGCTTCTCGATGGAAATTCACCCAGAAAATGCTGAACATTGATCCGCAAACGGGACTGTCTGCGAGGAATACAGGTTTACTCCTTGATTTTTCACACTGACTAAAATTTTTATGCACGAAATTCCTCAGACGGTTCTACTTTGCTGATGATTTTCTCAAATTGCCCAGCAAAAATTGAATTCTTGGCAAATTTGGGTGCGAACCTGAATGATGTAGACAATGATGGTGATACGGTTTTGATGAGATCATACATGCACTCCAATGGTGATACCAGGGTAAAAAAGAATTAAAACTGGAGCGTAATTATTATATACATTATATTTAAATTGCAGGGATTCTTGAAGCTGTTAGAACTTGGCGCCAGTCCAAATATGCCAGCTGGGAACAAATACCCCAACATGATCTCATTTTTTATTTCCAATTATTGTATATCTGCAAAACCTTGTTTCAAGTACCTGATGAGGCCAGAGTTTTTCAGCAAAATTGAAGAGTCTCAATTTAGCGAGAACCCAATATTTTCTTGTCTTGAAGGATACTGTAAACTAAATCTGAGAACCGCTTATTCTGATAGCTCTGATAGTTTGGAGGAAGTTTTAAAGGACAAGATTTCCCCTAGATTCAACATTCTGGCCACAAGAAAGACAAGCTTGTTTTCCCCGGAAAACGGCTATCCCGTGTGGAATATTTTGAAACAGGTCCTGAATATCCCCGAGGAAATATTGTTGGATCCCCAGGGCTACTATCTATTCACAGTCAGCCTGCACAGCTTTTTACATAACGATCAACCCTATGATGCTGTGAAAGTCCAGCTCCGAGCTATTAGTAAACTTGGCTATGTTGCTCCAAAAAATGCAAAAGCTTTGCCCTTAAATCTGGCTCTCCTCTACAATGCAATTCAACGCCAGGGAATAGAATCAATTGTGACAATAGGACGTGCACCTGCTAGCTTTATTTGTGAATTTTGTTTGAAAGGTGAGTTTATTATTTTTGGTGAAACTTATTTAACATATTATACATTTTTGCAGAAGAAACATTCGATGACTCATGTCTCGAGATGCTCAACTTACTAGCACCATATTTGTCACTCATGTCCCTGTCACCACGTCTGATCGACTCATTGTCCAAATTTGCTCAACAAGTGATGTCGATGATCCCAGAGAACCCATTTGACTTGATGAATCAAATTGTGATGAACATGCGTCTGATGTTTTCACATTCTCCAAACGAACAGAGGCGTTTTGTCGAAAATTTCTGCATGAGACCTTGTAAGTGCTTGATAATTTTCAACTATTCAAAAAAACTTTAAACATAGATATCTTTTTAGTGTGGTTTTTTATAAAAATCTTCCTTGGCCCAAACTGCAGCTTGCGTTGGGACAAATTTCTGCATAAAGATTTGGATGGGAAAATTTTAGACAAGGTTGAGGAATTTCTCAAATCGAGGAAAATCACCACTGAAGATATTGAGGAAGCAAATGGTAATTGGAATCATCTGTGCTGTAAATTATTTGCTAAAAATTTTTTATAGTTCGAGGAAAAGTGCAATCACTTGAAGCTTTGAGTGTTTGGTGCGTCAGGAGAAGACTGTTCCAGTGTCGCAAGGAGGGCGAAAAACTTGTTGACTGCGTTAGTAAGTTAGTCGAGAGCACACCAATCCCAACATGCATCCAAAATGAGCTGCTGCTTTTCAAGTGATAGTATTTATTTGCAATTTTCAAATAATTCCTTAAAAGGTGTTCAAACAAATAACCACAATTAAAGATCCATGAAATTAATTTTGCATAAAATCAAACGTAAACATTGTGTATTGTCTCGAAATTAAACTGTGCAGCAAAAATTACGAAGACTGAGATTCCTTGTATCATTTAAATAAAAAAAAAAAATTATAAAAAAATTCAGACTTATTCTCTCTGCTTAAATAAATTTTCAATTGATATTACCTTGATTATATTAACACTTGTTTGCTCTGGAAATGTGTTTGACCTATCCCCTGCTTCCAGTTCTTCTCTCAGTATGAACTTCAATTCTTCACAGCTAGTTGCAGATTGCCCGACATAATTCTTTCTCGGAAGCTGCTGTCGTCCACCCAATCGCTCTCCTCTGATAAACAATTCTCCTAAATAAATTTTAAAGTAAATGCTTTTTGTTTCTTACATGACTTTTTTAGAGCGATTTTTCTTTTCTCGTAATAAAAATTGAACTTTGTCCATATTTTTAATTTGAGCACTGTTAGGCCGTTGCTATGGTAATTTACTTTTACGAAGTTGCCTGGAGATAGAGGTGATTTCAACTCTTGAAATTATTTGTCTCTAATTGACGCAACCGCAAGACGTCCAAGACTGATATTTCCATGAATAAATGAAATCTACAAAGAATATTTTGAGATTTCGATACGACTCTATGACAAGAAATTTTGTAATTTTAGTTTCATTAATTCTTTTTTTGGAATTGTAAAAATTGATAACGTTTTCATTTATTTTGTTCTACGACTCTAAATACAAATATAGGAATATTAAGGTGCGCCAGAGAGGTTTAACAGTGGACGCACCTTTAAAATGCACCATACTTTACTCTTCCTGCAAATTAATTCTGCTAAAATGTAGCTATATAATCAAGGTAAATTTTACATTAGGGCGAAGAATAGCGCTGTCCCTACAATGCATCAATAAAATGCACTGTAGCTTATTTCCAGCACTCACAAAATTGCCTGCAATAAAAGAGGCATATAAGAGGGTTGCATTTTGGTTAGTGAATTTCGATTTTCTTTTTATTTAATTGCTGAAGGCATTAATTTCATACAATTAAGAAATATTCAATATAAAATGAAGACTTAGCATTATTAATGGGTGCGTCCAGGAAAGATTTGAGGGTAAATGTTAAAAATTTTTCTTGAAAACATGCCATTCCAATTTTCAAGTATGTTGTTGGGGTGGTCAAGAGGCCTCGCTCACCAAATTTTCAAGTCAAAATAAGCGGTGCTTTTCCGGGAAATCAGATTTTTCCAAAAACAAAAAATATGGAATATCTTTGCTCCTATTGAGAAATTATTAATGATCTTTTCACTTCCAGCCGTAACTTTTTACGCCCGACAACTTTTCTGTTGACAACTTTTGCGTAGGTCAAAGGTCAAGGTCACTAAATTGCAAATTTCACTTTCTGACGCAATTTTCGCAAAGAAGCACCCCTCAGAAATTTTTCGCAGTATAGGAAAAAATGTAGCCCCAAGTGTGTAGAACAACATCCTTGATTTCCAGAATGGCATTATTTTTAGTTTTTTAATTAATTTTAAATTAATATTAAAAAACAGTGAAAAATCGCTTTTCCGCAATAGAAAGTAATTTTCAAACAGCGATAACTCATTTTCTGTTAGAGATACGCAAAAATGTTATAGAACAAAAAGGATTTGTTTTGACTTTTTGCATCCAGCCATGTATTTTGTATACAGGTCAGGTCACTTGGGGTCATTGACCTCGGTGACCTGTGACCTCAAAAAATAATTTGTGGGAAATGAGCTTATTAAAACCATTCCATAAAATAGTTCTTCCTAACTATGTGCCAAATATTCAGTAAACTGCTCTTAAAGGTCACAGGTCACTGAGGTCAAAGACCCCAAGTGACCTGACCTGTATACAAAATACATGGCTGGATGCAAAAAGTCAAAACAAATCCTTTTTGTTCTATAACATTTTTGCGTATCTCTAACAGAAAATGAGTTATCGCTGTTTGAAAATTACTTTCTATTGCGGAAAAGCGATTTTTCACTGTTTTTTAATATTAATTTAAAATTAATTAAAAAACTAAAAATAATGCCATTCTGGAAATCAAGGATGTTGTTCTACACACTTGGGGCTACATTTTTTCCTATACTGCGAAAAATTTCTGAGGGGTGCTTCTTTGCGAAAATTGCGTCAGAAAGTGAAATTTGCAATTTAGTGACCTTGACCTTTGACCTACGCAAAAGTTGTCAACAGAAAAGTTGTCGGGCGTAAAAAGTTACGGCTGGAAGTGAAAAGATCATTAATAATTTCTCAATAGGAGCAAAGATATTCCATATTTTTTGTTTTTGGAAAAATCTGATTTCCCGGAAAAGCACCGCTTATTTTGACTTGAAAATTTGGTGAGCGAGGCCTCTTGACCACCCCAACAACATACTTGAAAATTGGAATGGCATGTTTTCAAGAAAAATTTTTAACATTTACCCTCAAATCTTTCCTGGACGCACCCTAATTATTATATATTTGCTTTTTCATTTTGAAAAAAAAATGTTTCTTATTTGGATTATTCAATTTTAACCAAAAATTGTTTCTTACTCGACTGCTTCTTTAAAATCACTTTTTATGATATTTTCAATAAATGAAACGTTCTCGTCAATACGCGCGTTACAATAATTAATAATGATATTATGGATAATTGGATATTATTTCAAATCGTCATAAACACGCGCCTTTTTAATTTTTCTTCCTTCCCTCTTGCGAACGTCACTAAATCTCTGTCCACACTTGTTAGATCTCGTCAAAGCAGCCAAAACACGCCGCAGCCGCAGCGGGAGAGAAGGGAAGAGTAGGGAGATGGAAGATGGATGGAGAGTGAATTGGATCAGTGTGTGAAGTGAGAGTGAGTCGCCGAGTTGTACGTATGTTCTGCACGAATTTTGTTTGTGTTCCTCCCGATTCCCGATCTGTTCAGTGCAACATTTTGTGCAACAAAAGGACAAAAGAGGTTTTTGCATATTGGATCCTGCTCATAGGTATCTCAGGTCAGTATGTATCTTTGTTACTATTTGCAATATACTGAGTGTTTGCAAATTTTAATAGACTAAATAGATATGCAGATCGACTATTAATTTTCAGATTGTTTCAAAATTCTTGCTGTAATATAGTCAGATCTCTCCATTTTCTCACGTTAAAATTCCTTTTGGCCTCCCTATAATAGCTGGGGGTTCCATGACATAATCTCCCTTTGTTGCCTCACAATGGAATGTAGGAGACTAACCCTGGGGACTTGGCAAAAAAAGCAAAAAAAGTTCAGTGCATAACATGAAGTGCAAAGTTTTTTATCATTTATCATGCAAAAAGTAACACAAAGCGAAAAGTCGTGGTCGTCGAATGAAAAAATTAAGCCCTCTTTTATTTTGGGACCCTGATCCTGATACATATTTAAAGTATAGAATATAGAATTAATGTATACAAATACTACACACTTTGATCTAATCTTATGGCTTTTTATGTATAATTTGATCAGTAATTCGATCACATAATAATTCATACATACATACTTTTGTCGTTTCTAAACAGGGAAATTTTTTCCTGATGGAGAAGAATAATCGGAGTCGGGGCAAAGGATGTGAGGCTCCGGAAGCAAAAGTACCTCGTCGATACAGGACAATCCAACCCAATGCCCTCAGCAGTCACCGAATGCACAGAGTGGATGATATGCACAGAGCCATCATGAATGTGGACTTCTCTACTATTGAGAAACTTTTGAGCCAAGGTGAAATCTTCTGCACTGGTGACTTCATTCTAGCTGCATGTAATCCAACACCGCCTAGGGGATGTTTTGAAACTTGTTGGGAACTTGTGTGCAAAATGCTGAGCAAAGATCCCCAAGCCGGATTGTCTGCAAGGAGCGCAGGTTTTGTTAACTTTGTAATTAATTTTCTATTATAACTCAAAATTTTCATTTTATAAATTTCTGAACTCAGACAGTTCAACCTTGCTGATGATTTATGCAAATTGCGTTGAAAAAATTGAATTCCTGGTAAATTTGGGTGCAAATGTGAATGATGTGGACAACGATGGAGACACGGTTTTGATGAGATCTTACATGCACCCCCGTCCAAACTCTAGAGTAATTGAAGATAAATGATAATTAGTTTAAAAAATATATTTTTTTTTTGTAGGCATTCTTGAGGTTGTTGGAACTTGGTGCCAACCCAAATGTACCGGCAGGGAACAAGTACCCCAACATCATCTCGTTCATGGTTTTACATGAGAATGAAAATGCAGAATTTCCCACAAATATTGAGTCTCAAAACTGCTTCAAGTACATTATTCAGCCAGAGTATTTTGGAAAAATTGAAGAATCACAATTTGAAAAGATGAACCCAATATTTGATTTCATTGATATGTGCTTCAAAATGAATGGCAGAATTTCTGATGAAATGAACAATATTCTAAAAGACGAGAATTTTCCCAAGTTCAACAAGACAATCACAAGAAAGGGAAGTTGGGGTTCAATTATTGGAGGCAGCTGGCAAGACAATGAATGGATCGTTTTGAAGCAGGCGCTGAATATTCCGGATGAATTCTTATTGGATCCGCTGAGCTACTATCTCCTCCAGATAGACCTTTGTACCGCCTGGAATACTCTCCAAGACATGAAAATTCAAATTGGAGTATTTCGTGACCTCGGATGTCTTGCTACAAACAATAAAAACGTTTTGCCTCCAAGTTTGGCACTCGTCTACAATGCAATTCAGTCTTGTCAGTTCAAGACAAACGATCACAACAACTACAATGGAAATTTACGTAGTCTCTCTGCAATTTTGTGTGCATTTTGCATTGAAGGTGAGATAAATTTGCAAATTGAATCTAATTTTACAGTTTTATTCTCTAACGTATTATTCTTTTTCAGATGAGACTGCTCGCCTCAGTGGCTCCTGGTTCCAAGTGGTAACCTTGCTGGGACCTTTTCTGGCGTTCATGCCACATACCATGGATCTGACAAAATTTGCCCAGCATATTATGTCGGAGATCCCAGAAAACCCCTTTGACGTTATCAATCAAATGATGATTAATATGCGTATGATGTTTTCACGCTCTCAGAGCAAATGCAACTTTTACATCCAAAATTTCTGTAGCAGGCCACGTAAGTTTATAAATCAAAATATTATGTTTTATAAGACCGGCGATTCTGAATTTTAAATTTTGTATTCTTCTACTTTTAGTGCCTCTTATTTTGAAAACATTCCTTGGACCAAACTGCACCTTGTCATGGGACAAATTGCTGCATAAAAAGTTGGATGAGAAAATTTTCAGCAAAACCTTGGATTTGCTAGAAGAAAAGGACGTCCCCACTGAAGAGAAAAAGAAAGCAAGCGGTAAGTTAAAATTTATATTAATAAATTCTTGAAAACATTTATACTAAAAGTGGAATTTTCTGAATTTTCATAGTTCTAGGAAAGGTCCAAACACTTGGAAATCTGAGTCTTTGGTGTGTCAGAAGAAGATTGTCCGAGTGTCGCAATGAGGGCCAAAAGCTTAGTGAATGCATTTCCAAGTTAGTCAACAGCACACCACTTCCCAGAAACCTCCAAAACGAGCTGCTGCTTTTCAAGTGAAGAATGTTCTTCATGTTGTGCTATAGTAAAAATGTAACAGGTTCTATAATTGAAATGCTAAAGTTTTCTGTGCATAAAAATTTGGCAAACATAAGTAAAAGATATTGAGTTGATACAGACACTTTAAATTGTGATGCGCATTAATATGATTCAACAAAAATAACTACTACAATTTTAACTTATAAAAGGATGGCTCTATTGTGGTGGCTGGTGCACTCTCATCCCAAAAGAAAGTGCTTTAGCAAGTTGTTTGCTTGCTAAAAGCCAATTTTCCGCATTCTTTCTCACATTTATTTTTTGATATGTTGTATTAATCACTATTTTTTTTATTATGTAATTTTGGTACTTTCAGCATATTGTACGTCAATGATCGATTCCTGTTTTTTCCGGCATTTTTTGTATGTGCGTACTTTTTTGCAATGTAATGTTAACCATGAATGAAGAATAAATAAATAAATTTGTATGTGCTATTTAGGGCTTTAAATATGGATTCTATGATTCTAAAAGTGCACAAGAATGTAATTTTACTTTCTTCTATTTGATTAAGATTAACGCCAGCCTTGCATTTTAGGGTCATATATATTATAATTTAATGACCATAGACCCAGACACCATGCAAATAGCTAAACTGACTCTTATATCAACCATTTTTATTGGCCAAGTGGCAAAGAAATTTAAAAATTTGGTGAGAGGCCGGAGCGATAAGTTTGCTATAAGAGCGGAAAAGTGAGAGCGCGCCCCAAGTCTGATAAAATTAGAATAAAATTATCTTTACCTTTCTTAATTTTGAATTCCTCACAATTTCTGACAAATAAAATAAAAAATGATTTCTGATTATGGTTACTTGCATAATACAAATTTCAAAATTTCTGATAAATACTGCTTTCTCAATCAATGCTGAACACCATTTCCAGAATTTGGGCCACCCCCCTGCGGAACAATGGGCCGTATACCCATTATTATAATTGTCAATATTTGTTTTCATTTTTTTTCTGGTATCCGAAATATTCAATACTAACAAAAAATTGTTTCTGTATAACTGTTGCCTGTATCTAATAAACACTCATAAAGGCGGTATTTTCTTTCCATCTTTTCAAAAATAAAACTTATAAATGTCAGTACTATATCAACTATTAATGCTGCATATAATAATTTCTTTAAATCTTAGACCAAAAGAATGTAATTATATTTATTTGTTCTATTATTATTTGAAATTCCAGCCAGCCTCGCATTTTAGTGTCTAATAATGTGTGACCAAGACACCATAAAATAGCTTTTAAAAGCAACTCGGCTTGCGAATTGGCTGCGCGGCATTCAGTCACTCCATAATAGCATAGGGAAAAGGGAAAGAATGAAAATAATGTCTAAAGAAAAAAAGAACTAACTCGGCGTTTCAAACTGCAAAACGCACTGCCTTCATTGCCTATAATTTTTTCATTTTGTGAATACGGTGAATACATAATCAATTAAAGCTGCAAATTCTACTTAAATTTGAGAAAGAAAGCAATGAACATTACATTTTTATTAACTGGAAGAAAATTTTATCAAAAATAATTATAAAAAAACAATCATCATAATTTTAAATTATCCTCTCCCTGATTTTTACAAGATACAATACAATTCAATAAGAATTATAAGAATGGAATGCATAAGGATTCAAATTCTTGCAACTTTAAATTTTTTTTTTTATTTCTGACAAAATTAAAAACAAGATTTTAGATAAGGGTTTTTGTTGCATAGTGAATTTATAAAATTTATGTTAAATATTAATGCTTTCTCAATAAATAATGCTTATAGCTGTAGGCATATTCTTAAAAATAAATTTTTTTCAAATAATGAAGGCAAGCACAAATATTTTCAATTTTTTTTGTACTGAAATATTCAATAAATTAATTGTAACAAAAAAAATATTATTTTCTAACTCGACCGCCCCTCATATAATCGCACTCATTTAGATCTCTTATTTACAAACATAAAATGAATAAAATACAATATTTTTTTTTGTCAGTATACCGCGTTATAATACTTATAATGGTTAATCATGATATAATATGACATGTAATATAATAATATTATTTCAAGTCGTCTCAACACACGGCTTTTTAAGTTTCCTTCCTTCCCTCTTGCGATACGTTAATAGTTTCTCATCTTCGTCCAGACTTGTTAGATCTCGCTCTCTTCGTCAGCACGAGCCAAACAAGCCAACCAAGAGCCAGCAGCGGGAGAGGGAGTACAGGGACACGGAGGGAGAATTGGTGTTTCGCCGAGTTTGTGTGCATAAATTTGTGCGACATGCGACACTGTGTGTCGATACTGTCGATCAGTGCAAGAAAAGAGATTGTTCAGACTACATATTGGGACAATTGGATCCTGCTTAGGTCAGTATACTCTGAACTGCAACACTGCGTGTTTTGCAAATACATAGATTGTCGATTATTGTTTTTTGATCGTTTTATATTAATTGTTGCTGTCATAATAGTCAGATCTCTCCATAATTTATTCACGTACTCGTCCTCACGTTAAAATCCTCTGGATCCCTGGGGGTGCCCTGACTCCCCCATTTCCTCAACCGTTGGATTAGAGGCTAGGCTGACTACTTGACTAGGGCAATTAGGCAAAGGTATGTATAATTCAAAGTGCAAGGAAAGTCTTAAAATGCATGCAAAGTAGTGCACACATAGCGAAAAGACGTGCAAAAGCGCATACTAAACTTAAATTTTGGGTCTTTTTGCATAAGTATTTACACAAATTTTAACTATATATCTTTTGGCGATTTGCGCGGCGTTTAATATTTTTGACTTCCTATTCTTGTGCTGAAAGGTGTATGAGCCAGAGTCGCCAGAGATTGCACACATCAACATCAATCAGCTTTTGTAACTTACAATTTTATTATGTAGTTTTTTTTTCAAATCCACAAAATACGATCAAGATCAAGGCACGATTCATAGAGTCACACCAAGTGCGATTTATACTTAGGTACATATTTTTCCAATAAATTCAACTTCTGGACACCTTGAACACTATAATTTACTTATTAAAAATCAAAAATCCAAGTTAGGAAAAATTGCATTTATCCTCGTTGTAAAACTGCCTCGAAATCAAAATTAAGGCTCATTAATATGTATTTATTTATTTAGAACATATATACAAAGTGCTGAAAGGATCCAGAATGTAAACTTGTAGTGATATTTCCCCATTGTTTTTAATGTAATAGAAAAGCCAAAAGCCATTATAAAAAAAACTAAATAGCATTTTAAAGATTTTCTCATTCATACGTCATTATTTCTAAACAGAGAAATTTTTTAGAAGATGGAGAAGAACAATCAAAGTCGGGACGAAGGATGTGAGGCTCCTCCAGAAGCAAAAATCCCTCGTCGCTCCACAAGAAGCCAACCTGGTGACCTTGGTAGTCACAGGACGGGAATTCACAGAGCTATCATGAATGTGGATTTCCCCACCATTGAGAAACTTCTGAGCGAAGGCGAAACCTTCTGCACTGAAGAAGGACTGAACTGCTTCACTCTAGCTGCATGCAATCCCACATCACCTGTGGCAACTTCTTGGGAACTTGTGTGCAAAATGCTGAACAAAGATCTCCAAGCCGGACTGTCTGCAAGGAGCGCAGGTGAACATAATTATAGTATTTTTAATTAGTACAAAACTTTTTATTTTTCCAATTCCTCAATTTGCAGATGGTTCAACCTTGCTGATGATTTTTTCAAAGTATGTTAAAAAAATTGAATTCCTGGTGAATTTGGGTGCCAATGTGAATGATGTGGACAACAACGGAAACACCGTTTTGATGAGATCTTTTATGCATACCTATCCTAAATCTCAAGTAAGATATACTGTATATATGCATAGAAATTAGTGCAAAAATGAAAAAAACTTATGTGGTTATAAAGGCATTCTTGAAGCTTCTGGAACTTGGTGCCAACCCCAATGTGCCAGTAGGAAACAAACATCCCAACATCATCTCGTTTATGTTTTCCAAGCTCGTCAAGAATTTTGAATTTTCTCCCGAGTCTCCAAACTGCTTCAAGTACATCATGCAGCCAAAGTATTTTGGAAAAATTGAAAAATCACAATTTGAAAAGACCAACCCAATATTTGATTACATTGATATGTGCTTCAATATGAAAGGCAGAATTTCTGATGAAATTAACAATGTCCTAAAAGACGAGAATTTTCCCAAGTTCAACATGCCAATATTAAGCAAGGGAAGTTGGCGTTCAAGGAGAGGCAGCTCGCGTGACAATGAATGGATAATTTTGAAGCAGGCACTGATTATTCCGAATGAATTCTTGCTGGATCCCCTGAGCTACTATCTACTCAAGATTGACCTGTGGCGCTGGGGTAGACTCGCACATAATACTGTTCAAGATATGAAAGTCCAGGTTGGAGTCTTTCGAGACCTTGGATGTGTTGCTGAAAACAATAAGAACATTTTGCCTCCAAGTTTGGCGCTCGTCTACAATGCAATTCAGTCCTGTGAGTTCCAGACTAACAATCACAACAACTACAATGGAAATTTGCGTAGTCTCTCTGCAATTTTGTGTGAATTTTGCATTGAAGGTGGGTTTGCCATAAATATTGAAACAAATATAATCCATCAATTGTATTCTAACAGATGAGACTTTGCGCCTCAGTGGCTCGTGGTTTCAAGTGGTAACATTGCTGGGACCTTTTCTGGCGTTCATGCCACATTCCTTGGATATGTCAAAATTTGCCCAGTATATTATGACTGAGATCCCAGAAAACCCCTTTGACGTTATTACTCAAATGATGATTAATATGCGTTTGATGTTTTCACGCTCTCAGAGCAAAAGCAACTTTTACATCCAAAATTTCTGTAGCAGACCACGTAAGTTCAAATGGTATTAATTTAAATATTCAACCAGAACTGAATTGTAACCTTATACTTTCAGTGCTGCTCATTTTGAAAACATTCCTTGGACCAAACTGCACCTTGCCCTGGGACAAACTCTTGCACAAAAAGTTTGATGAGAAAATTTTGACCCAAACCTTGGAATTGCTGCAAGAAAAAGGCATCACCACTAAAGAGATCAAGAAAGCAAATGGTTTGTTAAAATTTTTTAACTTGAAAAAGATTTGCTAAAAATTTTGTAGTCCGAGGCAGGATTCAAACACTTGAAACTCTGAGTCTTTGGTGTGTCAGAAGAAGATTGTCCGAGTGTCGCAATGAGGGCCAAAAACTTCATGGACTCATTTCCAAGTTAGTTGAGAGCACACCACTTCCTAAAAACCTCCAAAATAAGCTGCAGCTTTTCAATTGAAAAATGTTCTCCGACATGGGGTACTATAAGCTATGAAATTGCAGAAGATGCTGAAATTCTAAACTTAAATTTTTAAATTGCATATATATAAGATGGTAAAAATTTGTCTTTTTTTGTGAAATGATACTGCACTTTAAATTATGTATGTTGCGCCTGATTTCGATTCCACAAATGATTTAAATAAAAAAAATTCCTTGCTGGTTTTAGAATGGCTAAATATTAACTTCAACGTCAGTGTCACATTTCAAATACTTAAAATTTAAAATCTTATGACAGAAATATTTTATGCATAGATGAAGACAAAAATATTACTTATTGAGAGTTGTATCACACAGAGCGCTCAATTTTCTTTTTTTCTGCCAACTGGGCATGTAGAATTTGCTGACACGCAGGACTGGAAGCTCTTAGAAGGAACAATTCACCATGTTCATCACAGAGACGAAGAAGAGCCTGCATGTATCTTTCCATGTGAACCTAAAAAGAAGCCAAAAAATGTCTTATTACTTCATCTATGTAATATTAGCACATACTTTGACACTCTTCTGAATATTTTTTGTCTCAAAGAGATGCAAAACATCAGCCACAAAGTAGGGGGCGGCGCGAGAAAAGTCCTTTCTGTGCCTGGCCATTGCTACACCCATGCCTTCAACCAAATGTGCAACATCTACAGCCAAGTCTTCATTTTGGCCTTCGATAATGGCTGCACAAATCTTTTGCAGTTTTTGCTGAATGACAGGAATACGATCTACAGCAAGAGCAGATCTTGAAGTGAGAAAAGCATTCAAGCAAACTGCAGCAGCTTTGACGGTTTTCATGTCTGCAAGGTTGAATTGCATCATTCGAATTAGTGCCTTATCTGCTGCAAGGGCATCTATGACAGTTTTGCTCTTGAAAAGATCAGTGAGTTGCTGGGGAGAGGATCTACTGATGTTGGGAATTTTGTTCTTCAAGGAGGGCCTAATCTTCTCCAAATCTGCACCGTACGCCATGGCAATGTCAACCAACTGCTTTTTTATACTTTCCGATCCCTTTTGGTCCTGTAGAAAATTTAAATTTAGAAATACATAATTATAAAAAAAAGATGAATATGACAAATATTTGTCGTAAAAAAAATATGAATTACACTTTGTTCATTTTAAGCAAAAAGCATTTACCAGTAAGAATTTGAGAGATACCAGTGCCAAGGGTTTCATCGAGCGAGAATTGAAGCTCCTTATATCATTTTCAGAAGGCATCTTTTTATAAAACAGGGCGCACACAAACTTCTTAAGCATGCTGAAAGAAATCATTAATTACTTGCTAAATTAATTTATTTAAAGTTAAGCTTGTACCTTTCATCAGCATTCACAGTAGCCTCATTAGTGAATTTGATCAATTTTCCCAAATTGAAATTATTCTCAATTTCACTGAAGAGAGTTACCAAAACAGGTATGGCTACATCCCATCCGTCTTTCAAATTATAACACGCAGCCAATAACGCGGCCGCAGAAAGAAGTCTTGTAGCTTTGTCTGTCACTCGAAGTTGTCCAAAGGCCAGCAAAATGGCCATCAAGTTGTTCCTTGGCTTGGGATCAGGAGCATCCATTGGATCGCAGGGTGCCACCACATTAGAAAGTTTGAGATTTCCCAAGACTCCGTGGGCAGCGTCTGACTTTTTCATGGCTCTCAACAGAGCCAAGGCCACGCAATTGTCAAAATGACTGCTGAACTGTTGCTTTGGATTCAAGAGAAGACTAGCTGCCAAGGAGTCTGCAACTTGAGCCACCGTTGACTTGCTAAGGCTTTTACGAAGTAGGTTCAAAGATGAGTGAAGGTGTCCAGGCGGACAGCTAGCCAACATTAATGCAGCTGCCTCTTGCTGCCCCTGATCGAGGTCAAGATTCAACAGAGTGGTAGCCCTTATCTTTTGGTCTACCAAAAGAACCTGCAAAAAAATAAAATTAATGAATCAATTTTCGAACTATTGTACGAAAAATATGAATTTTTTCTTGTTAAATTTCAATTTTTTGTATAATATCGTTCATACAGCGGCTAAATGGACAAAATGAAATTTACAATTGAGACGTTTGGTTAGTTTGAAATTTTCAATATCAACGATTGGTCATTTCCCGATTTACAGGCACGGGTGTTCTAATCGAGAAAAACAGCGTTATTTGTGTGTCAACGGGAAAGTGATTTTTGAGAGCGTCTAAAAAATGGAAATTTTGAGATTTCAAGGGTGGTCAGTCATGAAATTAGTTGATTTAATTTATATTTATGCGCTAAAAATATAGGAAAAATCCGGATTTCCCGGAAAAGTGAGATATAAGGAGGTTTGACAAAAAATTCATATCTCAGCTTCTACTTGAGATAAATTCAAAAATTTAAAGCGAAAATGCAGCTCAAGACATGCCCTTTCTTGGGGATGGGTAGGGATAATTTTCAAGGCCATGTTTCTTAATGAGGGTGAGGTGATAAAAATTGAGGGGTTGTAAAACAAATGTTATGCAACTTGCAGAACGTTGGAAAAAATTACAAAGAAACCTCATCATATGAGACAACAACCCCTCATAGGGCGAATATTTCCTGCAACCCCTTGGTATTGTAATTAATTCTTGAATATGTGTCTCATATGGCCAAAATGGACCTATTTTGGGGATTTATTTTCAATACCAAGAGGTTGCAGGAAATATTCGCCCTATGAGGGGTTGTTGTCTCATATGATGAGGGTTCTTTGTAATTTTTTCCAACGTTCTGCAAGTTGCATAACATTTGTTTTACAACCCCTCAATTTTTATCACCTCACCCTCATTAAGAAACATGGCCTTGAAAATTATCCCTACCCATCCCCGAGAAAGGGCATGTCTTGAGCTGCATTTTCGCTTTAAATTTTTGAATTTATCTCAAGTAGAAGCTGAGATATGAATTTTTTGTCAAACCTCCTTATATCTCACTTTTCCGGGAAATCCGGATTTTTCCTATATTTTTAGCGCATAAATATAAATTAAATCAACTAATTTCATGACTGACCACCCTTGAAATCTCAAAATTTCCATTTTTTAGACCAGTGCCGGACTGGCTCTAAAAATTTTACCGGGCGTTTTTAAAATAGGCGGCCCACGCCAACTAAACGGCCCAATTTTGCGCGCCGGCTTCGCCGGCGACGGCCCTCTAGCGGGCCCCCGGCCCGCCGGCTACGCCGGCGGCCCATTTTTGGCCCCGAGCGCGCCGGCTTCGCCGGCAAATAATATGGAACTATTGCCACCGCAATTTTTAAACAAATTTAATTTTTTTTAAGCACGGAAAAAATAGTAATCATTTGAAAATTGAAATATATATAATTTAATATTTTAGTAAAACTGAAAACACAATTTGCGAGCGAAGCAAGCGGAAAAAATATTAGGTACTGAATTAAGAATTAATAAATCTTCATATTTCAAGACTCAGCGATAATTTTACATCATGCCAGGGAGTAAAAATAAGCTTTTGCAGAAAGTAGCCAGATATATGATCTGAAAGTTTCGTTTAGGACTTTTAGATAGTCGCGGCAAACAATGAATTTTTTGTTCGGGGCCAAGTTCAACCACAGGGGTGAGGGTGTAAAAATTAGCGTTCACAAAAAGTAGCCAGAAATGATCAGATTGATCTGTTCGGGATTTTTAGATGGTCGCCGAAAAACATGAAAATTTTTTGTTCGGCGCCTTCGGCGGCCAACAAGGGGTGAGGGTGTAAAAATTTGCGTTCACAAAAAGTAGCCAGAAATGATCAGAATGATCTGTTCGGGATTTTTAGATGGTCGCCGAAAAACATGAAAATTTTTTGTTCGGCGCCTTCAGCGGCCAAGTTCAACTATGGGAGAGGGTGAAAAAATTAGCGTTCACAAAAAGTAGCCAGAAATGATCAGATTGATCTGTTCGGGATTTTTAGATGGTCTCTGAAAAACATGAAAATTTTTTGTTCGGCGCCTTCAGCGGCACAGTTCAACTATGGGTGAGGGTGAAAAAATTAGCGTTCACAAAAAGTAGCCAGAAATGATCAGATTGATCTGTTCGGGATTTTTAGATGGTCGCCAAAAAACATGAAAATTTTTTGTTCGGCGCCTTCGGCGGCCAACTAGGGGTGAGGGTGTAAAAATTTGCGTTCACAAAAAGTAGCCAGAAATGATCAGAATGATCTGTTCGGGATTTTTAGATGGTCTCTGAAAAACATGAAAATTTTTTGTTCGGCGCCTTCAGCGGCACAGTTCAACTATGGGTGAGGGTGAAAAAATTAGCGTTCACAAAAAGTAGCCAGAAATGATCAGATTGATCTGTTCGGGATTTTTAGATGGTCGCCAAAAAACATGAAAATTTTTTGTTCGGCGCCTTCGGCGGCCAACTTGGGGTGAGGGTGTAAAAATTTGCGTTCACAAAAAGTAGCCAGAAATGATCAGAATGATCTGTTCGGGATTTTTAGATGGTCACTGAAAAACATGAAAATTTTTTTTGTTCGGCGCCTTCGGCGGTCAACTAGGGGTGAGGGTGAAAAAATTAGCGTTCACAAAAAGTAGCCAGAAATGATCAGATTGATCTGTTCGGGATTTTTAGATGGTCGCTGAAAAACATGAAAATTTTTTGTTCGGCGCCTTCGGCGGCCAACTTGGGGTGAGGGTGTAAAAATTTGCGATCACAAAAAGTAACCAAAAATGATCAGAATGATCTGTTCGGGATTTTTAGATGGTCGCTGAAAAACATGAAAATTTTTTGTTCGGCGCCTTCGGCGGTCAACTAGGGGTGAGGGTGTAAAAATTTGCGTTCACAAAAAGTAGCCAGAAATGATCAGAATGATCTGTTCGGGATTTTTAGATGGTCGCTGAAAAACATGAAAATTTTTTGTTCGGCGCCTTCGGCGGCCAAGTTCAACTATGGGTGAGGGTGAAAAAATTAGCGTTCACAAAAAGTAGCCAGAAATGATCAGAATGATCTGTTCGGGATTTTTAGATGGTCGCTGAAAAATGTGAAAATTTTTTGTTTGGCGCCTTCGGCGGCCAAGTTCAACTATGGGCGAGGGTGAAAAAATTAGCGTTCACAAAAAGTAGCCAGAAATGATCAGAATGATCTGTTCGGGATTTTTAGATGGTCGCTGAAAAATGTGAAAATTTTTTGTTTGGCGCCTTCGGCGGCCAACTAGGGGTGAGGGTGTAAAAATTAGCGTTCACAAAAATTAGCCACAAATGATCAGATTGATCTGTTTGGGATTTTTAGATGGTCGCTGAAAAATGTGAAAATTTTTTGTTCAGAGGCCAAGTTCAACCAGGGTTGAGGGTGTAATAATTAGCGCTCACAAAAAATTAGCAGAAATAATCTGGCGTCCCCCCTCTTTTTAAAGTTAGTTCGTACCTTGGTCCCCAGAGAGCGCTCAAAATCAAGCTAAGAACCAATCAGAGTGCGCACATAATCGTCAAAAGACCCAAGGCAAAAAATCACTTGCTTCGCTCGCGCAAAATAAATTTTTTTTTCATTTTCACGGGCTGACGGCCCCTTAATAACCCATTTGCTTTTACTGAGGGCCCTTCAGGGCCGCGGGGCCGGTCTGCCAGCCGCCCAGCCGGCCCGACACGAGCGGCGCACTTCGTAAGCGCGGAAAGCGCGCGGCCCGCTTCGCGGTCCGTGCGCTTTTGCCGCAGCCCGAAGGCCGCTTCGCGGCCTTTTGGCGGCCCACGGGGGCCGCGGCCCACCGGGCTCTCGCCCGGTGCGCCCGATTACCCAGTCCGGGCCTGTTTTAGACGCTCTCAAAAATCACTTTCCCGTTGACACACAAATAACGCTGTTTTTCTCGATTAGAACACCCGTGCCTGTAAATCGGGAAATGACCAATCGTTGATATTGAAAATTTCAAACTAACCAAACGTCTCAATTGTAAATTTCATTTTGTCCATTTAGCCGCTGTATGAACGATATATTATATTACTGACTTACAACTTTATTCTTGCATTCGTCCACAGCAATAGCATCATTTGCAAAATCGGGCCAATCTGACACAAAGGACAAGAGTAAGCTGAAATCCAGCAAGGTTGATCCCACGTCGTAACAAGACTCGGTGCCTTCTTCTGCATAGTGCTTCAGCAACAAGTTCAGTTCGCCAAAGGCAAAGCAGAGTTCTAGGTATTTTGATAAAAATGCGCCTTGATGTTTCTTCTTGGCAGCTTTTTTAGCAATTGGCTCAAATTTTTCCAATACCTGTTGCACCTGTTGCTGCAGGCCTACAAATTTATCCCGCACCAGATAAGGGGTGTTGTGCTGGGCGGCTTTTGAAGCTTCTAGCAAACTGACCAGCAAGGTTGCAGATGAGACGAAGAATGCTTCCTCTAAAAAGATTAAATTAGAAAATCACCAATTCATAAATGATTTAAAATCACCTGTATTATTTAGCAAATTAAAAATCAACGCAGATATAGCTGCTGCAAGATTTTTTGATGGCCAAGTAAGGGCAGATAAAACTAATGCCTGTGGAAACCTCATAAGTTTTGGTTCGTTATTTTTTGTTATGCCGTCCAGGAGTTTAGATATCAATTTATGAGGTCGCTGTTCCTTCTCAGCGGCAGTCAAGGCGTCCACTAACAGCTCGTCCAGTGCTTCGTCTTTGATTGAAATGGCCATCAGCTTTGGAAGAAGGGTCTCGAACAAGAGAATATCAAGATGGGCCAGTGGTTTGAAAGCTGCTGTCAGATTTTTAGAACTTGTATCTGCAAGTCGACTTTGGAAAACAGCACTCAGCTTGTCTCTGTCCTCAATGGTCTCCACAGCAGACAAAGCCTGGCCGAGAGCTTCGTTGCTCTTTGCAAGTCCAATAACTTGAAAGACAAATTCCTCAGCTTTTGAGTGTCTGCGTCCGTATTTAGCAGCAACGACTCTGGCAGCCAAGCCAACAGTGTTAGGGCTAACGTTATCCGCCAGACTGTCCAGAATTTCTTGTTCCGAGCCAACGACAGTGATCAGAAGCCGGACAGCCGCTTCGTCCAGTTCAACTTCAGCCAGGAATGGAAGAAAAGGGGCCAACGAAGGGGGGTTTGGAGAACGTTTGGCACATGAAATAGCCGCTTTGAGACTTGCCACGTCTGGCTTGTTGGAGAACACGCTGTGGCACAGAGCAGTGTACTCCTGTGGTCGAGCGGCCAAATAATTGGAGGTCTGCTGGTCTGACAAGAGCAGGCGGCCGCACTCCTGCTCCGGATCCCGGGCAGCAACTTGGACCAGTTTTTTCCTGATGCTGGGTCGAAGGATGGCCTTGCTGAAGCGTTCGCTCTGAAGACATTCGCGAAGGGCCTCCCATGACTCTTGCCGGCAAAGGGCTTCTATGACAGCCTCTTCTTTGCGAGCGACCCGCAGGTGGGGTGACTCAAAAATTTGAACGGCTAGGCGAAGACGTTTCTCCGGAGGCCCGAAATCAGACGAGGACAATCGCCGACGAAGCTCTAAAATTTTTGGAAAGCAAAGATTTAGATATTTCACAGGGATTTTCAAGAATAATTGAAATGTTTTAGACAGTCACGTGTAGCGCATACCTGCAGCAAGAGCCATTTTAACGTCAGTGATGCCAACCAACAAAAATAATGTATAGTTTTATAAAAATAATGCATAATTTTTTTATACGTAGCTAAAAAAACAATTTTTTTAATTAAAAGAATAAAATATAACGATTTTATGCTTGAAATTGTGTTATAAATTGTTATTTATTACGATACAGTTGTTTCCATACTTTGTGGTAAAAATTATTAGGTTGGCATCAACAGTTTAAACAGTTGACAGTTCTCTACCGCAGAAGAAATCAAAACACCGAGTTGAAAAGTCATCCTTATAATTTTCACATAAAATACAAGGTGGGGCAGGTGGGCTTATCATATTTGAACGGTAAAAAATATTATTTTTTAAATTTACAAAGAATTTACATCTGAAAATATCAAAATTACAGATGAGAATACGGTTATGTATTGATTAATTTTAGATTGCGGTTTTAACCGGTTCACTGTGTATGTATTCACTGTGCATGCGTCAGCTGATTTTCTTCTCCCTAACCCCTTTTTACTTTCAGAATTCAGATCCAACACGATTTTAATCAGCGTTCATTTCGCATCAATTCATCAATCAAAAACGAAATTAACGTATTCTAGTCGAAATGCGACTGCCGTGGGTGCTTCTGACGTGCCTGCTGGTCTCGGTGCCTTTCTTGGCTGCCGAGAAGGACGAGTTCGCCGAGTTCGAAGACTTTGAAGAGGAGTTTGAGAATGTAGCCTCGTCGCCGGATGCGGCCGACTCGATCGAGGATGCTGAAGTCGAGGTCGAAGACGAAGAGGAACCCGTGTTGGAAGACCTCGAAATGGAGCATCTGGCCGACGAGGAAGAGTTTGAAGGCTGGGACGCCAAAGAACCCGTTGGTGGCAACAAAGAGGTGCCTCGACTGACTATCACCAAAGTCCCAATGCACCTTCGCACCAACTGGGACTCGTACTACCTTGAGATGCTGATGCTTGCAGGGTTGGCCGTCTACTTCCTCAACTTCATGGTCGGTCGGTCGAAGAACCAGAGACTGGCCAATGCGTGGTTCTCGGCACACAAAAGTCTGCTGGAGGAAAACTTTAGCCTCGTTGGTGAGAAATTAAATTTCACGGTCTCCGTGCTATTCGTTTTTAGTCAACACTAGTATTTACTGATCTTGGACTGAATTTCATGCATTTTTCAAAGCAATTTATGTTTAGAGTTTTTTCAATGTGAATGAAAATTAAATGCTATATAAAGATAATATTACACGGTTGGTACGGAATGTGTTTGCATGATGAAACCTTTCAAAATCTAATCCTATTTACCAATTTAAATTAGTTCGTTTTTATATTTATTCCCATGTCCCTACCCTGGCCTGTATAAATTGTAGAAGAAAATATAAAATAATATTTAGATTATTTAAAAATATATAGCCTTACACAGGAAGAAAATATTTTTGAATGGTTTAAAATTTGGTATTAACTAAAACTAATTCTTCCAGGTGATGACGGAAGCAAAGACATCGATACAAATACAGGACTGATAAAAGAGTCTGAAAACGTCTTCACCCTTTGGTGCAGCGGGCGAACTTGCTGCGAAGGAATGCTGGTTGAATTGAAGCTTCTCAAGCGGCAAGATCTGGTGGCTGTCATCAGCCAAATGCTCCGACCTGTAGCTGATCAGGTCCAGGTTCGTGTCAATCTGACCGAAGTGGACTCGTTCGTCATGTGCATCGCCTCAAAGAAGACTGCGCTGCGTCTTGTGAAGGACATGGCTGACATCAACGTCTTCTGCCCAGAGAGGAAGTCTCTCGAGAAAATGGGTGTATCTCCTTCCTTTAATTTGATGAATGAAATCGGTGAGGTCTCGGCCTCTTTGATTGACCGGCGTATGGTTGATGCGCTCAACAAGTACAGCGACTTGATTGACTGCATCCACGTGTCCGATCAGTACACCGGACCAAAACTGCCTCAAGAGTAAGAGAAGGGAATTTTCATTTATGAAAATAATAATTCATTTTAAAGTAATTTTAACGTTAATTATTTGGTCTATTATTTTTTTTCAGTGAATCCAGTGCTGCTTCCAAGTTGCCCGAAGCTTCCAAGGTACTTATCTGTACTTTTAATCTGCCGACAAAGCAGAAAACGCCTCAGGAGGCGGCCGAAGCTGCCAGGCCTCTGATGCAGTTGGTATTTTATTTGCTGGAACGTGTCAAGCGCTTGAAACTTGGCAAGGAGGCAAAAATCAAGGCTATCAACAACCGTCAGAAGGCTCAGGAGGCCTTCCTGAAGACGACCCATGCAGCCAGGGCTGAGGCTGCTGCTGCCCGTCGAGAGGACAAGAGACGCCAAGAAAAGGAGCGTATTTTGGCTGTAAGTTTTTTCTTAACATGATTAATTAAATTTTGATTACAGACATGAAACATAATATTCCTAACATTTAAGTGTGAAGTACGTTTATTTGTATAGAGCTAATTGTTTTAATTTAAAACCTGTATATTGAAGCAAAAAAAAATATTTTCTTCATTTGTATTAAACTGGTGTTGCGCGTGATTTAATTGCAGGAGGATGACCCTGAGAAGCAGCGTCGTTGGGAAGAGAAGGAAAACAAGCGCCAGATGAAAAAGAAGGCTCCTAAGATGAAGCAGTTGAAGGTAAAAGCCATCTAAGGAGGAAACTCCATGGCCTCAGTATTGTTGTTGGTCGCTGCTCGCTGCCCTTGAACAATCGCGGGGAGTAAGTAGGGAAATTTTGGAATTTTTATTCACCAAAACCGTGTTTTTTGTTCTACCAAAATCTCTGCCTTACGATGAGACAAAATGTGCCACGACCATGAAAAGTTATTAAAAATCTCAAGTTGTACATAACCTTTTTATACTTTAATCTCACCTTTAATTGTTGATCGCCATTAGAAAAAAACTTATCTATCCCGAAGACTTTGTTTAGGAAATATGTAGTGATATTAGGAAAATTATATTTTTTTTTTCAAAATTAATTTAATCCTTTTTTTTATATATTGTTTTTCTTTTGTATTGCAAAAAAACGCAGATGTCACAGATTTACTGTGGAAAGTTGATTCATCCGTTTGACATGAAAGTTTTCACAAGTTTACTTGCATGAGCGCTACAATCGCTAATGTGCAAATGTTCAAGGCTGTCAAATTTTCTGCCCACTAGATCTGCAATCTGACAAACACACTCTAATTATTGAAATGCCATAATCATTTTTAACAATTTTCAACCTGTGTGCATTTCCTTCGGGATTCACCTCCCACCAGATGAATTGCGATTATATTAACCACCTCACCCTTGCTAGAAAATTTAGGCAGTACCTTCACTATTTCCTCTTTTTCAATCTTTGATTCCGTCGTTTTGACGATAAAAAGATTTTCCTATTTAATTATTTTACATATGATTTTTTTCCTTATTTATGACAAATTTTATACCTCTTGATTTAGAACAGAGATAAATTCTGAAGCAACCTGCAACTGATTGCAGCACTCGGCAATAGCAACGAGACTGTGCTCTTTATTTCCACTATCATATCCAAGCGTTAATGGAACATCAGATTTTGTTCTTTCGCCTATCACCAGTTCAAATCTAATGACAAGAAATTATCTTAAATCATTACAAAATTCATTTTCGGCTTACTGATTTATATTTTCGCTCCCAACTGTAATCCAATTTGTAATATTCTCAGACGAGACGATTTGCCAGTTTGGTCCCTCCGATGGCACGGGCGTAAAATCGTAAACCAGGCTCCACTGGTTGTTGAACACGCTCAAACCTGAATCTTTAACTTGATCTGAAAAATCAAAATTTAATAAAATTAATAATTTAATAATGCTAAATTAGAGGCCTTTCAAATTTTTATACTGGATCAGGGCGCAACCGAATTCAAATCTTGAGCAAGCCTCTATCGATGGCTGCGTCGTGCAGCATAAGAAAGACGTGACGTTTCGGCAATCGCGAGCTCTAAACTGCCCGCAAATCGCCACTAGACTCAAATTTTCTGATCCTCGAATGAACAAGCTGGAAAAATTGAAACAAAAAATTGTTCTGGTTTGAAGAAATAATAGAATTAAAAAAAAATTTACCTTCCGCTCATGGGCCCCAAAATAATTTGGCAGTCGGAACAGTCGTCGATGGTAACTGAATTGCAATGGTCGAGGACCAGAATTTTCGAACCCTTGCAATTTTGAATAATCATTTGTCGGCCGTTGACTGAATTTGGCTCTCGCACCACTTCGGCATCGACCACGTTTTCTATAGTAAAGTCTTTTGGATTGACTTTCGATTTCTTGTCCCTTAACAAATTAAAACGTGTTTATTAAATTACTGAAAATTAATTATTTGCTCTTACCATGAGTATTCCTTTTTGGTCTCCGGCACCAAACGAGACTCGTCCGGCGTTTTTGCGCAGAATATATTTTTAAGGTACTTGAAAAATGCACACCCCATGACGCTGGTTGACTAACATTCCACATTCAAAAAAGATCGCGGGGTTGCACGCGCTCGCGTGAGCAGGTGCCATAGGCTAGTGCGCACTCAAACATCAAATCAATAAAAGCAAGCAAACAATATGAAAAGAATGGAAAATATATTTGTAAATAATCGCGCTTTTAAGTTGGTAATTTAGCAATTAGCTAAAATAGCGTCTCCTAAAAAGTTGTTTTGGATATTCAAACAATTATAAACGAGTTGATGAAATTAAAATAGCCCTAAGCTACAGATTTATTTATTATTTTCATATTTTTAAATAAAAAGATTTTTACTTTCTAAAATATTCTGGACAATATAAAAATAGTTGAAAAAATAGCCGATTGTATACTGGCAGATCCCGAACTTGTCGTTTCTTCGATGTGCTGATTCTCATTCTTATGCTTCAATGCGTTGGTCATTGCTGCGTTCATCGCCCTGACCAGCGGGTAGTAAACTCGTTGCTCTTGACCAGAGCCACCGTCACCACTGCAATCACCCCTAAAATCGTCTGTGTCAATTGACCAAACCATCACGCCACCCAGGTCTTCTTCAATCGCATATGTTGCCTGTGATAATAAATTTAATTAATTACCCTATCATTTATATTTAAAAAAAAATAATGATTTTTATAGATTTATAAAATTTTACCTTTTTAGCAACGCTTTTCTTATTGTCGTAAGTTATCCACTTGTCACCATTGACGGCAGTAACGGTTTTGCTTGTTTCGTCCCATTTCTGTGACCAGGGTGAGCCTAAAGACTCAATTTCCTTGCAGATCTAATTACAAAATTTGTTATTGACTATGTTCAAAGAAATCATACGTTTGCCTATATACTTCGTTATAGCCCATGAAACCATCCTCTCTGGTATATGGACCTTTAAAGCCCCTTTCTTGAGTTGGGAGTCCAAAATCATTGGCTTGTTTATTAGAAGGGTCACTGAGCAGAAATGTCCTGCCGTACATGGGAACGCCGAGCACAAGTTTTTTTGAGGGAGCACCCAAAGATTTCAGATGCTTGATGGTAGCCGCCTGGTTTTTATTTTAGTTAGAATTTTCTATTAAAAATTGTTAGATTTTCAGTTACAATTGAAAGAGGGTCGTGCGAATCGCTGGTGAACAGGGGTGCATTTGGTCCTGTCATTCTGTCCCAAGCCCCGTGATAATCGTAGGCCATGATATGCATGTGGTCAAGGTACCTGGCCAGGGTGGGAATGTCATAAGCTGCGTCGATTATCCGTTTGCTTGCTCCAAATGCGGAGGTTAAAATTTTATTGGGCATGGCTTCTCTCAGCTCCTAATAATGGTTGATTTTTTTTAAATAATTTTATAATAAATTGTTATAATGGGCTAATTTTTATGTAAGTATTTGAATAAATTTATCTTGCCTTCACAAGAGTGACAAAATTAGCCTTATCTTCAGGCTTTCCACCACGATCTGATGGAAACTCCCAGTCGAGATCCAAACCGTCAAAGTTGTGCTCACTGAAAAGTAGCAAAAATTATTTAAACGCTCATAAAGGTGAAAAAAAATCCCACTTTAATATTTTTACTGCGCTTGAAATAAAGGAGGCTCTTTTCGCAGGGTCACTCGCCATAATTGAGTAATTCTGTGAACCTTCGTTCCACCCACCGACGGCAAGGGTGACTTTCAGGTGCGGATAATTTTTCTTCATCAAAGTCAGTCTTCGATACCATCCTGATAACGAAAATGTGTTCCTAACATGTTCTTATATTTGGAAAGGAAAGTTTCAAACCTAAACCGTAGTCCTCAGTCAAATCTCGGTACGGGTCCAGTGATCTAATTTCATTTGTGACCGCGTTGAGTCCGGCAAATGCGTAGACGAAGTGTGTGCAAATTGTGGGGTCGAGATCGGTCAGCGAGAAATTGCCATTTTCTGGCCTGTACGCGGCCCAAGAGGAGACGTAGCAAACTACAGTGCGTCCGTGGCCGCCAACTTGTCCCTCACCACTTAAGTCCTGATTTACTGAAAAATAATATTAAAAAAAATAGGTACTTATTGTTGAAATTATAAATATTTGCGTTTTGTGGGGAAAAGATCAATGCAAATGTGGTACAAGACGATACAATTGTTTGCATAATATTTCAAAATTTAGATCAAAACCGAGTGCATTTTATCGCGAGTTTCAGGCGCGTAGCTTCTACGATGGCTGCAGTTTTAAATTATTATTGTCTCTTAGATGCAGATAAAGCGGAAGAATTTTAAAACAAAAACCGCACGTGTTTAAACTATCAGGGCACTATTAAATTCTCATTCATAAAATTCAAGTTTTATTTTTTCATGCGAATTGAAGCTCAGAAAAGGTGTGGCGACTTTGGCGCCAAAGGTTATTTTCGCAAAGCGCAGCCAAACCCTTCTTGTGGCGGGCAGAGGTTGTTCCCTGCAGGTATCAAGGTCAATCGACGGACTGGATTTGTTGCCTCTGTTACCAGGAGGCAGGAGGCGAGGCGAAGATGCACCGATACTGCCTATCATGTACAATGTGTCACAAATAATTTTGATTATTTTCCGTGATTTAGATAGTTCATTATTCTTCACATATAAATTTTGGAGATTTCACTGCACTTCTTCTACTAAAATGAAATATAAAAGAAATTTTGTCCGTTAATGATATTTGAACTTTTTTATTGCAAACATTGATTAAATAAAATAAAATAAATTTTCCGAATCAGTTGAACAAGGATAGTTAAGAAGTTGCTCAAGGGGGTTAAAGGGTTTCCTTGTTGAGAGTTCCACTTTGAACAACGCTATTTGAAACAGATTCGTGGGAGTTTTTGTAGAAACAAGAAAAAGCACCGTTATTTATGTAGCACATACGAGGGCCGAGCAGAGAGAAAGGCGCTGAACAGTGCTGCGGTGTTAAGCCGGCCGGCATGGTCGCGTCGCATTAAAAAGTAATCGGGGTTCAGAAAATTAAGTTAATTGTACACTAAACATTTTCTGCTAGCACGAAAGTGGCTTCTTATACAAAATAAAAATACTTCAGCGTGCTCCCTTTAAGATTTGTTTGTTTAGGAAGAAATTAAGGTAAAATATTCTATTAATTTTTTATAAATACCTGTAACTAAGTATGTAACGAACCAAATAAATTCTTTTTGCTAGAAACACTGCTTTGATAAAATTTTATTTCACTTTTGCGTGTTAAATAACTGTTAGAATATGTCTAATCATCAAAATATTTTAGCACCTACAAACAGAGCAAGTTGAATGACCGCATCAAAGTGAAAATTTAAATTAAATTTTCAGCGGAATTAAGCACATGAAATAACAAAATACGAATTAAATTGGATATAATATTTAGCAGAATAGATTTCACTATTATTTTTATCAAATCTATAGTCTGAGAAATTTTTTTTGTTAATCAGGTTGTATTTTATGCACAATAGAGCATATTACCGCGCGAATAAGACTAATTTCCAGTTTTTCTTTGGTCTTAATTATTTGGCTTACCTGCAAAGGCACGAATTATGTGGGGCAAAACTGAGATCGCGAACAATATCCGCATTTTATAATATAACGGCCTGCTCTGGCCCGCCGCAGAGAATAAACTGAAGCCTGCGCCTCAGGAGTCTTCTTGGTGGAGACGAGAGTGGAAGGGTTAAAAAAGAGAGGGGATTTAGTCTTGGGAGCATCATAAAATCGTGTGCCAAAGATGTTTTAGTATCATAGTAGTAAAGACTATTAGGAATCATTAGTGCGAGGTGAAAGACAAAAGTTTGGGATGGCGTGTATTTAAAAATTATCAGTCCCATTTTTTTAATAAGAAATATTTATTTTTAGGTTAATCTTAATATGAACAATTCCGAACAGTTCTTTACAAACGCTGAAATACCAGTGACGCAATAAAAATAATGTTTTGAATAAATATTTCAAAATCAATTCTAAAATGCAAATCATAATATTATAAAAATTTAGACTTTATCCTCTTTTTTTATTATTATAATTGAAAAAGAATAATACCTTATATTATAATGGTGGAATTTAATCTTTTGTCTACGACAAGATATCTGCAGAAAAAAATACGTCAATAATAGTTATTTGTAGTAAAATTATGATCTCATCGCATGGCTTGTTAATGAAAAAAGAAAAATGTGCCTCGTGAAAGTCGTGAAGAAATAAACGCAAAAATTACAAAAAAAAAATTATATATAAGATCCTTAATTCTTTAAGGTTACAAATCATTAAAAATTAACCTTTAAAATGCAATCATGAAAAAATATTGCAATCAGTCACTGTTGCTGCTCCTCCGCCTTTTCCTTTTGTGTCCAGAAGAGGACGGCTTCCTTCTGTCCAACGGAGACCTTGACCTGTGTCTGTTGCGTCGATCGTCATTGCTCGAATCGTCGTCACTCTCACTGCTCCTGTGCCTCTTCTTCTTGCTTTTCTTTTTCTTCTTCTTTTCTTTAGATTTCTTCTCCTTCTTTTTCTTTTTGACCTTTTTGTCCGGCTGGTGCTCGCCGGCTGCAGCGACTTCCTGCTGTCTCAGAGCCGTCAACGGCGTCACATACTCGTCCTCACTGTCAGAAGAGGTGCTGCTCACGTCCAGGACCAACTCCTTGCTTGGGTCAACTTTCAGAAAGTTTCTGCACTGGAAAGTTAAGTGGCCAGCGTATCCGCACTTCTTGCAAGCCGCTCGGAAGGCGCCTTCTTTGTTTCCAAAACTCATTTTCTGTAAAAATAGAATCTTTAATATTAATAAATATGCATTTAAAAGAGAAAATTATATTATATACCAAATAAAATTGATGATTTTAGCGTCAGGAAACTTAAGTTCCCTATTGGGAGAATAAGAAACACCACCTTAGAACAAATAAGAAGTTTTTGTTCAGAAAGTCGTCCGTTTCAAGTAATATCAGATCAGAAATAATAACAAAACATAAGCAAGCAGGAGTGGCAGAATATGAGCGCTCAGCCGGCTCAGCGCCCTCTTGATCTTGAAGCTATTAATAAATTTTGAAATCTGGCGCTAACCACACACATGCGCCCTTGCAAATTTTTTATTGCATTCCATTTGGGGTTGTCTATAAACCGGAACATTGTGGAAAAAACATGACTTACATAGATGTTATTATTACTTTTTTTTTATTTGCGGGAATTTTATTTATAATTTTGATGTAATAAAAGAAACTGATGATCAAAATTATTGCAGTGCAACATGCCTTTATAATTATTTAATTATATCAGATAATATGTTTATTCTATTGTTAATCCAAACCAACTGAGGCAAAATGCAAAATCAAACGTCATCTACAAATTTACAAAGCTGTTTTGCAAGTTTATAATTTCTCCTTGTATGGCTTATTATCAATGCTTAATTCACTGAAGGTGGTTGTCATGATGTCTGTCTCATCATCACTAATGATAATGTCCAATCTGCAAATGAAACACAAAATTCACGCACTATTTTTTTTGCAAATTAAAAATAAATTTCCAAATATTTACCCAGCCTTGCTGACACCAGGGAAATTTATGGAATCCCTCTTGGAAGTCTTTGAATGCTTATCCTTCTTGTCTTTGTGGTGACGATGGTGATGCCTTCCAATAAACATTTTAATTTTGTTTTTGAATGACAATGAACAGGGGCCAATATTATATACCTTTTTCTGTCACTGCTGGTGCTGGCTGAGACCTGGCCCTGTTTTTTTGGATTGTAGGTGGCAGAGTTGCATTCAGACCAGTCTTCGTCTAAGCTCTCAGCAATCCTGTTTGAAATAGGTAGAACTCTGTCTCTTAAGTCAGTTGCTCCAGCTAAAAATATATAAAAAAAAAAAAAAAATATTATGAAAAAATTTAATAATTATTAATTACAACATTCATGGACAAGACCAGAATAAACATGAATTGAATAAAATATTTTCGTAAAAATTATCTATTACTATTGCCATGATTTACCAAAACATTGTTTCAATTTATTTGCCAAATTTTTAGTTTTAGACGTTTTAGATAATCAGTTACCAAAAATTCCTGCCGAGATTTTTTTCTGTTTGTTAACAACTTACGAGTGTATTTGTAGAGAAGGACAGAAACTTTGTTCGGACACATAGACATGTGCTGCTCAAGGCTTGCAGGAAGCAGGACTAGGTGTGTTGCGTTGAAAGGGCACCGCTGCACTCTTTCCTTGTGAGGAAACCTCTGGAAAACTTAAAATGTAAGGCAAAGTCCATTATGGTTGAAGTGGACAGCAAATTCTTGCCTCGAAGCAGCGCACGAGGTGGTACTGGAAGCGTCCCTCGCGGATGATGTGCTCGCTGTTGAGAGGACAAACGACGTATTCCTCCTGGTAGAACGACCCATGGGCACGAGTGTAGTTGGCCATCTTCAAACTTCCTCATCCACTTTTCGAAAATGTTGATATGTATTGCTGGAAATGGGGGAACACGCAAAAAACATAACAAAGAAACACATATAATCATAATTATTATAAGGATCGAGCAGAACGGAGAACAACCCAAATTTCCTGACCCTGAATGAAGGACACTTTTTACTCAACTTTATATCGCTAGACGCTGCCGAATTTTAGAGACTTCAGAAATAATGATTTGCTGCGAGCAAAAGCACCAGTGCTGAGCGATTTTTGTGCACCTTTAATGAAATCTCGACTCGAGCGAATTCTATTATGTTTTTGCTCAACCGCTGCAAGTCGCAAGACAGGAATGCGGAATGCTAATAATCTACCAAGTGATATCCTCAGAATGATTCGTTTCTATCGGGATTTGCACCAACGTGTTGATTCTTGCACTGTTTGCTGCACATTGCAGGCAGGCAGAGCAGAGAGACTGCGTGCTGTGCTTGCCTGCCTGTGCCTACCACACGCACCCCCTTTTTTGTGACATAGCTAAAATTTTTGTTCTCTTTCCATAAATTTACATTGTCCAGCGGAGTGGAGGCATCTTTTCTCCACTCATTATATTATTTCCAGTGGAGTGGCCGAGTGGGGGTTGGAAATTGGAACTAGAGTAAAGCAAATGGAATTTCTCTCAACTTTTTGTTAGGATAATGACAAAATATATTTAATTTTTCACTTTTCACAGCTCCCCTACTCTCAGCACGTCTGCATTCCATTCTTATGAGCTTTCACTATAATTCTAGTTGTTGTAGCTGTTTATAAAATTTTTAGGGGTTTTAAATACAATTAAAATCTAAATTTAAAAAAATTTACGACACGCGTCTACCATTTTACGGTTTAATTTGATTACAGATTGGATTGCATGTTTATAAAGGAATACTATTGCAAAATTAATAATAATAACTAAAAAAACGCTGCTTACTGATTCCTACACATTTATGAATACATAAAAATTTTATATAGCGAACTCATTAAAATTACCAACACTACAGTCTCATAATTTTGACGAGGTTTGGCAAATTATTAAATAAAATCTCAATAGATATAGATTTTCAGCTTTTTTTCCTGTATTTTCACAGTATGTTATACAATTAAAAAAAAGACGTGAATTTACTTCCTCTGCTGCTGTTGCCTCTGGTTATCCTGCATGAAACAGGGAAAATAAGATTCGATCTAAAAATAAGTTAAAAATCTGATTTACCCTGGGGAAGTTCCTGACAGGGGGAAGTCGGTTCCTCCTCTCCTCCTTGGACCTGTTGCGCACGACCTTGGAATGGATTGCGCAGGAGACACAGTAGTGCAACTTTGCATAAAGCTTCGGCAGCTGATAAGCTGTTAAAAAAATAAAAATAATAATAATAAGAATTAATCAATAATAGAAAAAAAAAATTTTAAATTTTAACTATTACATTATTTCAATTAACACACTCAATTCTCAAAGAGGACAAATAAAATTGTTATAAATATAAGAAATATGTATTGCCATCATTAATTGAGAATACATATTAAAATAATCACAACATACATCAAGAATCTCTAATTTTTTTAAAAATTATTTTAGAGAAAAAAATAATTCTAAATAATCTATTAGGATGTCACCAATAAATTTAATAACCAATTGGGTTTCATGAAAATTCAAGAGATCCATTTCGCCCTCAAGATTAAAATGTAAATAAAGTAATTCGTACATGGGTAGCAAGAAGCCTCGTTGATGTCCCTCACAGCGGCAGCCTCGACGATGTTCCTGATCACGAACTTCTTGATGGCCTTGTCCTTAGGAACGCAGCGAGCGCAGTTGGTGCAGCGGACGGGGTTAACATGACCCCGGCCGTGCTTGGAGCGGCCCCCGTTTCGTCTCTTGCTTGTCTGAAAAAATTGAAAACATAAACGTCAGCCACATGTTTTCAGACGCCCTCCATGTGGGTGCCGGTCTTTTGTGCTTTCGGCGTACCGGACGTCATCGCCGGGGCTCGAAGCCCATCATTAAACTTTTGGAAGACCTTAAGTGATCTTAAGAGACTCAGCGATACTCAAAATAATGAAAGAATTCGAAATTAACTAAAAATTTACCATTGTGTCACACGTAGAGCCTCTTGGTCTCGCGGAAACAGGAAGCGAATGAAAGATGGCGGACAATGTAGCTCAAAAAGGGCACTTTTCAGGTAATTTATTGAATAGTTCAAGGTAAAATTCAATAGTTTTGTCTTATAAATTTATTAAATATTTTAAATTTAGTTGATTAAAGTCAAAAAACGATTTTAACCTGCATAATCATTTTATTCAGCAGATTATTTATGCGTCAACCACTTTTCTTTTTCAATTCAAAGTTTGGCGGGAAAAAGGCATGAGAAATTTTTTACTGCTTGCATATACTTCTGGTTGTCTGCTGACCCTGTTTTGTGATTTATAAATAATTATTTATTCTTCTCGGTGTCAAGATCATCTTATTTTCTATCCTTCTTGAGGGAAAATGGGGAAGGAAAAAACAAAATTTTTGCTCCATCAGTTTATTTTTCTCTCGCAAAATTTTAAAGATTGCGCAAAAAACAATAGGTGTACTTTATTTATCAAAAAAAATTTGAAGGAACATTAACGATTTTTATTCAATTGAGATTAGCGGCATTAAAATTAAAACTTATAATATAATAATAGCTATACATATTCCTTATATTAATCAAATATTCGTTACTCATGTTTTTATGACACAAAACGCACTGCTGTTTTAAAAACAGATTTAACCTTTGAGGGCATTCAGACTTTTTAAAAGCGCGTTTGACAATTCCAATACAATATCTTGCTTAGTATTACAATAGACTTCTTTTAGTTTAAGAACATGTTTAACAATTTCCTGGAGAATAAAAATATAATCACAGAAAAATATTTAAAGTGGAACAAGTTAAAAAAGTTAAAGGAACGTATTTAGTTTGAAAATGCAGCATATTTATATAAATGCAGAATGCAGATCTTCGAACTTTAAATAACCTATTTGTTAACTATAATACATAATTCACAAATATGAATTGTAATGATCCAAGATCCAAGTACATAACATCAGGAAGGATCATTAATCTAAAAATGTGAGAAACAAACAATATCACAATGAATTAGCAAATCACAAATTTAATAGAGAGCTTACTTAGAATTTTAATAAAGGTTACCTTGGAAAAATTATGAAGAAATAAAAATATTTCAAAAATAAATTGATTCGTTTCAAGTTGTGGATGGGGGAAAATGCCTTTAAATTCAAAAGTGCATGCTGCAGGCATCCTTGGCGTTGGTTGCGTTGAATGGTGCAAAGTAGTCATCGTGAAGGAAACGCACAATGGACTCTAGGGGACAGAGTGAGGCCGTGACACCCACACGGTTACCCTCAGAACCCCACACACCTTCGTATGGCACCAGACCGCTCCGACAGAAAGAAAGGGATGAAGTCACATCACGACCATTCAGCAGCAGCCGGAAGAAAAAGTCAGCACCCTAGAAATGTAATCAAAATAATAATTTAAATTAAATTACTTCCAATTTAAAATCTTGTCTTTAGAATTTTGAAATAAATTAATTTATATTTCAAAATTCTAGACAATTGTCTAATTAAATTTTATCTAAAAATATATTAAATTAAAACAATAAAAATATAGCTTTACCAGTCCTTTTCTATAAAGTTCAACAACGAGGCGAGCAGCAAAGGGCGGGAGGGCAGCATCAACACCCCCAAGGCCAAGTGCAGCGGCCACATGCTCCAAGGTGCGGTCATGGCCTGCGTAGAGTACAAGTCGTGGAGTCGGTGCGGCCACAAAACGCAACAGTTGTGCTCCGACGTGACGCAGCAGGGGGTGTGCTCGTAATAGGGCCAAAGGCCGGAAGCGCGGCGCCAGTCGACGAGCCTCCCACTCCAGGTATGCGGCCAGGGGGGCTGCAGCGGCGCTTGGTGACCCGTGGCATGAGGTCACCAACAGCGCGTCTAGAACTGCCTTGGGCGTTGCTGTACCTGGAAAAAAATAGATATTATTTATGACTGGTGTACTGGTAAGCTGAATAGTTGGTTAGATTTTAATACCAGTTATCCTTTTTTACTCTATCATTAAATTTATTTCCAGCTGCTAAATCAACTTTGACCAACCTTCGAATGGTGCCGCAGCAGCGGCCAATTTTGTAACAGCAGGGTGAGAACGTAGAGCCACGGCTGCCTCCGCGTCGAGAGCCTTGCGAAGTCTTTCTGCAGCTGCACATGCACAGTCAGAGAAGCAGAAAAATACAGAGGGTGCCTCCTGGAAGGGTTGCACATGGCGAGGGAGCGGCAGGGGCGCAAGCAGGCCGTGCAGTAGGGCTATTGCACTTTGGAAAGTCCTTCGATATCGTGTGGCAAAAACAGAGACTGCAGAACCGCGGGTTGAGTCACTTAAGGCCAATCGCTCAGAGTAAGCTGTGCGAAGGGCGGATCCGAGGCGTTGGAGCTGTTCAGCGCCCTGAGGGGTCAGCTGGCCTAAGCCGGCACACTCAGTTGGTGCCAGAGGGAAAGAGTGAAATGGGCCAAGCATCTGAAATAATTGAAAGCAAAAAGTTGTTAAAACATATTTCGAGTAAAAATAATAGATATTAAGAACCTTCAAGGTTAAGCCTTGTGTAAAAAAATTAAAATACCTTTGAAACCTATGAATTAATAACTAAAGACTTATTTTTTTTATAGGATGATGTAATTAAAGAGAAAAATTATGAGACCTGAGTAAAACCAGGCGTTTTTGAAGCATTGGCCCAAAATGGTGGTGTAGGTGGTGGGTCGTTGCATTTCACAGCAGAGGAGTTGCGAAGATGGACTAGAGGCCCTCGAAGGCCATGGCGGAAAATAACAGTGGCCCCAAGTAGCACAAATTCGCCACCAACATGACCTTCGGCTCCGTCGTCAAAACGTTCATTGCAGAAGCGCCTGACCCTTTCAGCGTTGGCACCCAGCTCGTCTGCCGGCTGCTGCCGCTCTGACTGTGGCACCACTTGCACGGACGGCTCACGAGACATGAATCGATACATGGCTGCAATAAAAATTATAAATTCATATTACATATGCATTAAGTGTGTTAACCGAAGCCTCGGAAGCCTCACCAGCGAGCAGCAGGAAAATCCAGAGTACGAGCAGTAGGTAGCAAGACAGGGCACCTCCATGTTGCCGGAAAAACTTCATTTTCCCTTGCTGCAGATTTCCCTCAGAAGCCATCAAATTTACGTTTTTCATCCCTAAAATTAATAACCATTATTAAAAGAAGTTTTAATTAACATCAATAATTGTCCAGCGTTATACATAATGCATATAACTTAAACTAAAAAAATATGAAAAAATAAAATATATCTATCTGTTTTGTTACATACATAAACTCATCACGACGTTTCAATGGAAAGGTCAATTTTGCCATTTGTTTTTTGCAAGACCTTGACTTTGCCGATTTAAATTTACATTATTTAGCCCTTGGCCTACTGACCATAATGCGAACGCCTCCGTCTATCTTCTCTCTGGCCTAACGAGGGCAGAAGAACCCATCCCAAATTCACATTTTTGCACTCGGCCGCCCTGGTTTTGTGGGGATCGGGGATTCTTGATTCTTGTTTTGTTTTGCTTTGCTTTCAATTTCGGTAGTGCCTGTTTTTTTTTAAATAACCGGTTATTTGATTATGATTTCAATTTGAAATTTCAGATCATAAATGCAATAAAAATTTATATTTATGTCATATTTGATTTTTTTGTAAATTCTTAAATTTTTTTGTAATTTCTTTTTAATTGAATAAGAAAACTTTATAGTTTTAAGAAGATGATCTTAAAATAACCGGTTATCTGAAAGTGTCAAGCCAAATTTTCTCATTATTTTTTAATTTAAGAGCCTCATTAAATGTAATAAAATGCAACAAGTTATAAATTTAGTAATTATAAATTGTATTTAAAATTATAATTTCAGTATTTGCTTCACTTAAAACTCCTTAAATTTACGAAAATAAAAATATTAACCGGTTTTCACACCTTCCGATCGATTCGTGCATCGACAGCGCTACAAGCGGCCGCCCTTGGAGTTTTAGGGCAAAACAAAGTCACGTGGTGTTCCGAGGGCGACCAATGAGGGCTTAGGACTCACGTTTGCTTCACGTGAAAATCAATCGACGACGCAAAACGCAAAACGGCAAAACGGATCCGGCCGCCTCGCAAGGATGTCTCGGCAGGACACGGCCATACATCTGGTGGCCGGGGGGTGAGTTTCCTTGTCTCACAAAGGTGTGACCTTGGAGTGACCTTTTGATTTTCAGGGTGGCAGGCACGGCGGGGGCGATCGCCACGTGCCCCTTAGAGGTGGTGAAGACAAGGCTGCAATCGTCGGCCTGCCACTTTGGGCCTCCGGCTAGCTCGAACAGCGGCACCTGTGGTCCTGGGCCTCTTCTTCGACGGTCCTTCGCTACGACGGCCGTCGCACTACCGTCAACGCCAGGCCTGAGGCCTCGAATGGGCCTTGTCCAATGTCTGCGTTACATAGTCGAGCACGAGGGTCCTCGAGCCCTTTTTAAAGGTCTCGGGCCCAACCTGGTTGGGGTTGCGCCCTCCAGGGCAATCTACTTCTGCGCCTACTCGCAGTCCAAGCAGTTCCTTAACAACACCATCACGCCGGACACACCGCTTGTCCATATCGGCGCCGCGTCTTGTGCAGGTGAAGTTTCATTTTAAATTTTTTGAATATCGTACTCAATTTTATGTTCGTTCAGCAATTTTCCTAATATAAATCAAAATTTTTATAATATACTAGAGCTAGGAAAATTAAATTTCAGTACTGCCAACCTCCTAGATAGTGGGCAGAAAAGTCTGGACTCATAGAATTTATTTTTGAACATTTTAATTCAATTAAAATAAAAGGATCATAAAGAAATTAAAATAAATTGGAGTTATTTATTTTAAATTATTTATCGTATTTATTTCCACCGTCTGCAAAAATTGAAAAACTTTCATTATATTAAATAATTTCAAATTGATACTGTTTCACATCAGATTTTAGCTAAAAAATTTAAAAATTATATAGTGGAAATAATTTTGCTCACATTAAAAAGTATGAAGAGGAAATTTTTTTATTTTTTGTTAAGTTTTCAATTTAATTTGCTGTTTGATCACAAATATTTAGCCTTGCAATGACACTGAGGATTTTTTAATTTCGTCCGTCATCGTGCATGTCCTGTGTGTGTGTCTGGATGTCACAATAACGGGTCGATTGAAAGTTATGTTAATTGCGCCGCGCCGAAAATAACTAAGTGTGATCTCGCAGCTGTTTAGACCGAATGGAGAGAGACGGTTTCTTTTCGCGACGCTCAGCAAATCAATCAAGTCAACTTTTGCCTAACGTGGCTGTTTTTTTCTTTCACTCACAGGCTTCGTCGCGTGCACGGCGACAAATCCAATCTGGTTCGTAAAGACGCGGCTTCAGCTGGACCAGCGGAGAAACGGCACCCGAACCACCGCAGCTCAGTGCATACGACAGATCTACAGACAAGCCGTAAGAATCTGACGATTTATTCCTTTAACTTAGAGAGATAAAAATAGTTTAAACATTTTCATATTTATTTTAAATCAATGTTGAACTGACTAGTTTTATTTTTACAAAGGCAAATATTTATTATCTATTATTGATGGTGAAGTAACACTTAAAAATTTTTTATAAAATATGGTGCAATTGCTTGTAGTATTGTATTCAAAACAGCAGGGGGATGACAAACTCGTTAAATATTATTTATATTTTGTATTTGCGGCCTTCCTTAATTTATCTTTTACTTCTGACTTTCCATTATTGCGTGTTTTGTTTGTCCTCCAAGCACCGATTACGTGCACTCGCCTCTCTGACCGAATAATCTGGCGTCTGGCTGTGATAAAAATGCACTCGACCCAGGCCTATTTTTAATAGACGCTCCACACTCGCCCTCCTCCCTACTCTTTGCAGTCACGTTTGAAATAAAAATAATGGTTATGTACCTGCGCCAATCGTCACTATCTGCTGCACCTTGGGTACAAAAGCCACTGATGCGTCAAAAAATCTGTGTAACTTAAATCAATGCTAATTGACGAGCTGATTTAAGATAAGATAAAAATTACAGCGTCCATTGTCAACCTCAATTGATTTCATTGAATTTTCACTTGGTTCTATCTGATCTAATTTCTATTCTGATTTACTTTGTTGGTGTAATTTTGTGGACATGAATTACTTAAATTGTTGAAAATGATTTTCCATTTCCAGGGTCTTCGCGGCTTTTACAAAGGGATCACAGCGTCGTACTTTGGCATTTCGGAGACTGTGGTGCACTTTGTGATCTACGAAGCGATCAAGGCAAAGTTGATCGCCCGTCGGACGGGCGGCAAAAATGGCGAGAAGGGTGCTAATGGGGACAAGAGTTCGCGCGACTTCCTCGAATTCATGATGGCGGGGGCAACGTCCAAGACGGTAGCCTCGTGCATCGCCTACCCGCACGAGGTGGCGCGAACAAGGCTGAGGGAGGAGGGCAGCAAGTACCGCAGCTTCTGGCAGACCCTGGCAGTGGTGGGCCACGAGGAGGGCATTCGTGGCCTCTACCGGGGCCTGGGCACCCAACTTGTGCGGCAGATTCCGAACACGGCCATCATGATGTCAACCTACGAGGCCGTCGTCTACCTGCTGACCAAGCACATGACCTCCGACTTTTACGAGGACTGAAGAAGAATGCCGCTGTGATCCAACGTTCGATAATTTGTTAGTCAAAAGACTGCCGCTCCTGTGCGCACCCTCGGACTGATTCCCGACCGATCGGTTTCCAAAGTCTTAGCCTCGTAAGTGCTCACAATTCGACTGAAACGACTTAATTAATCACACAGACAAACACATTCAGCTGCCCATTTTCGTAGTCGTCATTCTTGTGTTCGAATCAGGACTGAAAAAAAAACGGCAAAAATCGTTTGAGTGCATTTTTTACAATGTTATTTAGACTGAAGCACCGCTTTGATTGCGTTTTAATTAGCCTTGTGTTTATTGTTTTGAGGATAAAATTTCTGATCAGTTTCTTCAGGTGCTTCAATACACTGGTTAGAAAGAAACCACTTTGCTCTTATCGAGTCTTACCAGCAGCAATGCTTATCGATTCCTAATCTAGTTGGTGGAAATTGTACAGACCTTAAAGCACCGCACGGAGCTCTGGTTGTTTTTAATAAATTTAAAAGTTAGAAAGGGGAAATCAGATTTCCCGAAGTTGGTCGTCAATCACGCCCGAAAACGGATTGCTGTAATATATATACTGACTTAGGTTACAATATTTCACTATTGTAAAGTTTGAAATGTTGAATAATTAAATTACAAATAATGATATAAATATATATTCTACTGATGATGATAGCAAGAGGAATGTGTATAATGGAAGCTTTTTAGTTGTGAGAGAACGAATAAAACAGAAATGTACGGTTAAAATATGTCACACTTTTTAATTTCTCACAATTTTGAAGGAAAGTTATAAGTTTGATATTTACAAAAGGCTCTCACGCCTCCCGCGTGGGGATGATGGGGTTGGTAACAATTACTTTTCAGGCGAGGAAACACACTGCTTAAGCTCTTCATTTTCATAGACGAAACACAAAATGCTGGATACATCAATTGGAATCGAAATACGGAATAATTTCACACACGATTTGTGCTCATAATGAATGGAAAGTTTGATAAGAAAATGCAGCTCTGGAATGGCTGTGTGATGGACTGGTGGCAAAAGTTGTTCCTCCTCGCTAATCTCAATGACTATTGGAAGACGGCAGCCGTTTGCTTGAACGCCTGTCTCCTCTGGGCCCGATTTTCTTCTTCACGCCGACGCTCCTCCTGCTCTTCTCGCAGCTCTTGTTCAAATTTGCCAGCCTTGCGTTGCTCTTCAATCTGGAAGATCAGGGAAATTTAATTTTAAAATTTAAATCAAAAAAATTGGCACTCACAAAGATCATGGAATTGGAGAAAACTTCAATTCCACAATAAATTATATATTATTAAAATTATAATTGTTAAATAAATGTGAAATACTTCTCAAGGCTATAACATACTTTGGCTTCGAAGAAGGTTTTCGCGCCGGTGACGCCGACCTCTTCGACTGAGATCTCGGTGAGTCTGGCAAGCTGGCTGAGGCCGCTGTTGTCCTCCAATTCTCCTGCTCCCGCCTTGCGGAAGATGAGCAGGAACTCTCTAAAGCTGATCTTGTTGTCCTTGTCCTCGTCCACTTCAGCGATCATCCCTTTCAGACCGAGATGAGTTTGGGGCGCGCCCAGTCGCTCCATCATAATTTTCAGCTCGGCCAGGTCGAGGAAACCGTCATGACCGACATCATACCTGTTAAAGAAATAGCCTTCAATGAGTCTGTCTTTTTCACAAGGATATGGTTAAAAGTAATTAGAGGGAAAACAAGGAGAGGCTAAAAATGAAGATAAAGACTTTTCAAGGAAAAATTATATATATATATATATATATATATATATATATATATATATATATATATATATATATATATATATATATATATATATATATATATATATATATATATATATATATATATATATATATATATATATATATATATATATATATATATATATATATATATATATATATATATATATATATATATATATATATATATATATATATATATATATATATATATATATATATATATATATATATATATATATATATATATATATATATATATATATATATATATATATATATATATATATATGTTGCGGGTTTCCATTTTTCCCTTCAAATACTTCAATTGGAAAATAATCTAATTGCGAGTAGTCGGTTGGTTTATATTTAAGCCCATTTTATTTAATTGATGAAATCGGATTAAATATATTACGATGAGCCGCTCAATCCTTTGTACATAATATATGGATTATTAAGCTCGAGTGGCGCAAGCGAGTGCTATTTATGCAAAAAAAAAAAAAAAAAAAAAAAAAAAAAAAAAAAAAAAAACGAGACGACAACTGCGCAGTTTTCAACGGCAAAATCAATTTCATGGGGGAGAGGAAGCGGCTGTAATTATTTAACCAAGAGACCGCAGCGACGAGCCACTTTTTAATATATTCTTTTATTCTTTTTCTGCCTCCAGTCGCTGAATAACTGAAGAGGAATCCGATCAGCGTGCGTGAATCACGACCAACAACGCCTCCAGTGAGATCTATTAGTTCCCAATTATTTATTTACACGATCTTTGCCTCGGCGTGAAAAATTAAAATAAAATGTCGCCTCAGCTGCTTTCTGAATATGGAAAAAGGAAATAAAAAGTCACTCTTTAGTGAGTCAACCGACGTCAAGGCATCTAATCAGTAGCAACCACTAAAGGCTTCCTGTTTTTAAAAACACAATTGTGCCAAGCCCGTGATGATAAATGAAAAGAAAACGAGTTTTCGAAACGATTTTCTTTCGGCGAATTCTTTTGCACGGAGCGAATGAACGGGTTTCGCGATTGAAAGTGTCTCTTCTCCTTCTCAGGGTCGAAAATGCAAATATAGGTCTCTCTCGGCGTGAAATGTGTTTATCTTATCGAGACATGGTGGTCAGAATAATATATAAACCAGGCCGCGCACTGCTCGATTTCGGCGCGCGGCGTTTCACCTTGTCGTGACCGCAGCTGCAGAGAAACCGAAACTGGCCGAGAAATTCCTATGGAGAGAAAAAAAGCAAAGATTGGCGAGAATCGAGTTTCTGACAAGAAATTCAAGTTCAGAGATTACAAAAAATGAGAATCGAAACCAAACATGATTTACTTGTCACTAGTAAAAAAAAACCTTTATTGGGGTTTAAAAGTTGAAAATAAAATTAAATTTTTGTAATAATTAAAATGTTAAGATAAAAAAAAATACTACAAGAATTATGTGTGTAATATTTATAAAGAAATAAATTTGTTTACCCGCTTTGCCTGCCGCGGTTTACATGGTTTATCTTGTAATTTCATTTTTATCATTTAGAATGGGGGAACGATTGCATTTTTATTTGTTGTTAATTTTGCGAGGAAAATCATGTAAGTACTGTGTTGTAATGAAACTCATGGGTTTTTTTAAAGCTTCAAAATTGAGATTTTTTTTAAAGATTTTTTTGTATGAGGTTTTACTGAAATTGCACAATAAAAACTAGGCTTGAAGTTATCCACACGAAATAAACAAACTAGCTATAATTAAAAAACACACGCACACTAAAAATTATTGGAGAATTAAAATGATTGTTTTGCCGTAGTGTAAGGTTTCTTGCACGTCTTTGACGTTCAAATAAAAGAATAATGTTTATATTTGAAATACATTTTTGTATTTTTTATTCTTTATATTTTATTTAAACCCCCAGGGTCAGGTTAGATACGGACTAAATTTTGTTTTTGTAAGATATCAAATTAAATTTTAATGTTTCTATTTTATTCATGCAAGGATTCTTTTTAATTTTGTATTTATTGCACAATTCAAATTGGCTTGCTCTGAAAACAAAACTCGTGGCCTTGATGTAAAAGCAAACTTGATTCGAGTTGGTCTTGTCGGGGGTATTATTTCAATTTTCAATGGTGTCTGGATCAACTTGTTTTCTGTTGCGTTTCGCGCGTCATACGAGCATGCTGCTGGTTTTATTATCACGGCGTCAATATAATTTATAAAGGTATGGCTGCTGGCGGCGCATAGCAGACCCGCATCGACTCGGAAAATTGGCGTGCGGTGCAGAAATAATTTGGGATCGATGGCGGTCGCGCGAAGCGACAGGAAAAAGCAGGAGGAATTCAGCAGAGAACACTTTCGATTCTTTGCCGAAAAAGGAAGAAGAAGTTCGTTGCCGCCGAGGGAGAAAGTGCGCTCGGAACAATAAAAATCATCCCAATCACGGTGAAATTTGTTGTTGCTCGATGGGAAGTTGACGGGTATAATAATAACGAGCAGAGTGTCACGCGGGTCGCGCCCTCGACTGACTCATTCTTGATCGTTGCCCTCGACTAATATAAAACGGCTGCCGCTCAATTGACGCTGAGCTCGCACGCGGCAAACGTATGAAATTGTACTAACAATGAGCTGCTGGCTTCGGTCCTTGAGCAGAAATAAAAAGGAGAAAATATAATAAAAAGCTAACGAGCTGCTTTGTTTATGCGAATCAGTTTTGGCAGAGTTAACCGGCAGGGAATTCTTTTTAGAATCGGGCTTGGCAGGTTCCTGAAATGCGACACCTTTGGGAAACAAAAATAAAGGTCTGCTTTGGGTTCAACGACCCTGAAAACATATCAGAGGATATCTCACTCAACTATTTTTCTTAAATTTAATGGTATCACCTTTATCATGATAAATTAATTTTATCCTGAAAAATCCAATTTCATCTAAATATGTTGAGCCGTTTTAAAATTAAAAATTACCAATGGATATTGGGATGAAATATGATAACTAAGATCAAAATGAAATTTCCAATTGATTGGCTATCTCAGAAAAGATTAAAAAAAATTTCAATGTGAAAAAGGAGAATATTTTGACTTTGATCATCTCTTAAGTAAAAATTATTTTTTACAACATAATCAGAACATAATGTATTGAAAGATATTGGCAGAGAATTTAGTTAGCTACAATTTTCTGTAAGGGTTTCTTTTATTTTTAAATTTTTCTCTATTTAAAAAAAGTAAATAACAAAACTCTCGTGGAAACGTAAATATCTTTTCTCCAGATAATTATTTGTTGAAGAGACAAATAAAAATTAAAATAAATAATTTAATTGGCTACCAATGCAGAAAATTTGGAAGAATTATCTCAACGCTAACTAATAAAATATTAAATTCGCGCAAACGTCTAATTAATCGAGCGCTCCGCTCTCCTCCGCGATTGCAGCGAAAGAGAGCTGAGCTCGTATTTATGCTCATATCGCGACAACGGCTGCTCACATCAAAAAATAAATTACACGGCGATTTTCCTCATGTTTGCTCATGCCCTTATTGTTCTAGAAATAAAAACTTTTCGATCGCAAAAATTCTAAAGGTTTCAATCAGAGCGATATAATTGATAATTAATTCCGTCAGGACAACTTTGTCGGGTTGCTAAACTCGTTCCCGCTTTTCTCCCAGAAGACAACTGGACACGCCCAATTATGATAAGAAAATAAATGGTTTTCTTTGTTAACAAAGTGCATCGTGTCTTGCCGGGGTCAAGAATGTCAAGATTGAGCCCTAATTCAGCCCGAAATAGGCAAAAATCGGCCGAATTGCAGAGTGAGAAGAAGCACTCCAGTCAGAGAAGCAGCGAAGTCGGCAGAAAAGTAAGTTCCCTTCTTGTTCCCGCTTTGCAAATTTACCAACGAGGCTCATATTTAAGTCTGGTTTACTTGTTTAACTGGGCCAAAATCGCCGTAAACAGGTCAATTTGAGAATTTATTTTAGTGCGCAGTGCACCCTGAAAGCATCTGGGAGACAAATTGATTATTAAATGACTTGTTTTTAATTAAATGACAAACAAATGAAAAGTAATTAATAATATTAAGATTTTAGTTTCAGCCATGAAAAATTCAGAAATAAAAAATTCTACCCTGAAAATGCGAAAATAACAAAAAATAACCATTAGTCAATCTTAGCTCACTGCGGAAAATCAGTTTTTTTTTTATAATATTGGAAGTTTTATCAAAATCTTTGCTATATAATTATATAGTGTTGGTGCGTTTTTGTCTTAAACTTTAACGTTTTCCACCAAAATCTGATCCATATATATAAAAAAAATTGTAACGATTGTAAAAACAAAAATATATTAACAAAAGGTGATAACATCAAATGTATTTTTGAAGGTTCTTATTTCTTTTTATTAAATGGAAGATTTTATTGTGAAAATCTTAAGTAACCCCTGAGAGTTATCCTGAAAAACTATTCTACTTAATAAGAATTTATCAAGTTACCAAAGATTATTGGATATTACATAAAATTTTCGCCAGCAACTTTGCTTCAATTCGAGGTTAAAATTAGCTTTAGATATCCTACAGAATTTTCAGCCGCCTCTGATGAGGCCCGCGTTGCAGGAGGGCCCCTAGGTTTAATAATGAGACATAGGAAGAGCCATGCGGGAAGCTGCTTTTCATTTTGATTAATTAGTAAAATAAGGCATTTTTTTTTCATTATTTAAATTGCAAGAACGGTTAATTTTTCACGCTCAATCAAATATCTTCCGCTTTTGGTTTTGGCTGCACGGACCGATGGTTTTGCTCTCCAGAGAGGCTCGGACGGTTTTCGTCTCTGTTTTTATATCGCGGCGCACATGTGGGGGCCACAAGTGACGCACAAGTTCAAAGAAAGCAATAACCCGGACGCTTCTTTCCGAGGCAAATCTGGAAACGGCAGATAAACAAACGCAAGAAGTGAATTTTAAAACAGGACGAGGCTGAGTCGGAGGAATTCAGGTCGCCAATTGATCCGCGACTTCACGTGCGTGCGGCCACGAGTAAAAGCGACGCATACTAATAATTACAAAAAAACGTTGACGGCACCCGTGAGTCACGGCGGAGAAACCGGTTCAGGCCGATAATCCACTTGGTTGGGTGCGATTGCCGCTCGGAAAGGGCAAATTGCCGCAACTGAAGAACAATAATTATCTCAGGTGAAATCGCAGAAAAAAATGCGTTTACTGCAATTGCGCCGCAACGATGATAGAAAAATCGGAATCAATGACCGTAGAAATGATGCCCTTTGGCCAAAGTTCAAAATTCAACCGTTTGTCAGGTTCATCTGACCGTGATATTTACAATTTAAAGAGAATTAAATTAATATTATACAATAAGCATTCTTGAATCTGATAATTTAATGAAAAGAAAGGGCTTAAAAGTGGCAGCAAAAATCTCAATTAATCAATATTGTAAAAATTTCAGTTTTTGTTTTGCTACAAACTCCTACCCTACTATTGAATTAGTTGCAGACACACCCATTGAACACCTACTTGTGCTCAATATAAATATTCTATCTATTATCCTTAAAAAAAAAACAGATATACAGTTCAATTGATTCATTTGTTCAATTTTCAAATTTTTTTATGATAACGAGTAGAACCGATCAAAAAATTATATAGAGTTGACGTGAGTTTACGGATGATGTATTGGGGCAGAGATATTCCTGTGATACATTAATAAAAATTATTATTTAAAACTAGAATAACATAAATAAAATTTAATTAATATCTTATATAAGTTAATTAAACTGTAACCATTTTTTTTTTCAAAATATTGTTACAGTAAACAAGTTTAAATAATACCAATGAAAAAGTTATTTACAATTCAAAGATAAATAATAATTTTCAAATTAAAAATCTGGATTGTTCTAAAATAAAAAGCTGACTAAAAAAGAGTAATACAATTTGTTCCTGCCAGATGCTGAATGTCACACCCGTTCTGCGGAAATGAAAGTCCGAGTGGCTCTCAAATTATTAACAAGTCAATCGCAGCAACTTTCTATGTATGAAACTCGCAACGATTCGATTGTTCAAACCTAATGAAGCAATTAAATTGAAGTTCCCTGGATGTACCCGCTGGTTTTCCCATTCGGGAAAACTTGGTCAAGGTCGCTGATAAATCAATAAACTTTGTGTGCGAAAAGTGACAGGAAGGCGCGATTCTGCAGTGATAATTGAACAGGACGGGGTTTAAATTTGGTCGGAGTGACTTGGGACGTGGTGTCCGAGCCTTCGGACACTGTGGTGGATACGTACTTATTGAACTCTGACTCGTAGAGTTTGATCTGCTTGCGGGTAAATTCGTGGAATTCAGCAAAGACAGAGTGTCCGGACGGTCGGAAGTGAGGCTTCACTTCCTGTCCGCCGTCCAGGGCGTCGTTGATCGCCTGTCTGCGGGACAGCACCGAGGACAACTCGTTTTTCTCTTCAGACATCGCCGTCGAGTCAGTCCGCTTGACTGTGCGTACGATTCCTCACCAAACACCAATGTACTTTCAACGGTGAGCACCAGACACCAACGAAAACTACGGTTAAATCGGTTTTGATTTTCAAGAACCGGTAGTTATGTCAAAACTTTCGGTTTTCTTTAAAAATCGGGAAAACTAGTCAGAAATTCAAAATTTTTGGAAGCTCAAAGAGTTTTAAAATTTATTTTATAGTTTCTGCTTGATTTCAGAGGCCTTTATTTAAGTTTTGAAATTTTGTGACCGGAAAATAAAACCGGTTAATGAATTCTGGATGTTTTTGTGTAAAGTTTAAAGTAAATTCGTCAGGAGGCGCTAGTGAATGAGCAGCAAATATGTGGGTTATGCAACCGGTTGTACATAAAGGTGAAGCGTGATGCATAACTTCTCGAAGCATTAATTTCTACAAAATTATTCAATATCATGAACATCCAAAAATAAAAAATAAATTATATATTCCATTTAATAAGAAAAAGTGATTTAAAATATGCATAATTATTAAAATTTATTGAGGACATCTCATTGAATCAAACTTTTATTCTATTTTAATAATTGAAAATTTAATTCTTTTTTTTTGCTACAGTTTTAAATTATATCAACACAATTGCAAATTTAAATTGAATTTCATTAGAGACATTGAAGGTGCTCGCTCTAGTTTTAGGCTCTAAATACGTGAGGACTGACGCGCGCGTAACGAAAATACTTCTGCGAGCTATTGCCATGTTTATTCGTTTATTTCTGCGGCAAGGGGGCCGCGGCTCTGGCTTGTGGTACTCAAAAAGGTTACAGCCGCTGAGCGGTGGTACGCGACCAGGAAAACATGCGTTCAGAGCGGGTGTACCACAAGACGAGCTCAAGCAGAAAGCACTTGAGTGTGCGACCATGGGTACGAGTTACGAGAGAGGCTCTGGGCGGACGTTCCCTCTGCCGGCCGAGAAATGAAAATAAAATTTTGCAGATTGAAGAGAATTAAGAACGTTCTAGTCTTTTAATGATTTATTACGCCGCATCTAATCTTTTTTATCATTTAGAAGAGTTTCAATTCTATTACAAAAATATTATTTGTAACATGAAAAATTTGTCAAAAGTTTGCGAAACGTTTTGCGGACAATATTTATAAAGAGAATATTTTAATTGAAGTATTGAGGTACACATAATTCGACTAGTAGAGTAAATAAATAATAAATTAATTTATTTCCAGTAAAATTGTTGCTATGCAAAATTCCGATGTTATTTAATCTTCTCTATTGCAGGACGCCTCGCAAAATCAAATAATTAAATTGAATAAATGACAGTATTAAATCACAATTTATTTTAAGTAAGTAAGTAATAACAACCTCCAACCTATGCAATAAATAATTATCATCATGCAAAATTGGAGGCCGGGATATTTCTCGTAATGAGGGCATAAGGCAAAGCCTTTTTCCCATTTAAAAGTTAAAAGTGATATTAAAATAACGTAATGATTAATAAAATTAAAATTTTAAAAATAAATAAATATATGCGGCAAATGCCACCGATTGCTAATTTTTTTAATTTAGTAAATATTATAAAATTATATCTCTGGTGTTAATTTTTATTTTTAAAATTTTTATACCCTCAGCATTTATTTGCAAAAAGTGTCAACAGCTAAAAAATCTGCAAAAATTATTTATGAACTGCACCTTTTTTAAATAATAATTCCAATAATTCATTCATATGATAATAATTTAATTTTGTTAACAAGAATTCAAATTATTGATTGATAATTGATGAATGATTGAAGGGAAATTTATAATCCTTGTAATAGAATTCCCACTGTTTATTAGAAATACATATGATAAAATCGTTCGCTGGCTTGACTGGCTTGCTATAAGAAGGCGCCAAATTAAAAGAGATGGCGAAATTATTATTAATTTTCATTCATATTATAGCTGTAATTAATTTACTTCTTTATGCCTTGAAAACTTTATTTATCATAAGTACAAATTAATTTTTCCCAATTTATTATTAATTTAAAATTGAATTTTATTCAAAGTTCAAATTGAATTTAAAGGTATGTGCAAAGTTTTGCACAGAAAAAAATAGAAAAAGCAAAATAATTTTCATTTTGAAACAAAACCACCGGTTTCCCGGCAATTTTTATTTGTTCCACACATCATGTATATAAAAGGCACAATTTGCGCTGTACACAAAATGCTCGTAGGTACAATTGAAATCTTTGTATGTTTGGGTAAATGTCATTTACAAATAATATAAATGCTTTTGTTTACAAACGAATATCACAGGGACTGGAGAGAAAGACGCTGGCGGTCGCGAGATCAGTTGGAAGCGTTGTTTTGCGGATGGTAAAATTCTTACCACGGCCGCCAGACGTCTGAGACGGGCGAAGAGGCCGCGGCAGCGGCGGCCAACTTGAGGAGGCCGTCGTTGGGGGAGAGGGAGGCGGCCGATGAGGCTGGCGTCAGCGGCAGCGCAAAGTTGATGGGCGAGGCTGGCGGCGAGCACTGGACCTCGAGGGGCGTCGTCTTGCTGTCCATCTCGTTCAACTGGGTTCCGAGGTGGGTCATCAGCTTAGTGCCGAGGCCGACGTCGACGCCGGGCACGGAAGCCAGGCAGCGGGACACCTCGGCGGCGCAGTGCGTGTAGCCGGCGCGGAATCGGTCGGCGTCAGCGCCGGGAAGGGTGGACAGGCGCTGCTGTCGGCGCAGGCGGTGCAGGTGGCGAACGGTCAGCTCGAGGATGTCCGCCTTCTCCAGCTTGGAGACGTTTTCGCCTTCGGTCTGCAGGGCGGACACCATGAGCTCCTTCAACTCGTCCAGGCAGCGGTTGATGCGGGCGCGGCGTTTGCGTTCAAGCATTGGTTTCATCACCTGAAGACAAAAAATGCAAATTTAGTCAAATTGTCATTCAAAAATTAATTGGCAAATAATTATTTATAAAAACAAATTTGAAATTAAAAATTGTCATTAAAAAAAAAAATTTATATCAATTAAAAAAAAAGTTGACTTGTGAACTGAACTGACCTTTCTATATTGGTAGGTGCGAGAGATGGGCTGCTGCTCAATTTCGTGGTGCAACATGTTCCCGAGGATAGGTAATCCGTTCGTGGCGAGAGTGTCTGAACGACTGGTTGCAGTGGCGGGGGCCGCTGAGCCTTTTATAGGCAGTGGGGCGAGGGGAGGCAGCCGCGTGTGTCGGTCTCGCGATCGTGGGAAAGTGCGTCTCGGCCGCGTTCCCACACACTCGAGCAGCGCAAGGGCCACCTGTGCCTGCTGCCTCCGAAATAGCGATGCTCCCCAGCTGCCTTCCTTCGCACTCCTGTCCTGCCCGCTCGATCGCTCGCCTGACGTCACCCCGCCCGTAAACAATAACAATCGCACGCGGCTCTTCATATAGTATTATCAAGTAATGTATACCCCGTGCGCCGCGATTCACACAATCTATATAACTAGGCGCCGCCACCGCGCCGCCACCGCGCCGAGCACTCGCCAGGCACACGCTAATTACCGACGCAATCAAACGACACCGTGCCGCAGATTAATATTTTTTTATTGGAACTTATAAAATTCAATTACGATTTTTAATGAGATGCAAACCTACAGGGAAATGAGTCAAAATTATAAATGCTATACAGAAATTTTGAATTTGGCCAATAAGGAGATTTTAATGACAGATTCTGGTAATTTCAAGCAAATTTCATTTTAATATTTTTTAAAATCCCATTTAAAATAAGATTTTATTCAATTTTTTTTTTTAAAAACCAATCTAGAATTAAACTGTAGTTTTTCTGTATTGGCTAGTGACTTTTCGTTGTAAAATCTGTATTTATCATTAAAAAATAATGTATGATTTATGAAAAAAGTTTTTTTTAAACATTATAAATACGATAAACAAAATAATAATAATTAACTTTGATTAATTAATATTTGAATTATTATGGCCCACAAACAAAAAGCATTGATACAAAGATTTAAAACATGTACCAAACAAAACAAGTATAATAAAAAAACAAAAATAAATCTTATAGTTTGATCTTGCAATTAAACTGAAGCCGCTAATTATTTTCAAAGCTTTATTTTGATTTTAAATGAAGATCAAGTGGGCCAAAGACAAACTTTGGCTATACTTTTTAAAAAAAATCGTGCAATGGTGGTTTAAAGTGGTTCAAATTTTAATTTAAAAATTTGAGGATACACGTTTTGTTAAAAAAACATTGAAAAAATTAATTAGAATATTTTTTGTTCAAATCCACTGCTTTTTAAAAATGAAGGAGGTTATAATCATTGTTCTTTTAGCTTCGAGCTAATAAGTGAGTTAAATTTTAAAAGAATGTCTAAACAAATATTTCAAAATTTAATCATTTGAATAAGGATAAAAAATTAAATTATCTCAACTTATTTAAACCAACACTTTCTCGCAAAAAAATGATTCACAAACTACTCTAAAAGAAATTAAATTGGTAAGACGAATAATATTGTCTTTTTACTTGAAACATTGTAAACCTCTTTATCAAAATCGCTTTCTTTGCCTCACAAAAGTTATAGATTTTTTAGCCCTTTCCTCCCCATAAAATTTCTGTCGCAAACAATCGCAGAAAGCTTTATGTGCAAAGGTATGTGCGCTCGGCGTGCGCGACGCTATTTGTGGTGCACGGCGCGAGCACGCGATAAATGAAAGAAGAACGGGGTGTGTCACGTGTGTGTGTGTGTGTGTGTGTGTGAGAGAGCAAGGAGCGATCGGTCGGGGCTCATTAGAGATTCGGTCGCGAGCGTGGGAACGCAGGCGGCTCGGCTGGTTTTGCTCGCGCACGTGCTAAGCAAAGGCAGCTGACGCTCTAATAACACCGCGCGCACCATAATAACACGCTCCTTCTTCAGCAGCAGCCTCCGAGGAGGGACCGACCGACCGACCGTCGGCTTGGAGGGGAACCAAATAAAGAAAGAAAATCAAGTTCAGCTGCCCCTTCTTTGCTTATCTTGCTCGGCTCCTTCGCGCGTCGCCCGCGGCCTTTATAACAAATACACATGCGCTCACTCTGTTTATTTCTCACTCGCACTGCTTTTTCCATTATTCCTTTCAATACAGGCCAGGTATAAAATATTTAAAAAAGGGATTCAGTTTATCGCTGCCCCTGATTCTTTATAGATTTTCCATTACTTTTTATTTTTAAATAAAAGAAACAAATAAAAAGAGTCTTAGGAAGAAGAGGTATAATAAAATCGGCGGAGGAAAAAAACAATAATCCAAAATGTTAACAAAAGTATGCAACACGCAGGACCTGCGAGTCATGCGGTTTGCGGAGGAGCGGCCAGTGGCTTATATTTTTTTTTGTTTTTAAATATTATATTATGTTTAAAAAATTTACATGGCTTTATAGCAATTCAATTCAGGAAAACAGATTCATTAATTAACCATGATAACAATTAAATTTAAAAATCTTTAATATATTTATACAATAAAAATCTTCTAACAAAATAAAAGGCTAAAGAATACATAATATATATAGTTTTGAAAATATAGGTACTATTTTTGAAATAAATAATTATATAATTATTTTTCTTCTTTTTGTTACTTCTCACAACTTGTTAAAAACTAATGGAGTTTTTTTTTTTGCATGCGATACAAGAAAATATAAAAGACAATTTAAAAAGTTAGAACTTCAATATTTATATTTATAATTTTTTATGAATAAATATTACTCCTTAAACCGCAGAAATTTATTTAACTCAATAGCTTAACTATAAATACACTTAGTTTGAATTTTAATTAGATAAAAGTAGGTGAAACATTATATCTTTTTTTTTAGGAAATGAGACTAGACAAACTTAAAGTGGCGCCTTTGTCTCAAGAATTTCGGTAGCCGCTAATTTACATACAAATCTAGGAAGGTTTCCTTTAAAAATAAACAAATTCACATGAGGGCAGGTAAGTAGCGGGCATGCTGGTGCCTGTGGAAAGGCGTGCGTGCAATGGAGTGATTATGGTAATTCGCGCTCATTAATTATTCGCGGCATTTCCTCGCGCAATTATGCAAATGAAGTGACCGTGGGAATCACTGATTCCGTCGACTGACCGCATAAATAATTAAAATATCACTTTTATCGCCGACCTCGCGCGGTAATTTGCATCTTGATGACATGCAAAAAATTAACACTCCACTAGACGCTAATGGTATTTGTGTTCATTCTAATATCCTGTGTTGCGTTACAAAACAAAGACATTGTATAATGGTTACAAATTTAAATAAATAAAATCTGTTATAAACATCGCAGTTAAATATTATTATTTAAATTAAAATGAATCTTCCAGGAGGATAGAAAAAAAATGCAATACAGCATAAAACAAATCTTTGTTCCTGTATAATTTTATTTTCATCTTCCATTTAAGATTCACCTTAATTATTTTTGCGCATTTAATCGTCAGCATAGTTTTTATGCTGATAGCTTAACCCTTTTGGCAAGTGAAGTTTCTAAATTTAACCATCGCCTGATGTCATTATTTTTTGCCTCTCCTATTTGTTGTGCGCGTAATTAGAGGCGAATTGGAAGCGTCTCGGTGTGTGTCGTGTTTGCTCGCATGCTATGTATATAATATTATATTATAGTGGATGCTGCCGAGATGCCGGGGGAAAAAACGCGAGGCGCTGGTTTGCGGCTGAAACGCGAGAGGAGATCCATCTCATTCTTCCTTCAGACCGACCGACCACCTGCCTCATTTTCCCACACTTCCAGCACACACTGACTCAGTCACTTGGCTCGTATATATAATATGTTGAGCGCGCTCAAGACGAAAAAGGCGCGCGGAGAGGAGGAAAAAAACGCTGCTGGTAATTGACAAAAGCATCGGGGTTCTTTAAACAGCGTCACGTGTGCGCCGCGACTGCTTCTAATCAGCAAGAGTATTGGGTTGCCTTGTCTGTGTGTGTAAAGAGGAAAATCTGGACGAGAGGGAACGCGATAAAAATTCCGATGAGCACAAGGGTGACGAGGAAACCTTTAATTAAATAAAGTTAATGCGAGACATGCGGGAAATCCATTAAGCGCTGATTAACCCATTTGCTTTTATGCCATTTCTTTTATTTTTCTATTAATAAAAATAATTTAAAAATAAAATAATTTTATTTTAACAAATTTTCGACTATAAGTTTTTAGGAAAATCGTTCAGTTGCGAATATATTTAAGTACAAAGGTTTTTTCCAATAAATAGTATATGAAAATATATTAGATTTTCAGTAAAAATTACCATACTGTGGGCGTTATAATAATTCTCATTTATTTTTTGGTTTTTGTGTGTATACTTGATTATTAAGAGATAATATATTCATTTAAAAATAACCTCAGGGCCAAAAGCAACTCTCCCGCCAAATTTATAATAAAGGTAAATGTACTAGAAAAGACCCTGCCCTGAAGGTACAAAGGAAAAAACCCAGAACAAATATTTTTTGTAGAGGGCGAAGTTGTTTCTTTATTGTTATGGGGGCGCAGCATCTTTATATTTAAGAAAAGAAATCTTCCACCTGGATTTATTTGCACCTCATTGCGCAACAAAAATCGACTTTTGTGTGTACTCCAGCGTGCGGCCAACTTAAAGGTGAAAAGATTACGCAAGCGAAGGTAAATGTTGCCCTGTAAATATTTTTGTAAAACACATCTTGTGTGCTGCAGAAAATCCACCATAAACAATTGATTGATGAATGATTAATTCAAAATTATTTATCTATTGCAATATCTCAACGTTTATCATTTTTTTTTAAATTAATTTAAGTTTTAAGTGGCTGAATAGGGATAATTATTGTAACAATTAAATGTATATAGCAGTGATTATATGAATTATTGGTAATAATTAGTTTTCAAGAAACTGATATTTTATAATTTCTACTTTAGTTAGATAACAATAAATAATATAATTATTAATTGTCATAATTATTATTAAAATTTATCCAGGATGCCTTTAAATTATTGAAGTTAGAATGGCTCTTGATAAATTATTGTTGTTTTATTTTCCACAGTTGTATTTCTATCACATTTGTCTAAATTCAAGTACCAAAAAATTAGTTTGAAGAATTTGAAGAAAGCGGGATTGATGGGCAAAACGGCACTTCTAGCATGATACAAAAA